ACCTTCGAGGTCATCTTTGAACCAAAGGAAGCAGTGGCTGACATCAGATATGATGTAAGTCTCTTATTATATAATTCTTTGGAACTAATATATATATTTTTAAAATTTAATATGTGTACTCATGTAAACAATCATAAGATTACAGACTGAATCTCTAAATCTTGTAGAATCTGAGATGTTTCCTGGAAGACCCTGTTACTAGGAAACCTGGAGTCCATCCTCCAGTGACCTTGACCTTAACTGGGGGATGTACAGCACAACCCACCACAAAAGAAGTTCCCCAGCACTTCACCTGTGCAGTCCGCTCCACAGATACAAAGTGAGTCAGAATAAATGTTGCCTTCAGTGACCCGGTCAGTCAGATCATTTAAAGGTACTTGGACACAGATTTGAAGTTATTATTTTCTCTATAATATTACGACTTATATATTTCAATAGCATTTCACACAAAAATTAAAAGATATTGAAATTTCAAATTTTTCGGCGGGTTTGATTGACATATCGTTGCACTCTCACAAATTTAATTTTATTCTTAATCCTTAGGAAAAATGGCAATCTCGTTTTGTATAAATGAAAAATATTAATACTATAATCCAGAAAATTCAGAGTAGACACGTTCGAAAGCAAAACAAACACACAATATATTGTCAGTCCGTGCAGTTGTGGTAAGCAGACTGTGACGATTGAACGCACCCGGTGAATTCTAAATATAAACAATAACAGAAGTCGGGCCCTGTTTACAAAAACAGTGTACATAACACGAGTGTGCTCGATTTGCTAAACTCTGCACGCACCTCTTAGTTCGGAATGACGATACTTGTAAAGGTGTTTTGCTTTCTAACATTTCTACTCTGAATAAAATTATTTTTCTTGATAAAAGTTTTAATATTTCTCATTAAAACACATTAAAATTGCCACTTTTCCTAAGGATAAAGAATAAAGTTAAAATTTGTGAAAGTGCAAGGATGTGTCAATCAAACCCGCCAAAAAATTTAAAGTTTTAATAACTTTTAAACGAAATAAGATTTTTAATTAATTTTTGTGTGAAATGCTATTGAAATATATAATTCGTGATGTTATACAGAAAAAATGAGAAAATATTAACTTCAAATCTGTGTCCAAGTACCTTTAAATCAGAATCATTACATGTATTGAATCATATTACAGGAATCTACAAATCACTAACAAGACAAATGCCCTGTGGAACCTGAAGCCTGTTATTGATGCTGAATACTGGAGTGGACCCCTGACGTTTACAGTGGAGCCCCAGACCATGAACAAGCCGTACCCCATCACCTACCACCCCCTCACCATGACCCAGGAGGGCAAGAAACACACAGTAAGTCACCACTCTGAAACCCATTCTGATCTGTTATCACTTAAAGCTTTATTGTAATGTAAACTGTGAATCCTGCTCACTGAGTTTCTCCTTGTGTTTAGGGCACAGTATTCTTCCCATTGCCTGATGGTACTGGCCTCCTGTTTACTGTCAGTGGTACCGCGGAACCACCCAAAATGAATGGGGGACAGAAGATTCTGAATGACATCCCCTGTAAGGTTCCGTTTGTAGAGCACCTGCCTGTGGAGAATTGGCTGAAGCGCCCTCAGAGGTAAGGCGGTGTTAGGTGGTTCCCTGTTAATAACCGCAATTAATGTGATGTGGCATAATGCTTTACCAGGAATATCAATGTGATATTAATATGAATATTAACTTGTCTGTAATTTTCAGGTTCTCTGTGAAGTGGGAAATCTTGAGACAGGACACCAGGCAGGATACTTCTACTGACATCAAGGGCATGAGCTTTATTGATGTGCCAGCCAATGGCAAAAAAGATTACAAGCTCAATGTATTCGCTTACAAAGAAACAACCTTACCTCTAAAGGTACACTGAACAGATATTATATGGCTGATTTTATTTCATGTTCAGGAAGAATCTTATTGAAGGCTTAAATAATACTTTATCCCTTTGTAAGTGCTAACTCTGTCACTTCTTTATGCTTTAAGGTTGTCTTTACCAATGATAAGACCGGAGAGTACCAGTGGTATGAACTTCAATACAAGTTCATCAAAGGTGGAACCATTGAAACCATCGAACTGACCACACCGGTCAGACAGAGTGCATTTAAAAAGATCAAACTGGAGAACACCACCAAACAGGCCACCACCTTCAACGTCCAGAACACCATCCCGGAGATTCTAATGCCAAACACCTTCTCTGTTCCTCCACAGTCCACGGTAAGATCTAGGCTGCGATTAGGCTGGCAGTTTGAATTACTTATACTGAATGATTATTCTCATAATGCTACATGTACATAAACAAAGCCTAAAAGTAAGATACCATATAAAGAAGTAATTCTGGAGAGTTATGTGTATAAAGGGAATGTCATGAATGACTTACATAACCTTATTGTTTAATTTTAGTACGAGTGTACCATTGAGTACCAGCCCCTGAAGGTAGGAGAGTCTCTACAGAGGATCGAGATGGTGTCCAATGACCTTGGGAGCTATGTTTATGAGCTGAAGTTGAAGGCCACTCCAGCCAGACCTGAGAAAGCCCTCTACTTCAGAGCTGGACTGGGACAAAGTCACATCCAGGTCGCCAAGTTCCTCAACTTTGCCAAACAAGCTAAAGCAGATTATACCTGCAAGGTGAGGAGGGCAACATTTCCATATAGAGATGTGTCATGTGTAGACTAGAAATTGCCCATCCTTAGACAGAAAAGTTTATGGGAAATATGTATATTCAGTATAAAGGGCCAAGAAATAAAATTATTTTTTGAAGTCTAACAGATTATTAAACAACTGTGTTAGAAATTCCTTTATCTATACTGATAATTATGATTGATGCTTTTATTGTAGGTGGACAATAATGATTTCCACACAGAGAAGACCGTGGCGGCAGCTCCAGGAGCCCCAGGGGGGACAGAGGTCGCACTAGATGTGACCTTCGAACCCTCCAAACTAGGAGAACAGAGAGCATTACTGACAATCAGTTCACCACAGGGAGGGGAATATGTCTTCCCTCTGTTTGGAACCTGTGTACCACCCAAACCACAGGGTCCCTATGTAGTAAAAGCTGGATCCACCACTTCCATTCCATTCCGTAATGTATTCCACCAGCAGACAGCCTTTACGTTCCAGGTGGATAATCCAGCTTTCCACCTCACCAAGCAAACGGAGAATGTTAAACATCGTAAAGAGTACAAAATTGTTGTTGGATTTGATGGAAACGACAGTGGAACAAAGGCAGGAGTGATGGGCAAACTGATCATCACTTGTCCAAAGTCGGCTGGTGGCAGTAACGTACAGTGGGTGTACTACCTTAAAGGAGTCACCATGTAAATATAGTGCTTAGAAACCTCTGAATGTGATAGATTTAACTTTGAAGTGTTATTTGTTAAGACTTGAATATTCCGTCCATGGAATTCGTACTGTGATAACTTTTTTCATATATTTCCTGTATTAAAGGTTGCATTTCTGTTTATTTGTTGAAAATCTCAATTGCTTGGAATGTACTATCTCTTGTAATAGAATTGAATTTTTAATGAACTTTCTCATATTGAAATTGTCAATCTTAAATGTGAAATAAAATATTGAATTGTACCTATAAGTCTTATTATTTGCTGGAAGCTGCAACATGTATATTATCATAGTCAGAGTTTGACAAGATCTATATTACTACTGATAAAAGCAGAATACATGTCAAGGATTAAATTTTTTTATCCCTAATGTTGATCAACCATACCAAATTCCTAACCATATTTTACCGTTATTGTAATTGGTAATTTGTAAAACAAGTCTAAAAAAAAAAAATAATCAATTTAGAGCATAAAAAAAATTTCTGCTGTGAATCTCAATTTTTTTATAAAGGAAAGGTTTGCATATTTATTGCAAATGGCAAGAGAATTTTCATGAATTCTGGTTATGATATATATTTACTTAAAAAAAAAATATACATACACTAGAACAAAGTTTTCACAAGGATGATGCATTAATTACTATCCACAGACACAAGAGAAAACCGCTTGCAATATATCTTGGTAACCCTATGTTCTAATATAATATAATAAAAGAAAATCAGCGACTAAAAATTGACAAAGCTGCAAAATAGCTTAAGGAAGAATGTCACCATGACCTATCTAGGAAGATGACACATCGTGGGGCCTCAAATGTCAACTGATGATGCTTAGGAACGGACTAGACCTTAATTGACAGAAGTCCATGAACCTTTCAAAGTGGGTATGATATAAATGTTTTGCAACATCAGTAACAAATTAACAACATCAATATAATTATATATAAGAAAATACACATCTTAAGTGTTTTTTTGCTGTTTTAGCAATACTACTCTTTATAAACTGAATTGACAAAGCTGGAAAAGGGCTTAAGAAAGTATGTCACAATGACCTATCTATGATTATAGATGACAAGTCATGTTTTGCTTGGGAGCCTCAAATGGCATCAAAAAGACACTGCTTAAGGATTATATACTTCTCTGAAAAGTGTTAAATTTTATCCATTAATTTTTTGACACGAGATCCCTTCAATATTATAGAAAGAGTGATGTTTTGCTATCCTAGTCCTCAAAGTGGGTATGATATAAATGTTTTAACAGAGTATCATTTTAGGTCCCATTTAAGAGACCTTGAAATCCTGCCCTTGACCCTGAGGTAATGCTTTGCCAGTTTCTTATAGCAGAAATATTTCAAAATCTTTATAAATGTTTTTTAAAAAATCTTTTATATACTTCAGAAAAATAGGTTTTCAAAATTTTAAAAATTTAAAATTGGTTGCAATCAATAATCCCTCACTTAAGGATGACATACATAATAGTATGAATGAGAGTCATGGTTCAAGACACTTTGACAAATTTCATAAAAATTGGCCAAGGGGTTCTTCAGATAGGGACCACATTTCAAAAAGTTTACACACACTGCACAAAGACCATATGATAGCAATTGCTCTTTAGAAGATAATAATAATGGATATGAACACAGAATAAAACTTCCGAAATTTAATAGACAGCAACATAACAATAGGTATGGCAATAAAGATGACACAAAACACATGTAAACATGTATAAATGTATTCAATAAAACATGGATTTTTACATTGGTCTTGTGTTTAAAACTGAGGCACTACACAGCTGTTATTTTAAATGCCCAATTTGTTCTATAAAACTTCCAGTTAATTCAGGGTAAACAAGAAACATCTGAACAACATGTACATATATATAAAGCTGAGATCTGCTGATAAAATATTAACAACAAAATATCCAAGTTCTGCAAAACTGCTGATGAATGAAACAAGATTTAACTGCCATAGATTTCCTGTGATGTACATTTATATGATTCAGTTATTATATGCCATGTAGAGACTGAGATTCCTATAATACAACAGAAATAAAACAAAGAATTCTCCTAGTAACCTAAACCTAGTAATAAGAAGTGAAATAAAAGCTCTGGATGGATTTCTGTTTCCTATGAAGATAACCCTGAGGAAGCTATGTTATTAAAACGGCCTAATGGTCATGATTTATCACAGAAAATATAGCTACAAATTCAAATGGCCCTTTCACACAGTGTAAATAAGCTGTAATACAAATATGGATCAGATCCACGATTGCTACATCAGTCAATTTCTTATTTCACAAGGCCAGAATAAATATTATTACACCTAAAGTCCTCCATCATCAAAGCGGTGATCCAGTGGCTTGGGCGTTCTTTAGAAAACTGTCCATACTTTGTTTTAGATCTTCTGCCTCTTTCTTGAATTTTGTTTCTATTTGTGATAAAATGTCTGATGAGGTCTCCAGTTTCACCTTATTAGAATCTTCTTCCTTTATCTTGTCCATAACCCACTCCATTCCATTTCTTCCCTGAAATATCAAATGAATGGGAAATGACTGAAATGTGTTACCATCTGATACCATACTTTTCACAATTTCAGTCCTGAATTTCATCAAGTAGGAACTTTAAATACTGCAAAAATATTCCCTTGTACTTGCTGTAAAATTGCTTTCTTTATTTTTGTTTATTGTGAAAGTTAATTTACCTTCTGTGCATTTTTCTCAAAGTTTTCTAGAAGGAGTTTCTCCAGGTAACCAGACAAAAAAGGCACATTCACCTTTACAACAGATTTCTGCTTCAGACAGGTTCTGTGGGAGAAATAAAAATTCAGTTAAACTACTGGAATTCATATGTGAAGTACACATGAACTAACAAACATGTGCATATGGTTCACTGTTTAAAGACCTCTGTCACACCTCCACATATCTTTGATGACAGAGAAGCAGATGCGAGTTATTAAAACAAATGGTTAAATTTCCTAATACATGTATTTCCTATCAATACAAATTTTAAAACATATCAGGTGTTCATTTCAATCATAAAGCAATTTTTTTCAATTTTCTTTCAAGAGATCTCCAGATATAATGTTATTTAACAGCATCTCCTGGCAGGGCAATATCAATCTCCATTAGACAAAACTGACTATCATTTGTATTTTAATGAAGCAGGTTACATTTTGATTTCAAGTAACTAGACCAAAGGCATTTCTAGGAAACAGAAAATGGTCATATAGTCAGATACAAATATATTTTTACTCAAAGAAAGTTGAAATAGCTGCATCTAATCAAAATTAATTTCCTTAAATTGAAAAAATGTTCTAATCTTCTATTTTCAAATCCTTTGCCACAACATGCTATGTGTCTAGTCATAAAACTTTCAATGTCCTTTTGTTTTAAAGACAGGAAACTGTTTAAGATTAATCTCAATTCAGGTTTAGTTCTGCACATTTTATGACATATAATGTGAAGACTGTATACAGAGTTATTTTGCACCTTGTTATTTTCGCCTTTTTACATTTCCTAACAATTTTGCCCCCTTCTAAATTTGCCCAGTCCCAGTTCTGTTTAAGAATTTATACTGTGTTCTTTGAATTCGCCCACTTGTGAGAAGGGCGAAAGGGGGTGAAAATTTCCCTGTATACAGTAGTTGTTAACTGTCTACTTACTTGGACTTGTCTTGTGGATGAGGAAAATACTCCAAATGTTCATGAACTGACACTAAATGTCCCAGAGTCAGCTAAAAATAAAACAAACTGTACGTGTATAAAATAATTTTGGTATCCACTAATAGAGCAGGGTTTGACACTGAGTTTGAAAATGCACTGGTCCACTAGTTTTAGAGTGCTAATCCAGCACGAAATGTACCATAATGATAATAGTCTGAGACCTGTGTAGACTATCTCCTCCCTGACAATTTTAAATTTTTGTTTTTTATTTGAAAATGATATGCTCTCAAATAGCATTTCTTTCTACAGTCATTTAATGTTTTGTACATTATATGTAGGAAGAGTCTTGGTGTCAAACCCTGGCAAACAGGTTAAGTTCTTAAAATAGAATTCACCAATCATATATTAGTTTGGAATCAAAATAGGGCTACATTAAAGTTTTAAAAGGCATACCTTTTTGATTTAAAATCTCATACATGCACTGAGTATTGCAAATAAACAGATTTTTATAAATGATTTGGCAACAAGCCATGAATTTATTAGAAATGAAATACCTCCATTCCCATCATTTATAACTTCATAGATGTATTTAAGAAAGGCTTTATGTGCTATATGTACCGGTAAATGAAAAACAGTGAATAAAGAACAATACTTTAATGCTTCTATGTATACACGGCATATATAAAGAAACTACTGTTTCACTGACAACAGTTAGATGACATGCATAACAAAGTTCTATTTACATCTAGTTTGTTAAAGGATGCAGAGCTGATACTGGTAACATTTACATATACAGAGACATAAACTTCCTTACCTTGTATTGGGATTAGCTTGCAGCAATGACTTCTTAATTAAATACCTGATAACAGGTTGACAAAATCTGCATTTCTGTTGCTTGTATTAACAGAGAGAACTTTTTTCTCTCCTCCTGAATACTTACATTTTTAGACTGCAGCTTGAATGTAGACTGGGTGGTATCAAGCCTGGAGTGTTCACTGATATGCATTCCATGACTACTGGCTCCTAAAAGCTAGCAACAAATAATAAAGGAGTCAGCATGCAAGTTAAAAGGGAGGAGTCAAGCTTATAGCCACAAGAGGCATACATCAGGGGTTATAATAAGGCAGGGTTTAGAAAAATTATAAATTAGTACGTATAGACAATTACATTGTCATAGCTGGATAACATGCAATCATTACAACATATCATGCATCCTCTAATTTCCTTTACTTACATTACGGGATTCTAATTTCAACAGTTTATTTCTGGGATTTAATGTTGAGTGTTCACTGATGAAATTTTTCTCTGGTGTGCCAATTATCTGAATGTATTGAACATGTTTTTATTCATCTGTCTTTATTTTATAACACCTAGACATTATAAACAAAAGATGGGACAAAGCCCTCTTGTTTGTGAAAATAAGAAATTTCCTTCTTTACGTTAAAGAACTATATGCGGTATTAACCAACATTTGCCCCCCAAAATCAAACTTTGATGGAGTAATATTTAATTAAGTCCTTAAACAGGGGAGTATATGCTGACTTCAAAGCACTGAATAATTTCATAAGTAATGACGTCATATGTACGTAATGACGTCACAAATATGACGTAAATTTCAGTATTTTATGAATTTTGTTGAAAAACGTACATATTTCGTCGATATTTTAAATAAAAGTCACCGAGCGCATGTGTGTTCAGGATAAATATTTTGATATAATGTGTAGAATGATAATATCAATGAAATATGTCAATATTGTTCCTGAACACACATGCGCTCTATAAATTTTAAAGCTTAAATTGTTGAAATTTTGTCCATTTTGTTCTCTTTCTGAAAAAGGATATAAAATCGGACTAGTTTGCGACGTCATAAAAACAGAAATTGTGAATACACTGCTCTGGAACTATAATATTTTCTGTTAACTTATATTTCTCGTACAATTTATTGAATACAGCACATTTCAGGAAGTTTTCAAAATTTGACTTTTGTGGGGGCAAACATATGCAATATACCGCATATAGTTCTTTCTCCCACCTTATGTAATGCCATTCTTATTATTAATATCCTAGTTTTTACTAATTCATCATCTTATTCTAACAGGTTTAAAATTTTAAACAGATTTTAAAAGTACTTTGCTTCACCAAGCATGACACCTATGTAATCAGAAGAATATTTCACTGACGATCAATATAATAGGATAATGAAAAATCAAACTTTAACTCATTGAAACACCAAGAATATGAATTTTAAGCAAAGAAATTTAAATAAATAATAAACTTTGAATCATGACATAAATCCTTTAATAAAACATAAAGCAGATTGAGATGCTCCTTCACATTCTACACCATATTAGTTTCCTTAATGATGATTTTACATTAATAATGTGAAACTTGAATGTATCAGTTGAATGTGTAATGATTAATGTGATAAAACAGTTCACAAGTAATAGTTATAAATCTTTACCTAATATAAATAAGAGGCAGTTTCTCGTGGTGTCATATGTTGGAGCTTTTGTCAAGTTATATGTTAAGGTATCTTGTGATTTTTTTAATTTTTCTTCCAATTCAACAAAATTTCTTTGAATTTCTATAATGTATGCATGACAATGTAAAGATCTTTACTTATTTCAATTGTAAAATTGACAGTACAAGAAACTTTCAGTTGTAATCATATGCATGGTTCACATCTTTATCTTCATGTATCCCCTAAAGGTGATAACTACTTGTTATTTTAACAAGTATATTGTTACATAATCTACATACCCGGGCCGCTACATCAGGTAGCGGAAATTCCGTGGAGAGCAGACGATGAGTCTGTATAGTTCCCTTTGGACAAACCGTGCGATCTACGACATCTACACCACTTACTGCCGGGTTACATGGATTGGGGTATTTACGGAAAGCTGCTCTAACAACTTCTTCCCAGGGGTGTCTGAAAAATTGACAAAAATGTTCATCAATAATATCTAAACTGAAATATTTACCTTTGCTGTGTTTTTCTACTAAGCCAACTGTGAAATTGATTTGAATACCATTTTCGTGTATACTCATGCGTAGAAATATACAGAGAGGAACGTGCGTTAACGTGATGTCACAATAAGGCTACAGTGCCGTTAGTAAAAGTATAACGATATAGGGCAGCGAGAAATTCAACTATTGAGTATATTTTTGGTGCTTCCAAACATGTAAAATGTAAATATAAGGAATGTTTTAAGTTTAGTGTGAATTATTGGTGTGTGAATAACACAGACTTGCACATAGGCATATTTTTCATGAAGCGCGCTAGCTTCATGAAATATGCCTACCTGACAAGTCTGTGTGATTCACACACCAATGACTCACACAAAACTTAAAAACATTCCTTAAATAAAACTTTGGTATTTTTCAACAGGTTGGGACCAATCGCCCAAATGGGATATAATAGTCCGTTTGGCATATAATATCCCAAATGGGCTATAAATTTACAGTGCTAAAATTGAAAATTTTTATTTTGGCAATGAATATTATAAATCCGCATCAAAACACTTAAAAAGGAGTAACTTTTGGTAAGCAAGTTTTTCTGCAACCCTACCGTTTGTAAGATTGATCCCCAAGAAGTTAAGGAATTTCCGAGGGATCAATCTCCTAAACAATAGGCATACAGAAAAACTTGTCAACCAAAAGTTACTCCTTTTTAAGTGTCCTGATGCGGATTTATGATATTTATTTGCAAAATAAAAATTTTCAATATTTGCACTGTAAATTTATAGCCCATTTGGGATATTATATCCCAAACGGACTATTATATCCCATTTGGGCGATTGGTCCCAACCTGTTCAATGGGAGAGAAACAGTCCAGTCCAATACGAAAATTCGTAATATTACCAAAAAACGTAAGATTACGAGAAAGCATAATATTACAAGTTATCGTAATATAAAACTTATATTACAATTTTTCGTAATGTAGTTAAATTACGAATACGCGTAATATAGCAGATGTAAGAGACTATATTACGAGTTTTCGTAATCCAAGACAAATTCAAGCATTGCAAGAAATTGAGTGGCGGGTAGCAAAGTATGACGTTTAATACGAGATGTCACGGGCGATAACTTGTACGACTCTTACTGAGATTTGAATTCTGTGTATTTCAATAAGAATTGCACGAACAGTTGAATTATGAGACGAGGGTGTGATTTTTAGGGTAGACTTCGCAAGAAAAGTAGGGAGTTCGGGTGATATAGACCAATGCGGCATGCTTAAGCGAATATTGAAATTTACTGGAAAATTGGTCTTATCCTTGGGAAAATTCCTATAAAAGAATAATAAAAGAAATTGTCCACTCATCCATCGTTGGCGTTTTTTTCTTCATGAATTTCCATGCTTTCTGATAGGCGTAACTGACCAAACTGACCGCGTGCTATCAGTAGCCGTGGAATGTGATATATTACTGACGTCATACTTTGCTACCCACCACTCAATTTCTTGCAATGCTTGAGTTTGTCTTGGATTACGGAAACTCGTAATATAGTGTCTTGCAATCTGCTATATTACGCGTATTCGTAATTTAACTACATTACGAAAAATTGTAATATAAGTTTTATATTACGATAACTTGTAATATTACGAATTTTCGTATTGGACTGGACTGAGAAATATGGGGTGATGGCAAAGATTTTATGTAACACCTAAACAGTAAAAAACTTAAAAAATGAAGTCTTAATTTAAAAGAACGTTTTTAGCGAACTTTTCGTTTAAGTATTTTTATTTGTTCGTTTCATTCCCAGTCCAAAACATCGGTTTCAATATTACGCAATAGTCCTCACTGACCATCACCATGTTCACACACGTGAACCGGAGGTCGATCGAATTTCTACCCCGTATAATAATAGAAACTGTGATAAGGTTGATTGGCGACAAAATATGAATCAACTCAGATTAATTCGAATTAAAACAAATCTTAAACTTACTCAAAAACGTGTTCAGAAGACCAAGAAGACATGACTTGTACTTGACACTATCACCTTCCGAAACAGACTGCCGGATCAGAAATGTGTATTCAGTTTATGACACCGCAAGAAAAAATAGATCTCAATAGGAATTGGCTATATTTTCTGATTCAGTGCTTATTCATAAATTTTAAAGGTTGAAATATGCTCACCTTTTATTCATATATTACTTTTGTTTTTAAATTTAGCCAAATATTTAATAATTTTAAAAAATGAAATATTTAATCACTGCCACATTGAGTGATGCGTATTAATAAGGTTTCAAAGGTCACCTGGTGTGGAGAGGAAAAGGGGCGTTCTCAACATGTAAAATATTTACTATAGATTTTAATAATTAAAAATAAAAATTTTGTCAAACACTTTGTGTTCTACTTTTACACATATAGTTATTTTCGTTGAAATATTTTCGAGAGAAAAAAAAAAGCGCCCAGAAGGTGGAATTGAACCACTCCGACGCTAATCGGCTACAGGTTTGAAGCCTGCACCCCGGACCACCGAGGTTCATCCGGGCACTTTGAAGGACTGCTTCAAATCTAATTATAGTACAAAAGATAGAATGCGCTAGACGTAAACCTTTTAGTGTTCACATGATTACAACGTTTCTTTTTATTAAATGCCTTTATAATCAAAATGAGTTCACCCTTTAAATTTACTTGTTGAGTCTAAATATTTATTATTTTCTTGTTTTATCTTAAAAATAAACAAATCAATACTATGCATTATATATATATTTTTACTAAGACAATATTTATGGGTATTATTTGTAATCCTGGTATCGGTTATCGTACGTCGTATCTTGTCTACTTTTTTTAAAATGCCTCAATATTTTATTCATTTACTTAACTGGTGATCTTACACAAAATTTCACAAGGACGTATTAATCAGCTGTTAATCATTTTAAGCATCCTCCCGGATGACTGAGTTCAAGGATGGAATTGAACTCTTTTCTTCGAAAGAAATCAGGATTTAAATTTTATAAAACTAAAATAAATTCCTTTAATTGTTGCATGCACTTTTGTAAACCTGTTAACGGTACAAAAAAGTCAAAAGATCTGATATATATAAGTTCTGGAACTTTTAAAAATATACGAGGGTTGTCCCAGAAAAACGCGAACTTTTTGAATATTTCAAATATATACTATTCTACCAAATTACTAATAATTTTTGGTATGCCGTTGGGAAATCATGTTTTATATTCCGACAAAATATTATAGGCCTTTGATGGCATATACATATAAAAACAGCATATAAATGATGCTAAACATCGGTGGTCTGCGCACGACAAATTTTTTGACTTTTACAAATAGCATTGTGAATGAAGTTCTCCTTGTTAAAAGGGTATATGGCGATATAAATATTAATGTCAAAAATTTTACTTACATAAATACTCTATAATTTGATGCACTTGTGTCTAAAATTTTATTTATTTGACATTATTAATGACAAATATATATGACGATATATGCCAAAGCGCTTTGATATAGACATTGTCAGAAAAGGTGACGTTAAGCGGTAATGTGGAGCACCAAATTATCAAGCAACACTATGTTGAGCTTAAAATATGTCGATCAGTTGGGTTTATTATCGGGATTATGAAATTGTCTATTTAAAGAATTAACTCCCGAATCTTTTAATATTTACATTTCCAATGTCTTTGTCCGAGATAAAATTACCAAATGTAAATGTACTTTATTTCTCCATCAATGTATTGGCGCGGTTCCAAAAAAACCACGTGCAGGGCGGGACAAACAGCTAGACAGAAGCAGGGCTTGGAGCACGTGGATTGGCGGAATCAAAGCATGTAAATATAAGGAATAACTGTCTTATTTTTCGATTTCATGAAGTGATCAATCGATTGGCTTGCGTGATAATTTGCATAAACGCCTTCGGCGTTCATTTTGTTTTATAATATGACCATAGCTTAAAAATTATAAAGAATATGGTTGAAATACTCAATAATTGAGATATTGTCAGTAACAATTAACTGTGACCCCCAACCCACCTCACTCCTTGCCCCTAGAGTTATTTAATTTATGGCTAACAAAAACAGTTATTAAACCGAAAATTTCTCAGACTGAATACATGCACATGTACTTTCAATGTAGTATCGTTTTTGAAAAGCCGGACACAAAAATCTTGAATTCTCAATTTACCTAAAAGAACATTTTCAATAAAGTAAAAAGGAAATTAAAGAAAAAAAAGTAGGCCAGGTCTTAGATATTAATTACATAAAAAATTGAGTTAACTGATGAATAAGTGGTCCGTGAGCCAACTGGGAAAAGGAGTACGAAAGAGGAGGGGGTACTAGAGTGGCGTCTATCATACCCCCCTCCCCCGAGTAGACACCACTCATCCGCAAGATATGTTATGATTGTTTAATGTATTTACACACCTTTTATTTAAATTAACATAAAATATATATGATAGACTCCAATCTGATTAAAATCAGATTCTCGATCCGCTCCTTTATTTTTTTGTGTAGCAACAATAAAAAAACAAAGGAGCGGATCAAGGATCTGATTTTAATCAGAGTGGATAGACTCCACTCTCAAACGACATATATAATAGTAATAAATGCGATGAAAATTTACCTACCTCTTATTTAATTAAAAATGTATTTCATTTTACACCAGTTCGTGGAGGTGTTTGTTTGGTGGGGGTGTAAAGCTTAGAATTCCAATAAAATTTAAGATTCTACTGATAAATTTAATACCTGCAACGGGTATGCAGAAACATGTATTTTTTTGATCGGGGGGGTTGGGGGTTACACATTTCCACATTTCTTTTACTATATATATCAAATTTTATTCATACATTGCTACATTATCCTTTTTTGTCTATACTGCAACAAAAAGTGAGAGGTGGTAACGGCCTTTCAATGAACATTTTCACTACCCCCCCCCCCCGATGCTACGTGCGTGAAACTGATATACACACACAGGCTCAGCACAGACACCTGACGTTACATATTTTTCTTTTGATAAAAAATATACCCCCTACCTAATAATAAACCCTTGTTTATTATTACGTAGGGGGTATTTTTTTATGAAAAGAAAAATAAGTATAACGTCAGGTGCCCGTGATACACGGGACATGTATATCATCGATAAATAAATCCGCTGCAAGTTTCCCGTATGTAAAACGTCTACCTTCTTTCATCTGCACAAATAGTGTGAAGTTATATAAGAAGTTGCGAGTTATTCATCAAGTTGAAAAAAAAAATTATTTATTGCATCGTAAAAAATATGTTATCTTTCTTAATTTTATTTATTTATTTATTAATCAATTTATTTATTTTTGCGAACAAATCGTGATAAATACGTATCATTGGCGCTAACGCGCAAATGTAATTGCTTGAAGGCACCACAATTCCATCTTCCCAATTTTTTGATATTATTATTATCACAAAAAAAGCTGCATATGTCGCTCTACCAGTTCTTAAACTTTGTTCCTTAATTTGTTCCGGACTTACTAGTAGTCGAAACCATTAAAGATAATTTTAATGAAAAGAAATGAATCTATCGATTAACGACACTTATCTGAAGGGAAAAACATGGGTTAAAATTACCAGTTCAAGTCTATATAATATAATCCCAGGATAATATTAATGACCCTCTATATATAAAACACACTCAAAACTTCTCTTAAATGCAGCAATAGTGATGCATGTGGATAGGATCTCCAATGATTTCTGGTTGGAAATGATTTTTATCCAACGAATTGTATTTATTTTATCCTTGAGCCTAAAAAGAAACAGTTGGATAAAAAAATCACATTCAGCACTAAATCATGGAAGTCTTCTTTTTTTTTATCACATAATGACATATGATTTATAGATCACTTTAATTATGATTTACGTCATGTTATATTATTTCAAGATCCACACCTAACCATAACCCTAACCCTAGATTCTTGAAAAAAATATTTTAGGCAACAAAGTATAAAAACTGCATGGAGAGAATATATAACGTTAACTACTAAAATACGCCCCCTCCCCCTCCAAAATGACCGACAGATACTTCGAATACTATTCACGTTTACCATCTGAACACAATATTCAATACAGTACGCATTTTCCGCTTTCAAAATCCATCCCTGTGCGGCTAGAACCAGAAACGTCGCAAAACGTCATATTTTTGTGAAAATGACGTCATTAGTCCACTGACGGTGTATCAAAAACGTTCCCAAAATTTATTCTTACGAGTCATCACGTGACTTAATGACGTCATTACATATATTTCCTCGACTTGAAGGCCTTTACACCAACTGAAATTTGATTGGACGATATGTCCTTTTCCGATATGACGTAGGCAACTAGCACGTTTGCAGAAAAAGGGGACATTATCACGTGACCTGAAGTCGGCCATGTTGTTAGAACAGGATTCATTGTTAATGGAAAACGTATTTTAGGAGTGAGCTGTACATTCACCTAACGAGTCACTGGAGGTAATGTATTAATTAAGACTGAGTAAGATTAAAAGTTGACTGCTAATGTGGACCCCATTGCTATGTAAACAAAAAACGCAGGAGATTTAAATCGGTGGTGGATCGAAGGGTTCTCGTGTTGTGGCGGTAAAAGTATGGTGAACCAACCCTGTAAGCATTCGTCAATCTTCTAAAACATTTGACGGGTTATTATTGATTGAGAACAGAAAAAGTTGAAGAAGATATATCTTTTATGAGTAAATTGCGGTATTAAACGTAAAACTGTTCAAGTAATAATTCAGAATGCATGGGTCAGTAAATCGAAAGAAGGAATCGTTACCGGAAGTGAGATCGGTTGGCATAAAATGCTTCTGATGGTATGGCCTATTGTCGTCTTTTAGTTCCTGCATATATTTTTTTTATCGTAAAATTTTAGAAAAATAATTTTAAAAATAAAGATATTACAACTGTTGCCATGGATACCGCATTTGATTTTGAGAAATGGAAACTGCGCAGAGAAGTGAAAGGGGGGTTCTGCAGTGATGAATATATTTTTTTTCAATCATTTTGAGTTCAAATAAACTTCTTGTGTAGGTCTGCATGAATTTTTCTTGTCCGAAAATAATAGAAATTTGCACTTGCAACTATTTGAATATAAAAAAATATCATTGTCAAGTTGGGAAAAAATATTGGAATTTAATATTATCTGTGCCCACAAAGTGACAGTGACCTTGCACAACTAGTTGCAGGGGGTATACAGCATTGCTGCTGTGAGTATGTGTGTGTTAGTGTGTCAGTCGATATAACTTGTTGGCAAGATTTAAACAGAACCTACACATAAAACATAGTTTTAAACTATTACTTATACTATAATCCTTGATAGCATTAGCCATGTGCAGATGTGAGCTACTTCAGTACTTAACCTTGCAATTGTGGGGCCCACATAAAAATTTATTCACCCACAAGTTATCAGATCTTCTATTGAATGAAAAAAATAGCAATCCCCTTTTTAGTTTTTTTTTTATCATACGTCTTTTCTACACATTGTAACATTATGCACGACACCTGAAATTGGAAGTGGAACTCTCGATCCTGTTGATGAAAATTGATACGGTTGTTGAATATTATATAATATATATATCATATAGAACACATGGCCATTTTTCATTTACAAATAACAATATTTTTTTTCTTGGACTGTCGATGTCACATTGTGCCAGACACAAGTACTTCTTACTGATACTGTAGACGTACTTTTTTCCACAGGGTCATAATTCCAAAAAAAAGCGGAATCTCAATTTCTGGAATATGATCGGGCTGACGGCCGGGAAATAGAAAATTTACGGCCCGATTTCTGATAAATTAGACTGTCACTTTATGCCGTACATTTGTATTAAGAACGCTTGGACAAATTTCTGCAGAAAATCTGTAACCGCGTACATAGTGTAAATAAATACCACGCGGAAAAAAGTATGTCTACAGGAATTAAAAAGCATTTACTGATAACGCAATTTTTCAAGAGAACAATACAAAACATTCAGACTAAATTGAAAAACATTTCATTATCAGAGATTTTGGCCATGTGGGAAACTTGTCATTCTAAGTTGCCCACATGGAACATAAGTGAATTTAGTCGCAAATTGTGAGTGGGCAATTGTTAATTTCAAACCCTGCACAAACAATTCTCAGCCTCCACATACTTTTGGCATTGTACAAGGACAAACCCTATTCATTTTAAAAATGAACATTAAAATATTTCTTAAAACATTGCGTTTTTTTTTACTACCTTCAAACCCTGAAATTTTATTTACGAGTTGACAATACTCGCTTCCAGTAAGTGGAAAATTTGGATCACTTCGATAGACGCGCTTCAGTTCTATGTTGTATTTGCATATTATACACTGTAAAACTTTCTATTACCATTGTCTTCTATGTTAATTTATCTACACAACCATATATGACATGCATGTTTTTATTTTCTTTTATCTCCATAAACAGCATCAAATCTCTGCTTGCCGAGTGGAAATGTCAACTACTTAACCCACAAAGACATACTTTTTTATAAGTCATATTGACTTTTACAGGATGATGGAGGAAGATGGGACCAATGGAGAAATTGACTATAGCCCAAAGGATATCAAAGATTCAGTCCTCCAGCCGACTCTAACACCCAATGGTGACGTTAACCATGATCCAGTGGAGACCAAGGGTCCCTCCCTACAACAGAGTCTGGCAACCCGAAAAGTCATCCAACTCAAGATAGACAATCCCTTCGTCAAAAACGGTATTATTATCTTCTGTATTGAATCTTGACTTGGCAATCAATATTTTAGTAGTGTATGGCCTTAAGTTTGTCATAGTATTCTTTTTGACATGTAATAATTCATTGAAAAACCAATTTAAGCCCTATTTCCTGATCTTTTTCACTTACATTCAAGGTTTTCATTTTCGCAAGAATCTGTGTAATGAACAGCAAAATTATTTGAGATGCAAGGTTCATAAAAACGATGTGTTGTTACAGAGAAAATTGAAATCATTTTCAAAATTTGTAGATATCAGATATCAGGATCTATCTTAAACATATTGAATCAAAAATTTCCTGTTAATGATATTATCTTAAAGAAGTTTATCGAAGAAATATCTTCTCTTTTAACTCTTTCTAAAAAGAGAATTAATTCATTAAAATTTAAATGATTAAAAGATATTTTGCAATTATTAGTCCATACTGTGTGCTAACTGCAAACAACACAATTTTTTTGCGTCTTGCATTTTATCTTCATGCCGTAAATATTGGTGCCTGAGCATGTAGAAATAAATTTCATGCTAAAAGATGATGAATGTCTTTATTTCAAAAACTGATGCCACTACACAAAGGGAGTTAAAGCACACTTTGTCACAACCTGAGGAACTTTGATACTTGTGTATTCATCAAAGCCCATAGGCCTTTTATTCAGTAAAGCAGTCATTGTTTAAAAAGAGAGAGAAAGCATAAAAAAAAACTATTGAAAATATTTTTGTTTTTTTGCAGGTGATTTGGAGGAGGATGCTGATGATCCATTCTGTATAAAACCATCTGTAAACAACTGTAAAAATGACACAAAGGAAGAATCGTACAAAGGTAATCAGCGAGGGGTCTTTAGTTCATATTTCACATTATAAAATAAGGCAAAGAAATGAACTGTTCACATTTCGTTAAATTTTAGATCACTCTCAATTTCTTAGATGACTAATTCTATCCATTTGTGTATCATGAGTTTGGCATTTTATTATGAATAACTGTTATAATTATTGATTTAATTATGATACTTAATTTTTATGACATATCATCTCTGTTAAATCACAGGGCCTTGGTAGTTTGTATTTTATTGCTCTATGTGGTTTTCTACCCAATTTTATTCATCACACACATCGTTATATAATTATTTACCATTCCATGTATCGTGACATAACTGATATTCTTTTTCTACAAACCCGTGGTTGCCTACTACAGAAATCTCTCTTTATTAGGGCCTCGCTCGGCGGGTGCCCTATAGTGATCAGTTTGTCCGTCCATCCGAGATCTCTTGTCCGGGGCATATCTTCTCTCTCCTTGGCCCAATCTGGCTCATACTTCACCCACAGAGTGCCTTTGGGTAACCGGTGTGCAGTGACCTTGAACCATGTTTCTAGGTCAAAGGTCAAGGTCATAGCAGAATTATATGAAAAATCCTTGTCCGGATCATATCTTCTCTCTCCTTGGCCCAATCTGGCTCATACTTCACCCACAGAGTGCCTTTGGGTAACTGATGTGCAGTGACCTTGAACCATGTTTCTAGGTCAAAGGTCAAGGTCATAGCAGAATTATATGAAAAATCCTTGTTCAGAGTATATCTTCTCTCCCCTTGGCTCAATTAGGCTCATACTTCACTCACAGATTGCCTTTGGTCAGTGAATGTGCAGTGACCTTAAACAAAGTTTCTAGGTCAAGGGTCAAGGTCAAAAATAGCCTCTCTTTTTAAAGTCTTTGTTCGCTGCATAATTTCTTTCCCTTAAGTCCACTCCTCAGCCTCAAACAAATTGACTGGATATGGAACATTTGTGATTTTCCTTCCATATTATGATAGAGGATATGCAACAATATTCATAGAGGATACATTTCTAAAAGTTTTTTAATTGTATTATTTTTCAGGGAGTAATACTTTTTGTCCCCTTTAATCTCAAACACCTTCAAAATAAACCCTTTTCAGCTACGTTACATTTTCATGTTCATTTCTAAATGCGGGGCCCTTTGAGATGGCCACCATCTCAATGATATCTAGTTGCAAATGAATAACTGAATATTCAGTGATGCAACAGTGTTTTCCCTAAGAACCGGCTACCAGCCAAATTGACCGCTTCAATTGACAAAAATGCCGCTTTGAAATAAAAATTTGTTGTGAGGTCCGCAGAGATTTTGTTCATGAACCTCAGTCCCTAGCCTGTTACAACTTCTCTCTAACCCTTTACTTTGAAATAAAGGGAAAACACTGATGCAAGATTTATCTTGACCAAAGATAACAATGTTCTAAACTCTACACTCTAAACTCTGGATGACTACAATGCTGCTTATGCAGCACCTGTAATGAAATCATGCTTGCTGCCACCTTGTGTATAAAAATATGATATGGTTACATCCAACAAAAGGGTAGACCACTCTTTTTCATTGGAAAAGGTATCTTACTTGAAGATAATTATTCCATGGATGTGTGTCATTAATATTCATGAGAGCTAGAGCATTTTGTAGTAGGCAGCAAGAAGTTTGTGGAAATGGAATGGACACAAAACATGTCGATTGCAATGCCCATGAATCCTTTACAGGTAACCATTAAGGCTCTTGGGCTAAATGGGAGTCTGGTTTGTGGTATATTTTAATTACTATTTTGAGAAACTGGTGGTGTACATGGGTGGCCCTCAAGGCCTTTTGACCTTGATTATCATGGACAATGTGTGAATTCCAAGTCAAATGTACAGCTAAATAAAAAAAAAATCTATTGAGAAATGCAGCCAATGTCAGTAAAAGATATTATTTAATTTCCAGGTGAAGACACTGAAGCACCCATTGAAGAAGATCCTTCTTCCTTGAATAAAGACAGTGAGGCACCAATTGAAAATCCATCTTCCGTGGATGAGGTTGACAATGTTAGCTCACCTGTTGTCAATTCAATGCTGATGGAATCTGAGAACCTGCTGAATAAAACAATTTCATCAAATGAATCAAGTCTAGACTCCCTTGTTTCAAAGGATAAGTTTCTGCCAAATGAAAACAGTGACACAGATGAAAATGGCAGGAAATTCCAAAGAAACAAAAAAAAAGATGATGATATTGGAAATTCAGAGGAAAAAATACATGAAGATTCATCACTTACAAAGGAGGAGTTAAACTTGACCGAAGAGAAAAACATTCCAAGTGTCGATGAGCAATCCAGGAACTTGGAAAATATTTCTACAGAAGACGGGGAACTTTCCAAACTTTCAACCGAGCTGGATATGGAAACAGGAAAGTACTTCCTGTCCAATGACAGTAAAGATAGTTCTGATGTAGGTACGTCTTTGTCGCGATCAGACCAGGTGGACCTCAGTGATTCAGTGGTCAGTGTTTCTGAAGATAAAGTGGACCTCAGTGATTCACTTATCAGTGTGTCTGAAGATAAAGTGGACCTCAATGATTCCGTCATCAGCTTGTCTTCAGACAAGGTGGAACTCAATGACTCAGTCATTAGTGTGTCTGAAGATAACTCGAGCTTTATAGAAAGTAATGTTGGCGACCCTGTGCCAGAATTTCTATCTTCTGATGGTGAGGAAAAGCAGGAAAGCAAGGACCAAAATACTGACAATGAAAATGACGAAGAAAAAATTAATTCTGTGGAAAAGATAAGTGGAGATGGTGATCACAAAAAGGAGGAGAAAGACAGTGAAATGGAAGATAACACAGCAGTGAAACAGCCTGAAGATTCTGTGAAAGATGAAAATTCTGAAAAAACTGAATCTGACACAAATCAGAGTACAGAAAATAAAACTGATACAAGTAAGAATAACAATGCAGTCTCAGAGAACAGCTCAACTATACAGGAAAAAGACAATGAAGCTGTGGAAAAAGTGAAGGATATTGATGGATCAGACATTTTAATAACCATCAATGAAGATTGTGATAAAGAGGATGATTTGTCAAAAGACAAAAGGAGCAGCGTTAAGCCGGGACCTGAACAGCAGATGCCCAAGGTGACGAGTACAATTAAAGATGATGTAGTGATTGTAGATCTCTCAGATGACAAGCCCTCGCCTCCAGTCCAGAATAAGCCTCCCGTAATGCCATTTAAACCGGGGATGATCACAGTCGCACCAAACGGCCAGAGATATGTACAGCATGTAATTCAGTGTCTTGATGGTCGCAAACAAATTATACAAGTCCCAGTGACAAGTGGTTCCTCCACATCTCTTTCCAAAGGCCCAGGAGCTTATACAAGTCTGATTAACAAAGCCCTTACTAGTACCCAGCCAGCAACTGTTACCAAGCAGCCAGAGGCAAGCATTCACCCTGATGATCTCATCCCCCAGTCCAGCTGGGAACTGTTAGCCTTAGTGCAGTATGAGGCAGCACAGAAGAAGTTTGATAACACGTTCTGGAATGGCAATTGTCCAGTTAAAAATGACATTAGTTCCATGACAAAGTTTCTACAAGACCTAGGAGGTGATATCGTGAAGCAGTCTGCTTACAGCCAGATAGTGGAGGTTCAAGGACGAAAGTGTGACCAAGGCAAACTGGGAGACAAAGAAAAAGACAACCTGGAAAGAATGAAAAAAGTAGTGAAAGAATTAAAGGAGAAATACAAGCATTTAGAATTGCAAACTGAGAAGTGTGCTGGTTGTAATTTTGTCTCTGAATCCAAAAATGTGATGGCATTTCACAAAGAGCACCCACATATGAGTCCCCCATTAGATCCCTTTGGAACTCTGAACTGTCCACAAGATGACTGTGATTTCAGCACTTTTGCCTCTCCAGAGGCTTTTGCTGAACACATGGAGAAAAAGCACTCTGTGAAAGCCAGAATATATGACAAACCTGATCCATACAAGTGCCATCTGTGCTATTTTGAAGCAAAAGTGAAGAACAATTTGACACGACATAGATTTAGGTGTGACAAACAGTTCAAACTTAACCAAAATCTACACCCTAATTACACAGATATTAATTACTGCTTAAAGAACATAATGTACAAGTCCCAAATAGAAGCCAAAAAAGCTAGAAATAACCAAGTACCTGTACCACAAGTCACGAAACAACAGATTAAACCTCAGCTGATCAGGCCAAAAATAGTCATGACAAAACCGTCAGCACCCATAATGTTACAGCAAGGACCCAATAATGCTCAGGTTCCTTACATGATACCCCTCAGTCAATCCCAAATAGGTCAGCTCAATTTCACAAGAGCAGTTAGACCTATAGCTAATCCAGTCTTGGTATCCATGGGTACAAGCGCAGTAACCAAGCAACCACCTCAGACTGTTGGAGCAATGCTAAAACAACAACAACAGAGTCTTGCCAACAGACCAGTGGTACCCAAACCTAGCGTTCTACAGGGACAACAAGCAGGATTCGAAGTGTGTGAGATTTGTGGGGGCTATGTCAAAGATCGGATGTCCCTACAAATTCACTTCTTCTATGCCCACAAAGTGGATCTGCCTGCCGTGCTCTTCCAAAAGAACAGCCCCCAGTTTAGATGTAATGTGTGCCAAGCACCTTTCTGGACTGCCATGGGACTCGCCAAACATCGACAAAGCTCCAGACATTTTGATACTGTCATCCATGCACCTAGGACTGAAATCAGATGCTGGATTTGCTTTCAGCAGCCAGAGAATCTGTATTCTCACTTGCAAACTGTTCATCACTTGACCACAAATGAGTGTATGATTCTCAGGCGATGCATGTTTTGTGCAATTCAAACAAGGAATAGAAAAGATCTTGAAATGCACATGGCAACATCACATGGTATCGTGATTAAAGGTGCTCCCACTGCAGTGCCTTCTAGTAGTGCTCAATCCACCAAACCTCAAGGGGCTCGTAATAACTTCTGTGTGTTCTGTTCTAAACAGTTCCCTGACAACACTCAATTGACTCTTCATTGTCTCAGAGACCATGCCACTTGCTCAGGATGTGGAATGGTGGTATCGAGAGCAGCAGATCTAGCGAAGCATGTCTGCAAATCAGCAGGACGCAAATGTCCTGTCTGTGGCTTAAAGAACCTGAAACAAGCATTCTACAATAAACACATTCGAACACATCTGAAAAAGTGTTCAGTGAAAATTAAAAGACTGACTGAAAAAGAAATTGAAGTTGCCATGGGTAAAGAACGAAAGGCTGAAATGGACCTAGAAAAGCAACGAGAAATTTTCACCAAACTTGAATCAGATATTTGGGATGAAATTCAAAGTAGACGGAAACGTGATGATACTGACTCTACAAACTCAAAGAAGAGGAAGAGTAACGAAAGTGATAGATCAGCGAGCAAGAAGGCGAAACTTGATGAAGAGGAGGAGGTAGTTGTTGTCGAGTGACTGGTTCACTGCGCCCATAAAACTTAATTATATATATACATGTCAACAGAAGGCCACCACTAAAATCATCACTTTGTAATTTCTTAAGGTGAAAAATTGTTCACAAAATCATGTTGCAAGTTTTACATCATAAATGATGTTTTTGTATAGCCATTGTTTACAGAGTATGTGAATCCTAATAGTGAAATATTGTGTGTGTGGAAGAGGTATGTTACACATTCCACAGTCTACGTTTAGTGCTTAAAATCAATACTTGACCTAATTCCAATATCACATTTAACAAGATACATGTACATCTTTTTCCTTTTTGTGGAAACTTTATACTGTCTTCAAGTATTGTTCAAATAGACAATGAAGCTGTTAATGGGGAATGGGTTCTTTTTTCACTTTTTGTCACATTTACAAAATTTGAAAGTTAAAATTTCAAATGCAAGTTATGAAATTCCTAAATTTTTGTGTTGGGAGGGGGAGGATTGCTGCTTTGCTCATGAATATTAAGAATTATGATTTTTGTTTGAGGAAAATGTAAGAGTTTGAATGTTGTTGACTACATAGATGTGTTATCAAGTTTTTTTACATTGTTATTCATTGAATATTTTATTGTTTCAGCAGAAATTTATCCAATATGGAACAGATTTTTGCCTAATTTTATTTTTGCTTTGTTTTCCATTTTTTCCTATATACATGTACAAGTAGACTAGATTTTTTTTCAACTGAAAAAAAAACCCATATTTATAATGACAAAAACTGTTCAATATCTGAATTTTTTGAAAAACTGCTGGGAATATTTGAGTTTAGAAAATATTTTTGAAAGGAAAGTGATTTTGTATTATCTGATAATTTGGTACTTTGTGAATGGTTTAATTCAGTTTGGCACTGTGAAGGCATAGTGCTGAGATATTCACTAGTCTTGATTATTGTGAAGTCTGCATTTTGAATGATCTGCATCTGTATCACTATGTGACATCTTGCTAGATTTATCATCTTTACAATACTTGGTCATGTCTGTACAGTAGAGGTGTTGTGCTATCTGTATATTGTCACAGTATCTCTTATTAAAGATGATGAAATTTTGCCATTGTTAGAATATATTGAATATATTGAAAACTTGTGAACAGACTGGTCTGTAGTTTGTACATGTACTCTGGTGCACCATGACCAATTACCCAATATTTATGCCCCCCTTCGAAGGGAGGGCCTATCACTTTGCTGCTGTCTGATGGTCAGTCTATCGGTCCACCATTTCCATTCATTTTCTTTGCAGAGGTTACACATATTTAAATGAAATTTGGTATACAGATTTATCACAAGAATATCTAGGTCAAATTCTGTTTTGGGTACAATTGAGCTAATTTGGACAGAGTTATGCTCCTTGGACTTAGAAAAATTCCAATTATTTGCAGTTTCTGTTCATTTTTTTATCCAGGTCAAGTCCTGTTTTGGGTATGATCGAGCCATTTTGGACAGTTATGCCCCTTGGACTCAAAAAAAATTTCAGTTATTTGGGGGAGGGGGGGGGGGGCAAAAGTGTTTTACAAATATCTCTTGTTGAATTTACTCTGGCTTAGGAAAGTTGCTGCAAATTTTATAAATAATAATTAATTGCCATTTTATGTACTTGAAAGTATCAAATTTGTCATGGAGAATTCATCAATTTTTCTGAGCTTACCGGGCATAGTATGGCATAGATCCTGCCCCTAACTGTTAGACTACTGGTCTCTTGACTCTCCTCAAGTCTGTCTCATAACTCGCATACCATGAGGCCTAGAATAATAAAACTTTGTCAGCTGATACATCTAGGGTTTGTTAAAAGAAGGTTACTATGACCTTTTATTAAAATGATATGGCTAAATAAGAGAGAGAGAAAAAACTATGCTGGTGTCCAACTCTTAGAATTCGTTAAACTTGGCCAGTTCATACATCTTGGGAAAGTGTACGTTTCAGATCTTATGACATTTTCCAGGTGAAGTGGGAGAATTTTGTAAGATTTTTGTAAAATATGTGCAGAATTTTGTATAGAATTACATAGAAAATGATACAAAGTGGCATATTTCAGCACCAAATGTAGGTCTCGTCTGCAAGACTAGTGATTCCATTCTAATACTGAGTCAGTGCAAAGGAAAAGTCACTCCTTCCGTTAAATGTGGTAGGCACTTGGGAACAAGAATGGACGAGGACCCAGACCTCCCATTCATAAAGCAAACACCCAGTCACCGTGTAACTTAGAACATCTATATAGAAAAATAAGATTAAGGTGAAATGGCATTGCACCAAAATATTATACCTTGACCCAATTGTTTTATCTAGGTCAAATTACAAAAAAAATTAATGCCAAACCATAAATTAAGATTATGACATTAGCACTTCAAACATACAGGATTAGAGGGTCACATCATGATCTTAGGCACATCTATTTTTGTCATCTTTATCCAAGAACCATTTAAGAATACATGTACTTATTTTTTAAAATTTTGGTTCGGCATTCCTTCTTGAATAAATTAATAGACATTTTTTGTTGATCAAACTGCATATGTACTTAATTATTTGCAAAGAATTCCACTGGTAAATTGTAAATGGTACTTGTATGAAGTACTTATCAAGAATATTAACTTATTATACTCAAATGAATACGAAGGATGAGTGCACTTAAGAAACTATGAGAGTTGAGTCCAGGTGTGTTGCGCAAAATAAAAGCCTGAAATTTCAGTAAATTTATGTTTTATAGGTATTGAACAATGTCTTAAACAGGTTTTGGCATATTATATTACATGGAATTACTAAATAATGCTGACTCAAGCTTTTGAGACGGGGTCTCCCAGTTTTGTCACATTTCTGTCGTTATTCATATGCATACCAGTTTTCAACGACATTTTTTACATCAAGCCGCAACTTGGCCATTGGTCTCATTTGCACAGAATGTGCTAATGCGCTTCATGAAATATGCCGGTGTGAAGCCTCATAGTTCATATACCTCATGAATCTTCAAAAAATTAAATTCATTTCTTTTATTTACATTATTTTTCTGATGACTTGCCATAGATTTACGCCGTTCAACTGTCATTTTTAAAACAAAACAGTGCGCACTATATTTTTTGACATCAAGAGCAGAATTATAACATAACGGAGATATTCATGCCTATTCATGGTACATACCTAATGTAGTTCATGAGAAAATATACTGCATTTTATTTAAGGAATGAAGCTTATATTTTCAACTTTTGTTATATGATGTAACATTACTTTTGGACAGATTACGCTTTATAAACCGCAAAGCGGTTTATAAAAAAGCGTAAACTGCCCCAAGTTATGTTATATCGTATACTGTAGATCACTTAATTCGCGACACCTAATATTTTCATGAGACAGTCATGCACATCGACTCTTTATTAGCGAGACAAAATTTTCACGAATTGTGGTCATTGCTCTATATAATCTTAAGGAATTCTATTATACGCGAGAATGAAATTTTCGTGAGCATACCGTCTCGCGTAATTACGCGAAAAGTTCTCGCAAATAAAAAGTGATTTACAGTAACAAAAGTTGAAATAAGCTTCATTTCTTATAATTTAATTTCAGTGTAGACAATAAGACAATTTTTCCTGCAGAAAAATGCTTCAAATATCGCATATTTTAAAAGTTAACGAAAAGCGGAGTAATACGTTTTTGACGTAACTCATTGTGACGTAGGCAAGTTATGTTATACAAAATAGATAAAACCGTTTAACCAATCAAATGATGTGTTACAACTAAAATTAAATTATTTTGTAAAGAATCATAGGGGAAATTTATTGGAAATGTAAATATTTAAATTTAAACTTAAACATATCCAAAAACAATATGTTGGCCAAGTTGCGGCTCATATCTAGTTTTTAGCTCTACTGGTCAGAGACCAGAAGAGCTTATGCGATAGTAATGCGTCCGGCGTCCGTCCGTCTGTCCGTCTGTCTGTCTGTAAACAATTTTTCAAAATGCTACTCCTCCTACAGTTTTGATCTGATTTCAATATAACTTGGCATATAAGTAGATTACACTAAGATACATAATTCTGTTTATCGGTTTTTGATTTCGACGAACGGTGTTGGCGTTGTTACTAAAAATAGAAATTTCTGTGAAATTCTTTCAAAATGCTACTCCTCCTACAGTTTTGGTCTGACTTCAATATAACTTGGCACACAAGTAGACTACACTAAGAAACATAATTCTGGTTATCGGTTTTTGATTTCAACGAACGATGTTGGCGTTGTTACTAAAAATAGAAATTTCTGTGAAATTCTTTCAAAATGCTACTCCTCCTACAGTTTTGGTATGATTTCAATATAACTTGGCAAACAAATAGACTACACTAAGTTACATAATTCTGTGTATCGGTTTTTGATTTCGACGAACGATGTTGGCGTTGTTACTAAAAATAGAAATTTCTGTGAAATTCTTTCCAAATGCTACTCCTCCTACAGTTTTGGTCTGACTTCAATATAACTTGGCACACAAGTAGACTACACTAAGATACATAATTCTGTGTATCGGTTTTTGATTTCAACGAACGGTGTTGGCATTGTTACTAAAAATAGAAATTTCTGTGAAATTCTTTCAAAATGCTACTCCTTCTACAAATTTAGTCTGATTTCAATATAACTTGGCACACAAGTAGACTACACTAAGATACATAATTCTTTATATCGGTTTTTGATTTCGACGAACGGTGTTGGCGTTGTTACCAAAAATAGAAATTTCTGTGAAATTCTTTCAAAATGCTATTCCTCTTACAGTTTTGGTATGATTTCAATATAACTTGGCACTCAAGTAGACTACACTAAGGTACATAATTCTTTATATCCATTTTTGACTTCAATGAACATTATTACCTTGGTTAATAAAGATAGCAATTTCTGTTACTCTCAAATTTGCTACTTCAAATACAGTTTTAGTCTGATTATGATATAATGTGGCTTGCAAGTAGACTACATTAAGAACATAAAGAGACTTATTCAAGGATCATTTTTCTCTTTTTTGCCTGTGCAAATTTTCAATTCCCAACTGCTTAAGTACTTTCCTCTTCCTTTGCTATAAGTACAAACCAGTAGAGTTTCAGTCTCGACAGAGACTTCTGGTTTATATGAGCGCATTGATGTTTCAAGTTGTAGTAAATAGGGTCAATGTAAAGAGTTATACTAGTCACTTACATTCATGAAAGAAATTGAAACAGTCGTGCGCTCACTTGTTATTTTCCAAAAAGGTGCAAAATCAGGTACCTGTCCCTATAGTAAAGGCACCTTGTTTACAAATTTCAACCCGTCTTTGACCTCATGAATAACAAAGCATTGAACAAGTGACTCAAATCTATTCACTTTCACTCTTTAACAGATCAATGCGTTATCGTGTCTATATAGTGTTGCGAGCTATCGATGATCAAATCATTTTCAAATGGGTAATGTACCCTGGGATAATTTGTTTTATACCGGTGTATTTAAGATGTGTTAACATTTTTGATTTACTTGATATTAAATGAAATATCAGTCGATTATGTTTGATTTTTTTTTTCGGTATTCATAAATATATGTATTGGAGGCTTCTAGCACAAACCTTGCACTTTCTGCTTGAATCTCATTAATACAGAATAAAAAAAATACTGTGGATATATATATTATAAATTTTCCTTTGTTCCTAAGTATACATTGTATGTACATCACATTGAATAATAGGACGTTAAAAAGACATATATATCGTATGAAAAGTCATTAGACGAATTCACTGCACAAAATGCACCCCTAATATTGAATAGAGGGAAACTCCGGTTTTCTTCTGACGACACTACAAATGCTGTAACATTTTGCATCGGCACAAAATCTAACAACAATTAGAGATTTGAATATAATTATTAGTAATAATCAAAGTACTGAGAGTACTGATAGGCGGAAGCATAATTTCGATGAACGGTGTTGCCGTGGTTACTAAAAATAGAAATTTCTGTGAAATTCTTTCAAAATGCTACTCCTCCTACAGTTCTAGTCTGATTTCAATATAACTTGGCACACAAGTAGACTACACTAAGATACATAATTCTGTGTATCGGTTTTTGATTTCGATGAACGGTGTTCCGTGGTTACTAAAAATAGAAATTTCTGTGAAATTCTTTCCAAATGCTACTCCTTCTACAGTTTTAGTCTGATTTCAATATAACTTGGCACACAAGTAGACTACACTAAGATACATAATTCTGTGTATCGGTTTTGGATTTCGATGAACGGTGTTGCCGTGGTTACTAAAAATAGAAATTTCTGTGAAATTCTTTCCAAATGCTACTCCTCCTACAGTTTTAGTCTGATTTCAATATAACTTGGCACACAAGTAGACTACACTAAGATACACAATTCTATGTATCGGTTTTTGATTTCGATGAACGGTGTTGCTGTGGTTACTAAAAATAGAAATTTCTGTGAAATTCTTTCAAAATGCTACTCCTTCTACAGTTTTAGTCTGATTTCAATATAACTTGGCACACAAGTAGACTACAATAAGATACATAATTCTGTGTATTGGTTTTTGATTTCGATGAACGATGTTGCCGTGGTTACTTAAAATAGAAATATCTGTGAAATTCTTTCCAAATGCTACTCCTCCTACAGTTTTAGTCTGATTTCAATATAACTTGGCACACAAGTAGACTACACTAAGATACACAATTCTATGTATCGGTTTTTGATTTCGATGAACGGTGTTGCTGTGGTTACTAAAAATAGAAATTTCTGTGAAATTCTTTCAAAATGCTACTCCTTCTACAGTTTTAGTCTGATTTCAATATAACTTGGCACACAAGTAGACTACAATAAGATACATAATTCTGTGTATTGGTTTTTGATTTCGATGAACGGTGTTGCCGTGGTTACTAAAAATAGAAATTTCTGTGAAATTCTTTCAAAATGCTACTCCTTCTACAGTTTTAGTCTGATTTCAATATAAATGTGGCATGCAAGTAGACTGCACTAAGAACATAAAGAGACTTAATCAAGGATCATTATTCTATTTATTGCTGTTGAAAAGTTTCAATTTCCAACTGCTTAAGTACTTTTCTCTTCCTTTGCTATAAGTACAAACCAGTAGAGCTTCAGTCTCGACAGAGACTTCTGGTTTGAAAAAGTCTCCAAACTACCATCAAGTTAGGCACTAAATTAACAGGTCCCCAAGTGTCAACGATTGATATTATAATCCCTTTACTCACGTGACATTTCTTGGTTTGATAAGCCAATGCTTTCATTGAACATTTTATTGTGTTTGTCATTTAAAGTTTCTGTTCGGACAGTATCTATCATACCTCCAACTTCAAACTATGGAAGATTTTGGCGCTAATTATAATAAGGTTTGGAGGTTATATGTCTCTTATTTTACTGTGTTTTTTTTTTTGTTAGGAGTGTTTTGAAAGAATTCTGGTATTTGTAGTGAGATTAGTAAACAAAGGCTCATGTCGCCTCAGTATTATGGTCTGCAGGGCAATACACCTAACCCATTCCGAAACACTAGAATTATTGATTATTTGCGCACCATGAAACTACACAATCTCTCTCCTCATTAAATTCGTAGTGTAGCATCTAGTTGTGAAAAAATCATATGTGCTATTGTTTACATCCACATCCATGCGATTTAAATGTCTCCACCTTTTTGCGGGTACCTTAAATTCGATAGTGGTCCATTTAAATTTCCAGAAATTTAAGTCTTATACATGTTCTTTTCAAGGGCATTGTCTGTAATTATAGAAATATGTATGACAAAAAATTCAATGCATAAATATCAAAAGCATATGCTTGCACAATAATCAGATTAATTTAGGTACCAGTATATATTCTAATGTAAATTTAAGATTAAAATGGGTAGCCGAAAAGGTTCCAAATGACGTACTAAAGTGCACTCATTCTTTGATAACAGTCAAATGAACACAGACAAAAAATAACCTGGAAACTTATTTAATTTATGGTACATGTACACAAGTGAACACAAAATGCAACATTTTATCACAGTTACCAGCTCATATTTAAAAAATGCAAACAGTGACATCAGTATAATTGCACATGGACAAATATATTGAAAACAAAACATGTCTCAAAGACTAAAATTTTCCACCATCTCATTTAATACCGGTATATTGATAACACACAATTAACACTCAGGTATTCTTTACACCTTTAATGACCTGGACGTAATTTTAACAGAACTTAAACAGTGAACAGTTTATGAAATATTTTTTCCCAAAAGATTGGTATAGATACATAGCTGGAAAAAAAATATGTCAATCAAGAAGTAATTCCATTTCTTCTGAAGAACTCGGCCCTAACGTGAGCAATGCGGACGTGTTGGCGGTCAGGATTGTCAACAAACAAGTCGAGTCGATGTCCATACTCTGAGGAAGACAGTGTGGGAACCTCCTTACCCTTCTCCTGAAAGTGATCAAACATTGTATTTTAAACAAATAATTCCACATTATTAAAAGTTCTCTGATTTTATGACATACATAAGATCCTATAAAGGAGAACATTGTATTTTACACATCACATAATTACAGTTCATTAATATTATGTCATTATTACATTAATTTGTAAGTTGACTCCTCTCCGTTAGGCTAACTTTTAATCCGTACCTCTTGATTTACTACTAAGCCCCGAGACTTGGCATGTTCCCTGTCATCGCGGTGAAGTTTGTTATTATAGCCGTATTCCTTCCTAAATAGTCTCTCATAAGTTGATCTTGGATATCGATCCTGTAAATACATCAATCACAGTCAAAGCATATTTAAAAATTTTATTATACATCGTGTTGCAATTTACTTGAATCACTCATTTTCAATGGAAGGGGGAATAATTTTCATTGTTTTTGTGGCATGAGGAAACCCACAAATGTATATTGTCCCCCATGAAAATGTTACAATTACTTAATGTTAACTTTTTTCTTGATCCAGAAGATCAATTTTCCTAAATTCAAACAAATATTTTCCCCCAAATCAATCACAGGGACTTGAGACCCTGGCAAAATCGGGTATATGTCTCAAGTCCCTGTGAAACCAATAAAATATGTATTATATAATTTTAACAAAATTAATGCATGTAGCATATTACATGTATGAATATTTGTTAGGAATTACTGTTACTATTATTATTAAAATTTATACAATTTGAAACATACTTTCATTATTATAAGCATACCTTTTTATTTTACCTATATGTGTTAATTAAGATCAATGACAAGGTCTAAGGTAACAAACAAGTTAACTCCAATGGTAATATTAACTGAAATATCTCAGTTCCTCGTGGTAAAATCAAAAGAGTTTATTATTTCAAATCACTAGTCTTAGGGTTAATAGGATTACACTGATCATGACTACTTGGGTAACTCAGTGGTTATATCATACACCTGACAAATGCAGGAGTCCTGAGTTGCATTCTCAGCTTATTTATAAAAATTAATTAATCCACCCAGGTGGACACAGATATAGTCAACACAACCCAAACCACTAAATTCTCTTATCAGTTGACAGGCATCATCAATTCCATGATAAAATTTTAATAGTATTTTTGCAATATGATGACAGTTATACCCGGTAATTTAACAGTAAAGGGAGAGGAGAAAAATGCAGTGGACCAGACCGGGATTAAACCCCAGGCCCCCAGAATCTCTGGTCAGGTGCTCTACCAACTGAGCTATCTAGCCCCTGGCGATCAAACCGGGCTGACCGCCACATTCCTCCCTCCTTAAAGGTCTTTGGTCCCTCAAAGACCCCAACCCAGGCTCATCCAAGGCAGGCCACTCACCTGTCAGTTCCAGGGCATGGCACGACCCCAAATGTAACGGGAGAGGAGAAAAATGTAGCAGTCAGGCGGGTTCGCTCACCAGTGGCCGGATAGCTCAGTTGGTAAGAGCACCTGACTGGAGATGCAAGGGGCCTGGATTTGAGTCTCGGTCTGGTCCACTGCACTCTTCTCCTATCCCATTACATAATATTGTGTCTCTGTGTTTGTATGAATTTACACATGACAGAATGCATACAAAATTTTTAGCTGAATATGTAGAAGGGGCCTGGATACAACTGCATTGTCATTTTGTTTACATTTTTAAATTTCTATTTTTGTTCAATTTATAAAAATTGAATTTGCAACCTGTTTTAAATTTCAATCTTTGTCCAAGCCCCTTTCAATATATTTTTCACTTTAAATTATAGATTTATATTTTTTGCTAGTATATAGTGTACTGAGAATAATAGTATGCATAGGTCATGCACATAGTCTTTGATACAAACATTTTCTAATAGATTTCCTGATTTTACAAATAAAAATGATTTAAATTATTTGCCTGTACATGTATTTCAAAATCTGGAAACTGCACTTTATTTGTGGAAGAGCATGCATTTTATGAAAATTTAAAATGAACAGTAATAACACAACCATCTCCTGAGAGTGGAAAGCTGGCCAAATATTCCAGAACAAATAAATACAATAAAATATATGACTCAATGTGTAGTGAAACTGCAAACGACGATCAATCTATTACAAGTTAATTAGACTTTACAGATTCTTTCAAGATAATTTTTCCTTAAACATTTTGTATGTTTATATGATTTACTTCTACCACACAAGCTGTTAAATTGGGAAAGTTAATAACTTCTGCAAAATAATTAAGTAACAATAATTATTCAACCTGGTATACATGTATTTACTATGTACACTATGACATGCATTAATTTATTTAGCAAGCTGCATCTACATAAGTCAACAATTATTTGATTAATACTAAATGAAATCAATTAAAATATCATCTGAATTCTAGTTTGCAGTTTCATTCTAGCATTTCTGAATTAATGCAAATATATATATATATGCACAAACCAATCAAAGCATTTATCATACACAACATTACCTTCTCACGCCGTTTGATAACCAACTGAAAGAAAATTAAGGTGGAAACAAACTTGTACAGAAACCTAGCATGCATTGCAATTTCAGATAATATTAATTTTATGCTTTTTTATGTCTTTCTTTACAAGATTTAAGGGAAAGAATCTCTATGTTTTAATTGTGACTTGATTTTAATAAACAAACAAAATTGTTTGTTCCATATATCTTTGTCTCTTAGAAGTAACAACTATAGAGGTAAAAGACCATGGTATGATCACACATATGTATGATATAAATTGTACAATAACTTCATTATTGGTGCAATAAGGTCGATTCTACAGTATTTTGACAGCTGTTTATGCTTTTGTCAAAGAAACGGAATATCTTTATTAAAATAAAAAAAAATCAGGATATTTAATCAAAAGTTCAGAATTGCTTTATTAAAACTTCACATAAATCATGTTAAAATAAGTGACTGTCTGTGTCTCTGCAGCATGCAGGGCAGTGATGTTTGGGGGATGTTAACAAAAGTTTCACATAATTTGTAAAAACCCACCTGTTTAGGAGTATTGAATACGGTTCTTTCTGGGGGATCGTCTCTTTCTGTCGGAATGAAGGAAAATGACGAGAGCTCACATGGCCTTCCTTTCAAAGTAAAGTTGTTTGTTCCAGTTTCCACCTTTATTTCTTGTGGCTCTGCCATTCTGATTGATTACATTAGTTTCAATATGGCGGTTTTTCCATTTCCGTTGTCAGGTGCCCGAAGAAGAAGAGATAACCTGAACATCTGAAACCCTAGATAAATCTACTAAGGAATATACGGTCATAAAATATTCTTCTACAAGTTTTTGTATATAAAAGTTTTTAAAATGTTCAAAATCTCAAAAAAACCGTAGAAGTCTCATATTACCCATGACTCCTTGCGGTCAACATAATTTCCAATATGGAAGATGAAAGTAAGAAGAGTCTTCCTGTTTCAGGGATGAAGAGAAAAATGCGTAAAAGTACGTGCCTTTTAACAGATATTTATGAAAAGCACACTAGTGGTTGATAAATTCAGAGCTTTTTATAGTTAGGGTTTGCTGTTTTATAGCATTTTTCACCGGCAACCCCAAAAAGCCATGATATTAGGTTTAGTTTCTCTTTGAACATTGAACTTCAGACTCAAATGTTGCAGTTGCATCCTGTAGACAAACATGGTCTACGTATATGCACAGATATTCAGTTGTTGATCGAATTTATGGCATTTTGTTAATATACATAAAACGAATTGAATAATGTGATTTAAAAGTACAAGTGACACAAATTACATTTTAATCTCATCTGATGTAGGCCTTTTTCTAGAATGGAAAGGAAAATTGAGCTAAATGTAACATAAATTGAACATTCTTAAATACATTTATAATAAAACATATGTCTGGACTGGGAATCAAACCAAGGACACCTGCATTACTTATCAGACTCAGGTGTTTTAACCACCGCATATGGCACGCCAAATTCACAAAAATGAGCTAAACATAGTTTAACAGTTGATAAACTAGGTTTATCAACTGTAAACCATAGTTTACAAACCATGAGCTATAGGCCTAGTTAACAATTCGTTCACTATAGTTTTCATCTGTAAAACTATATTTAATGGTTGTTAACTATAGTTTACGAATGCTAATCTAAGTTTATCTGTCTGTCATAAAATGTTAACAATAGATTTTGTTGAACCTCGACCAATATCAACCAGAGGGCCGAAATTGGTGTCTCGGGCTGATACAGGATGTGATATGGAAAAGGGTATGCATATGTTTTGCAATCGAAAATGATTGTTTTCAGTGTTAAGTATAGTTTATGGTTCTGAAACATACATTATCGCGTTAACTATGATTTACAGATGTAAAATATAGATTAACACTGTTAACTATAGTTTACAGTCCGTAAACTATAGTTTACAACTGATAAACCTAGTTTATCGACTGTGAAACTATGTTTTGCTCATTTTTGTGAATTTGGCGTGCCATAACTGTACCGTCAGTCCGATATCTTCAGTCAAGCCTAAATTATTACAGATCTGATTATGATCAGAATAATTTCCATAGATTTTTGGTTTCATTTGAAAATATCTCTTCAGAGATACCAAACATCTATATGCAACTTTAAAGATGACAAAGAAATGCTCCTTTTTTGCAATATTTGTGTTATAAATGTAAATAGATTTTTACTCTTTTTTTATGGAAGAACCTAAACTGGTTAAAGAATTTTCTGTAAATTATGTTCAAAAATCATCATGATTGCTTACAAAATGGAAATGGTATACACTTCTTGTGATAAAAGATGAATACAAATTTCTGTGGATGAAAATAAAATTCTAAAAACATAAAAAAATGAAATAAGATTTAACATTGTATAAATGTTCTTCCTTTATATATTTCCTTACCTGAAATTAATGTGTATTTTTTAAATTTCAGATGGAACATAAATATATTTTTTATCTTAATTTCACATCTGTTGGAAATCAGGCATTATTCTATGGAAAAATTTGAGAGCAAAAGAAAGCAATGGATATGTTTGAAAGGACAGTACATGAACCTAAGTCTTGAGTGATATGATAGTTACAACATGGATCCTGTATATACATAGGAATATTTTATCTCAAGTTTTACAGACAGTTTATTGTTACATAACTTACAAGATGGGTTCTTGTGTGTGTAAAGAAAAACATGTGAACCAAGGGGCTATACGACAGACGGAGAGTAGTAATTCAAGTCATAGATCACAAAGGGGAGGAGCTACATCAGGGAGACGTAATGTCTCACATTCCAATTCCAGAAGTTCTTCCAGAAGATGTGCAAATGTGGATTCCTTAGTTCTAGAAACTTTATCACTCATTAGGACGCTGGTAGACAAGTATGTATATTATCACAAAGGCATTCTATTGGACTGCAAAGGAAAAAAAAAATTTAACAATCTTCTTTACAAAGAAATATTGCAATTATCATAATTATCATTTTATGAAATAGCATATCAATTTTTATCCTGCAACTACCCCTTGCATTGACCTAATAAAGGTAGCCTAATAAACCAAAGCTTTATTCGGTCACTGCCCTAATAAAGCCTCGTGACGTTCTAAAAGCATTGTGATGTCATGTATATTGCAATGTTTATGCCATGGCGTCATAGTTTTAACTGCAGAGATGTGCCTAAATCTGTTGAAAATAGCTAGTTTTGGATGTTCAAATGTAAAAAGTATGTTGCAGGATAAACAAAATACATGATAACTGTCTTGAAATATAAGCGATATTTGGGCTCGGGTCGAAAACGTAAGAGGGCTCGGCAAGCCTCCCTCTCTATCACGTTTTCTTACCCTCGCCCAAATATTGCTTATATTTCAAGACAGTAACCATGTATTTTATATATCCCATTGTATTTTTTGTGCAAAATACTCTGAAAATTAAAAATATTTCATGTGTGAGTGCATGTACTGTATAAATAGGCCTAATAAAGGAAAGATGCATGAATTCAACAATAAATGAATGAATACATTTTATATGCAAATATCAAATGATTAGTAAATACAGTACTGTAGCTGTACATAAATTGGCATATTCAAAATTTAGCACAATCACAGGAGTTGTTGATGTAATCATGAATTAGCCCTACACATGTTTGTGATTTTTACTGGTGTTCATGAATTAACGCATCATTGTCTGCACCAGAGCTGCTAAAAAATGAAGCCTGCTTTTTAAGTGCAGGTAGAGAAGTGCACTCCTCAATACCCAATGAAGAAGGCATGTTATGAAAATCTGTACATGTTTCTAATCATTCCCTTTTCAAAACCCACAGAAGAGGGCATTGTATCAAAATCTGTACATGTATACATGTCATACAGATATGTGCACAAATATAGCATTTCCATATGCTGTGTTTTCAGGGTTTGTTTCCCAGTTAACTAATGACAGTAGAATCACTGTATGCTGTGTTTTCAGGGTTTGTTCTCCAGTTAAACTACAGTAGAATCATTGTATTCTCTGTTTTCAGTGACCAGGGACCTCCCCAGTTAACTTCTGTAGAATCATTGTATGCTCTGTTTTCAGTGACCAGGGACCGCCCCAGTTAAGTTCTGTAGAATCATTGTATGCTCTGTTTTCAGTGACCAGGGACCGCCCCAGGCCATGCTGCTGCTGCATCGTGTGGCGGAGGCTGAGGATGGGTGGCTAGATGTGGTCAAGTCTTTAGTGGTGTCCATTCCTCTAGAAGATCCCCTGGGGCCAGCGGTGGTCACTCTACTGCTAGATGAGTGTCCCCTACCCACAAAGGTCTGGAACCACCCAGTCTTTAGTGTAATAATTAATCTTGTGAGAGAAATAATGGTGTAGTTAGTCTTTTTGTCCACAAAATTCTGATGAGCAAGTCTGGGTTTTGATTATTGTATTTTAGTGTTGATCTATTAGTAATATTTTCTATACACAGAGCTCCAGGCAATATAAATGTATATCTGAAAGCTGATAAAAACAAAACTCAAGAGATTTTCGAATCGTGTTATGCTTGTACATATATTTTGTAATTTTTTAGGATGCTATTTTACTCCTATACAAAAATTTGAAGTTGATGCCTAATAGTTCAGTTAAAGAATACAGTTCTGTCAGCTGTCAAAGAAATATTGGTGTTGTGTTGGGATGTCTAGCAGAAAAATTAGCAGGTCAGTTGTTTTTTTTTTCCTCATAGTACAGAATCAAGTCCAGGTGGGAAAACCATAAGAAAGAATTTTATGTAGAACAAAATGATACTAATTTATTGATTTATGTGTAAAATTATCTAATAGCAATTGACCAAGTTTTTGAGTGAATAGAAAAAAAATAATTTTGAATTCATTTGAAAAAGTCTGGTGTTAAGAGAACACAGACTTCTCAGTCATATCTAGGAAATCACTTCATTGCGATAAAATTGACTTGTAATTTTCAATAAAATTTGCTGTATTTTTAGGTCCAAATGCAATTGATATTCTGACAGATGATGTCCTTAAGTACCTCTTATCAAACCTTGTGAGTTTTATGTTCTTGTCTGAGACATTAGGAGACCATTGTGTATCATCTGATTGTGTGTTTTTCTTCTCTAGCCAATCTTTACTATCATTAAGTAATTTTGATTAATGACATTTAGAGGTGGGTTGAGAATACTCTAGATTGATCAAATCTTTAGGTACCTATTAGCTTAAATAACTATAAAGAGTTATCTCCTATATACTGCTGGAGACCAAAAGACAAACTACATGTACATATATCATTTGTCTGAAAAACAATATTCCCTATTGTTCAGTTTATGGTCTCCAGTTTCATGTGGAGATGAAAAAAATCAAGAGAGAGAATGCGTGGAATAAATTTTAGTTTGGATTTTATTCACTTGTGCTTGAAATATTTTTTTTTTTTAAATTAGAACAAAATACCACTCAACATTGAGGTTTGATTTGAATAAAACTTGAAATGATTTCAAGAAAATTTAAGACGTACAGTGCTCATCATTGATTTTAATGAAGTTTATTGCCATGGTTACTCAAATTTACCCTTATTTGTGATTAATTTTAAAATGCATTTAAATTGGATAATACAAGGTGTAAAATACAAGATACATATCTCTGTGTATTGCTTTCTGATAGGTGTTGACACTCTTAGTACATGTATAGTACATGTATACTGGGTATGTCTTATTAATGCATGTTTATATCTTGTGTCTTATTTGTATATTATATATGATAGATAACATTGGAGTGTAATATTTTTGATTGTATTCTGTTTTGTTGATTGTTTTTTTTTTTTCTCGTTACAGAATGACAAACTTGAGCCAGCTGTGATTCTTCATGCCTTAGTGGCTCTAGAAAAATTTGCCCAAACTAGTAAGTCAGTTGTATATTACTTATCTGTCCTTATCTTACCAATGCTCATCATCATCATGTCAATCAGGCATTAATCAGGATAAATGCTTTGATTATAACTATTTCCTTGGCCTTGACCATTGACCTTTTTCAGGAAATGAAGCATTGTTATCTATTTGAAGAAAGTCTTCTATAGATAGTTCTGACAATTTTTTATGATGTGACATATTGGTAAATTGGAATGTAATAAATTAAATGCCTAGTTATATGTTAGCTGTAAGACTGTGACCTTTAGTTGTTGATTTGATAAATGCACATTTTTTAAATATAAGACTCAACATAGGTGCTTTCATTTTCTGAAATTTGAGCATTTTACTATCTGGCCATCTTACTTGACTGTGTGTAGTTTAGTTGTCATTGATTTTTTTTTCAATTTGCAATTTCTCAAGCTGTTGTGGAAAAGAACTGTAACTCTGAGGTTTACATGTACTGTTTGTTTTTTAGGTGAAAATAAAGCAACTATAAATAAGAGTTTACGAGAATGTGACCCTAATCCCTTAGAAATCCTAGAAAAATGGTGGCGCCATGAAAAATACAGCCTGCGGGAGGTGGGATTCTGTGCCCAGTGGTGTCTTGATAACTTATGTAGGTGTCATTGCATCAGTGATTTGTTTTGATGGTTTTTTTTTCACTGAATTAAGTACATAAAAAAACAATATTCTAAAACTTACCGATCTGTTCTGTTTTATTTTACAGTTGTGACTGAGGTAAGTCTAGTTTAACCTTAGTTTGATTTATTTCAATAGATTAAAGTTAAGTAAAGATTGTCTTTGAAGTCACAAACCCTTGATCTAGCATTTAAAAGTTTGTTGACACTTCTTAAAAGGAGGATTTTTTTTTGTTGTAGAATCGTGAATTTTCCTATACAAAAGAAGATTTAAAGAATATTAATGTAATGTTAAATAGTAAAGATGTTAGTGAATACCTGAAAATTTCTTCTGATGGCTTAGAGGTGAGTGTTTTCTGGGTAAATACAGCTCATTTTTGTCATAACTTTTTGAAGTAAGATAAAATCCATTCATGAGTCTTCGAACATTGATTGTTTTCAAGAACATTGCATCCAAAATAATTTCATTGCATCAGGTATGCAGATTCCTGCTTTAAGGAGAACCCTGGTTTGTTACATGTATTTAGTTGGAGAACATGTAAATTACATCTGAAATTTGATTGAATAAAAAGCCTTGAAGTACAAATTTCTTTACCCGGTAATTTCATTCTAATTTCACTAAATTCTCATCTGCACTTGTACATTTTTCAGGCCAGATGTGATGCTTCTTCCTTTGAAAGTGTTCGATGCACATTCCAGGTGAATTCTGGGATATGGTATTATGAGGTCACCCTTTTAACAGACGGGGTGATGCAGATTGGATGGGCAACTAAATCTAGCAGTTTTCTAAACCATGTTAGTATTTTTTTCTTGAATTCTGCCTTTGATAAATAGATTCTATTATTATGTTTTGATCTTAACTTTTGCATTGATTAAGTTGATTTTACAGACTATAATTGTCCCCCGCTTGAAAAGTGGGGGATATTAATTTGGGTCTGTCTGTCCGTCTTTCTGTCTGTCTGTAACGCTTTTGTTTCCACACGATATCTCGAGAACCCTTTGAGCTTTCGCAATGAAATTTTGCATAGCAACTTCCTATGAACTAGGAAAGAAACCTATTGATTTTGAGGTCAAAAGGTCAAAGTTCAAGGTCATAAATTTATACATTCTGTCTGTGTGTAACACTATCCTTTCCGGGCGATATTTCAAGAATATTTTGAGCTTTTGCAGTGTAATTTTATACCAGTACTCCCTAGGACCTCTCTCACCCCTCTCAAAGTGTCCCACCCTGTGTGTTTATTAGTATTTATTGTATTACATGTCGCTATTTTTAGCGCAGGGGCATGAGGAGAGATATTACGTGTAAAACAGGTTCTCGGCAGACTTTATATTCTTATTACATCTATTAGAACTGTTTAATAAAGGTTAAATTAGACACCATGCATTGTGTAAAATTTTGACAATATCGAACATGAATATATACATGTATGTGACTTCATCTTTGCATATAATTTTTGCCAGTTTAAAGCGGTTCCGTGGTGTAGTGGTATGTCTCTCGCTTCAGATGAGAGAGGTCTCGGGTTCGAATTCTGGACGGTCCATTTTTCTTTTTTTTCCGAAATACTTTTTTTTTTACTAAATGATAGTATTCAGCATGTGAAATGAAAAATGTATGAGATCTGGCTTGTACAAACTCATAAAATCATCATTACACTGTAATTATTCCATATAAAAAGAATCTTCTTTACACATAATAAAGAATAAGCAATCAAATCTTTATATCCATATTGGCATACTTTATTTGCTATACATGTATACATTTAATAATTCTACAAATTCTGTCAGGGTAATCCGACTCCCCCCCCCCCCCCCCCCTTCCTCCCAAACTGTGCATGGTTTACTTTTTCCCTAAGGGGGGGGACATAAGCGGGGACACAAATTCTCTGAATTAGCTTGTTTTGTTTTTGTCAGTCGTAGTGCATTTAAAGGGCATTAAGGGATGGAGCCTAAAACCATCAACATGAATGCATTCTTCAAAAATCTCATGTATTCCTGGATGTTAAAAGCACTCAAACTGTTTGCTTGATTATGATAAGCATTAAGGCCTGTACCAAAATTGGGAAAACCATTGCATTTGGTATTAGGATGGGGCTCTATTAATCATTTAATAAACAGGCATTGACCTCTTTTAACCATATAATAAAATTGCATTAATTCTTTGAAATTTTCTTTTCTACTTTTGAATATTTGGTGTACAAAATTACCAGTAAGTGTATCATGGTATGCGGAACTTAGATTTAAGTTGAATTTTTCTAAAAGTTCTTTATTGGTAGTGATGAATACTTAGATATAAGTTGAATTTATTTTTTCAGGAAGGTTATGGTATTGGGGATGATGAGTATTCCATTTCATATGACGGGTGTCGGCAGCTGATATGGTTCAAGTCTGAGAGTCGACCAATAACACTGCCTTGCTGGAAAGCTGGTAAGGTCTTCCTCAATGACGAGTTTGGAAAATGAATATTTATTATAACTCTTTTATATTGCATGAATTTGTGCATTTCCACATATACTTTTTCAAACAATATAAAGTTCATGAAAATTAATTTTATGATTTTATGTAGGCTAAAACAATTACCAGGATATATAAAGAATTGACAGAAAGTAATATGACACATAGGTCTTTATAGTGAAAAAAAAGATGAATTCAAGGGCGGATTCAGGGGGGTTTGGGGGGGTTCGGGAAAACCCCCCCGCTCATCGATTTTATTTTTTTTACAAGTGTCATTTTATCCTTTTGTTGCATTGATAAGACTCTAATAAACATGAACCCTTGTTTGTACAACTATGAAATATACATCCACTACATAACAGGAAATCACTTTCCGCTTGAACGCACACAATGCAAAGGTAATCAACAGAGACATTGCCTCAGATATCGGGTAGTCTGTGCATCTAGTGAAGTCACAAGGTCACAGTACAATGTAATCAGGTACCGGTGTCATATAATATATTGAACCCCACGATATTTTGAACCCGGGTTCAAAATATCGCTGCGAAATATTGAACCCCTCTATAAAATATTGAACCCGAGGTTCAAAATATTATGGCCATAAAATATTGAGTCCCCCTGCCCTTTTAATTTCAGAGGTAGGGGGTTCAAAATATTATGGCCATAAAATATCGATACCCCTGCCCTTTTAATTTTACAGGGAGGGGGGTTCAAAATATTACTGCCATAAAATATTGAACCCCCCCTGTCCTTTTAATTTATGAGGAAGGGGGGTTCAAAATATGGCCATAAAATATTGAAACCCCCCCCCCCCCGTCCTTTAAATTTAAGAGGGTGGGGGTTCAAAATATTATGGCCATAAAATATTGAGTCCCCCTGCCCTTTTAATTTCAGAAGTAGGGGGTTCAAAATATTATTGCCATAAAATATTGATACCCCTGCCCTTTTAATTTTACAGGGAGGGGGGTTCAAAATATTATTGCCATAAAATATTGAAAACCCCCCTGTCCTTTTAATTTATGAGGGAGGGGGGTTCAAAATATGGCCATAAAATATTGACCCCCCCTGTCCTTTAAATTTAAGAGGGTGGGGGGGGTTTCAAAATATTATGGCCATAAAATATCGAGTCCCCTACCCATTTAAATTTACAGGGAGGGGGGGGTTCAAAATATTATGGCCATAATATTTTGAACCCCCTCCTTCATAAATTCAAAGGACAGGGGGACTCAATATTTTATGGCCATAATATTTTGAACCCCCCTCCCTGTAAAATTAAATGGGCAGGGGGACTCAATATTTTATGGCCATAATATTTTGAACCCCCTATCTCTCAAATGAAAAAGGTAGGGATTCAATATTTTATAAGGGGGTTCAATATATCGCAGCGAAAAAGTGAACCCGGGTTCAAAATATTATGCGATATTTTGAACCCGGGTTCAATATATCGCGGTATCAAAATATTATGCTACACCTGTCCCAACAATATAGAAAACTGCAAAGTTACGGTGCTGCTCAGTAATATTCTTTTGCTGATAAAATGCATGTTTTTTAAACTAAGAATACACTATTATTCAGGGTTTTTTTTACCGTTTTAAAATTTAAATTAATATAATTTTTTTACAAAACCAGGTTGGCTTAGCAAACCCGTCTAGTTTTGACAGATTCTCCAGTTTATGTAAATTTTTTCTTCAGTTAAGACAGTTTGAAATTTCATTAATTGTACACATGTGTTTATATTCCAAATCATATTGACAGTTAATATACTCAAGTAAGTTGAAAAGCACAAGTTAGGGATTCTGAAAAGAATTCAATTTTTTTAGTGTTTAAAAATTTAGATTGGTATATTAGTTGTATCTTGGAAGTCAGCTTGACATAGGACTAAATTAATTGTAGGTGCATTTAAAGTAAACTAAGACAACTTGAAGCAACTGCTTGCATTCCTAAAATTGTCAGATTTAACATTTTTTTAAAGCAAAGTCTAAAGTCTTGTGTTAAAGTTAAATTAAATTGAAAACATTTTATTAAAAATTTGTGATGATCGGTCTTTAAAAAAGCTACAAAAAGTACCCCCAAAATGCTGGAAAATGCACCATTTAGAACCATTTTAAACAAAATTTTCTCGGGGGAGGCCCCCCGAACCCCCACCTATGGGAGGGGGACACCCCCTCCCATGCCCTCCCCCTTCGGCCCTTTGGGCCTCAAAACCCCCCAACATGAACTTCTGGATCCACCACTGGAATTGACTATAAAGACTTAATTGTGATACAGATAGACCAGTGATTTGCAAAACCTGTGTATTGTAATGCTTATATCACTAACACATTCAGCATTTTGTCTCCCCTGAAGACATATCTGGATATCTTTATGTTCTGTTTGTCTATCACAAAATCAAGTCTGTGGCATTACTTGAGAGCTATGATTAGAATGGATAGTAACTTGAGTATGTGTTGTCCATTTAGGTCATGAAAAGGCCTTGACTCAAGATCCTTTCTCAAGGTGAAGGTCACTGAAATGATATCTAGGTTAATGAAAAAGCATCAATTTGGCCACTAAAATGTTAATAATTTTATCATTTTAAAGTATTTTCAGAAGGAGTCTAATGAAAATAAATTTTAAAAGTAAATAAAACTGTACACTAAGCTTATGTCTGACATTTAAATATTGGTTTAATATTTTTACTTTGAGGACTCGAAATGAAAGAGAGTTATGCTTCTTAAATCATTCAATATAGAGTTTTAAAACTACTACACAGTAAATATCAACTTGATTAAACCCTCATACTATTGGTATCTTTATAAATTTTATTGAGAGCACCATACATTAAAGATATAGACTTCAGAACACTTGACCAAGTGACTTTATTTTCAACTTTATGTTGCAGATAGTGATATTTTAGATTTTTTCATTATACAGAAAATTTGCATAATAAAGTTGATATGAAATGAAATAATTTCTAGATAGAAAATCTCACTAAAATTGATTAATAGTGCAGAGGTAGCAATAATTTAATCATTTGACATTATTAAATGTTGATGCCTTATGTATTGTTGTAATGTTTAAAATACATAGACATTATTGATGGCTATCTTATCTGATTTTAAACAATAGGAAAAAATATAAATAGCTCATTGTTTCTAATTATAAATATTTTAAGCATTTGATAATGGGTACCTCTTGAATATTTTTTTTATGGTTTAAAATATAATTGTAAACCTTCAAGTTAAGGCAAATGAATTAACCTTTTGTACACTGGACGTAATGAATATATGTAACAAGTTTGAAGATTTAAATTGTGATAATTTATTTAACTTTGTGTCATGATTTGAATAATATCTCTTAATTATTTTCTAATGAATTTAAATATTAATGTAGATTCAGATTCATCCTCATTTTTTGACTTCTTATTCTTGAAATCCATAAATGAATCTCATTGGGTGCCAAGAATATTCTAGCCAGATTTCTTAAAATCCTTATCTTGCAAAAAAAGTTTATAGAGCATTAAACTGTAGTTTTGTAATGAATAATTATTTTTTGACGTAATGATGACTCTTAAAACTTGGTGCCTGAATAGGTTAAAGATTGTCTGGAGTCCAAAGAAAATATTGCAAGTCACAATTATATTGGCAGTTGGAGGTTCTCTTGTCTGTACATTATTACGGCCCACTAGAAGTCATTCACGTCAATTTATCTCCTGTAATCTCGGCAGATTCAGCTTGGACAATATCGGACCCGGATCAGATGGGACGTGACAATTGTTTTTATTTACCTGACTTCGTCTGATATACATGGCTGATTGAAGATGGGATTGGAATATGAATTTAAATGTCTGAGACCGCTTCTCCAGTAGAGCTTTAAATATCGTTCTAGCGGCCTGATTTACATCGGATTATCTGCACTCTGTGATTTGATTAACATTTGTATAACTTTAATTTGGTTTTTCCATAACAACAAAGCCTGTGTGGCTGGCTCTCAAACCCTGACTCTACGCTGACTTGTCAACCAGATTATGATTCATCAATTAAAAGTTATAGAGATCAAGCTTAGTTTACTAACTTTTGTAACCAAAACAGGTGGAAAAATGACATACAAGTACAAATTCATTTTTCAAAAGAAAAGAAAAACAGTTTTTATGCCCCCACAATAGAAGATTCAGGAGTACATTATAGTTTTTGTCCTGTCCATCCTGTCTGTCTGTTTGTCTGCAAAAGCTTTAACTTTGTCCATAACTTTTGATAGTTAGAGCCATGTCCTTCATATTTCACTTGTGCCTTTCTTGCAACAAGATCTTCTTTTGGTACCAATTTATTTGACCTCTTGACCTTAGTGTTTGATCCACATTGTCAAAAAATAAGCAAACTTTCACATTGGTCATAACTTTTGAAGAGTTAGTGCTATGGCTTTCATACTTCACATGAGTATTTAGCTGCAAACATCAGATTAAAAAAATCGGAGAGGGCTACATTATTGCAGCTAATGGTATTCATCAAGACAAGACTTTTTCTTGAGAAAATATATTTTTACCTGTTAGCCTTGACCTTAGAGTTTGACCCACTTTTAATACTTTTACCATAGCCATATCATTTGAAAAGTTTGTACTAAGGCTTTCATATTTCATATGTGTATTTCTTGTGACAAGACCTTTTGATGCTCTTCTTAATTTTAAAATTCTATAAAATTACTGTAAACCAACTTTTATTTGCATGCGAGAAATTTTCGCGAGATTCGCAAGAGCCTCGTCATCGCAAATATTTCTCGCCGCGAACGGTCCTTAAAGTTTCTTTTTCTGTTAACAACAGATTTAAAAAAAGGCTTGATCGCGAAAATAAATTGACGCAAACTAGTTTCTTCCCGGAAAATCACGAAATAATGTTGTCGCGAATAAAAGTTGGTTTACAGTATATCAGAAACAAAAAAACTTGAATGCAGTTCTATCAAAATCTTAACTCTGATACATGAGCATTTTGCCTTCATGTATTTCTGGTGGCACATGATCAATACTGGTGTTGAAAAAATGTATTGTGATACATGTATTGTTGTTGAGCGTAATTTTGGAAAATACAGATATGAAAGCAATATGGTATGGTTTGTAAGTCTTTTGTATGTTCTATTGGACAGACATGTTTGTATGGGCTGTAAGCTTCTTAAGAGGACAAGTTTGTCTGATTGACACCTGTACAAGAATTTTAATTTTTACATATGTTAATCCATATGGATTTATTCACTTGGTCGGATTTTATGGATGTTGTCCAGGAATTAACATTGTATGACTCATTTAATTTTGCTGGAAAATAAGAACTTTTCATTGTCTGGTAATTAAACTTTTTGATCTCCAAGGGCCATCTCAAGTTCAAATTTAACTTTTACATTGTGTTTGTTCTCTGTTAAATTGGTAATTCATTTTGAATTTAACAAAATTCCCATTGTTTTTTTCCTTCTCATTGAATCAGAAGCTAGACTATGCGAGTAATCTTCACTGGTTTAAATCTTAAATTCTTGGGCATGCATTCAAGAAAATTAAGCAATCCTCAACTGAATAACATTCATTTAAAAAGATTTGTTTCATAATTTTGGTTGAAAATTTTAGTGATATTTTTACACAGCTTTTAGACTCATAAGACCCTTGATAGAGTTAACATAAGGTTCTAGCCTTTGGAAACTTCATATCCAGACACTTGTTCGATCTAATTTTATCTTTGAAAGACCTGTGTACTGTAGATCAGGTTATTTTCATGACACCTAATTTTCATGAGACAGTCGTTTACTCTTTAATTGTGAAAAAAAAATTCACATATCATGCTTAACCTGGTATGGCTCTATATAATCTTTAACAATACTTGTATGAATATATAACTGGTTGAGAGTAAGATTTTTGTGAGCACATTATCTCGTGTAATTATGAGAAAATTATGTTCTCACGAATAAAAAGTTATTTAAAGTACATTTAGTAGCTTGACTGGCTATTTCAAGGGCAATCTGGAATTAGCAGCTACCGGTACTTGTCTAAATTGGCCACTTAAAAGCTTCTCAAAGGTGGTCTTTTCATAGACATTAGACTATATTTCTTTTTGAGACTCATTAAGTAGATATACTGTAGAAGCACAAATTTTCGTGGGGATAAAATTTCGTTGATTTGTCATCAAAAATAGTTTTGTAGGCATTTAATTTCGTTGTTTTGAGAGTAACCCTATTCAATTTATAATATAAAATTTCGTGTGGGATTTAATTTCATTGATAATTGTTAACAACGAAATACATGTAAACGAAATTTAATCCCCAACGAATATTTCTACTTTTACAGTATACTGCGATGACTGTAATAAACAAAAATTCAAATCGGTAAAGAAAATCTTCATTTTTTATTTATACTGTATTGAAGAAATGATACAGTTATATTGTAATAAAACACAATATTGAAATTAATAACGGTAATCTGTAAGTATATAATTCAAAATATATATACTGTAAAACTTATTTATTATTAATTTTTCAATATTAGAGGAATGGAAATGTGGTTAAAATTAATATTTTAGATGTGTAATATCAAAATGAAATGATTTCATATGTATTAAAACCTCTGGCTAACCAATGGCTTTTGAAAATATTTCAAATTTCGAGTTTGATCAATAATTGTAAAAATATGTATTCCAACTATATTTACAAATCATCACCCTGAATGTAACACGTGTCATGTTAAATCCAAGAAACGCATTCATAAAATTCAGTCACAGTCACAAGACATTCATCCACAGTGTATAACACAATACTCTCTCAAGTGTACATCCACAGAATTCTTTGAATTTAACTGAGATTCCACACAGTTCAACAGATCTATTTATAGATCAGGTAACTATTGACTGAAATCCAGGAACTCCGGGATTGGGTTGAGTTTGAATTTCCGAGATATTTTCACCCATTTCCAACTGTTGTCGTAAAAAGTCAACTTCTTGTTGTTGGAACTTTGTTCGACTCTTCATAAGTTTCTCCACGACCTTTCTCATTTTGAATGTGGGTGTGTGTCTCAGAGCTCGACTTGCTGAGTGCAGAGGCACTCGTGAAACCTCGTTATGAGTAAGATCCAGGTGAGTCATCTGCTGCAGAATGATTTGACTGGGGGAATTGCAGCGATGGATCTTGCCATTATTCACGTTGGTTTTTATAAACTTCCACAAATTTTTCTTGGTTGTATTTTCGTCCTTAGTAGCTGATTTGTTGGAGCGTGTTGAGCGAGAACTTGTGGATCGATCGAGCTCGGCTTTTCCTGTGTCTTTGCTCACCTCGCGCTCGATTTTCGCCTTCAGGAACGGGTTTTCCTCTACAGGGGCGGCCTTGGAGAAGATGTTCAGAAGCACCGCAGCCTTGGCTAGGGCCGGTACCTTCTTCTCTTTCTCTGGCTCCGGTTCTGGTTCCTCCTCACTTTCCTCACTGGAGATTTCATCATTCAAGCTTTCGAAAAATTTGTTGATTTTCTTGTCAATCTGCCTACGCTCTGCTCGAAGAGATTCTTGTGTCACTTTAGAACCAGTTGTTCGTCGTAAGTTGGGCACAGATCTTGAGCTTTCTCGAGTGAGTGTTCTAGGGGTTCCACTTGATCCATTTGAGTTTGTCTTGCCTTCAGCGCCAAAGAGAAGCTGGCGAAGGTTAATGTAGTCTGTTGATCCAAAATCATCATCATCATCGTCACTGTCCCAGGCATTTAGACGGCGAGTTATCCTTGGACCATGTGTGTGAGGACGAACTCGTTTTTCAGGAGTAGAGGTTTGCACATGCTCAGTGAATTTTACATGAGAGTCCTTGGTTTTCTGTCTGTCAATAGAGGGAAGCTTAGCAGATTCACCGTCTTGACTGTTTAATGTTCCTCTGACTGATGCGGACATTTTGGAGGCAGGGGCAGACTTAGACCCTCTCCTCTGAAAAATTGAAGTTCTGTTAGAAGTGAGTGAGAGTGTTCCTGGAGTAGAGAGCCTAAGAGCTGATATTGTGCTGTTTTCTTCTTCACGATCCTCCTTTTCTTGCTGACGTAACATGTTCCGAGCTCTAGACACAGTTGGGGTAGCATTAAGGTCATTCATATTTCTTCCACGAATTGGAAATTTCTGTTTTTTCTCCAAGTAATAACAATCGCTCAAAACACCAAGTCTTTTCTCTGAATTGTTGATCTGGAAAGCATCATATGAAAAGTCTTTCTTAGGCTGCATGCGCCGTTTGGTCTCCAAATCAATCTTCCGTTTGTTGATATCGTACAGTTTAATTTGATATCTGAGTTCACTGGAATTTTCATGAATCTTTTTCATGTTATGTGAGAGCTCCTTATTGAGTTTTTCTGCCTTTATTAAGAAATGCTTCTCACAGACATTGTTTTTGACACTGACTAATCTCTCTGTAAGCGAAGACTTTTTCTGGCTGTCCATGGCGTCATTTTGCATTTCCTGGAACGGATTAGACACCAGCTGCTCAGAGTCCATGATGAAGAAGTTCCCTGAAATGATAAAGAAATAATCAGTAAAAATAATGTATATGTACAGAAAAACAAACTGTGCTTCTGTGAATATGGTACATTTCACTTAGCCTAAGTACCTTTTTAAGGGAACTTCTTTTAGCAAAATTAAATCCATTTTAAAACTGTTAGAATGTTTCATCTTCTAACATAAAAGCCAAAAGGCCTCTGTCAGAACTGGGTGTTGGTAGCTGTTAATGTTCTTCTATGTTTAATTTTGTCAGTCTAGAAACCTCCCTATTATAAGGGTTTCAGATGTCCATCCAAAACAAAAGCTCAAAGACCCAAGCTCTGAACACACAATCAAGTCAGGTCATAGGCAGGAATTCATAAAGATCAAATTAATTGGAAATTTAATTATACTGTTAGGGTTATGACTTGTTTTGATGAAATATGATCATAGAGGAGGGTTTTGAGTACACACTTGGAATTTTACAGCAGGGTCATTATTTTGATGATATAAAGTTATTAGGGTTAAATAGGATTATTTTCCTAGATTACTTTTTTTCTACAGTCTTTTGGTTTCTCATTGAACTGTACTTTTTGATATCTCACTTATTTTCAGTAATCTTGGTAATGCTAAAGGGTATCTCACTTGAGTTTTTGAGTATCTCATTTGACCCATTGATCTTGTTTCTTACTTTAGTTGAGGTTTTGGATATCTTGAACCATAAATCAAAGATTTCTCACACAAGCTGTCTAACATAAGATTTGAGTACAACTTACTTGCACTATAATTGACATCAATTCCATCCTTAAGAGCCATCGTAAAATACACCAATAATTAACAAGTTCTAGTCCTTCATATTATCAGAGTAGCTCTGTCCACCTCTGGACTTTCATTATAACTAACAATGAACAGATTATGCACCAGTTTGCAAACTATTTCTCATGAGAAGTTCAACATTTGTTGACGAATTTAACCCTAGATATAAGTTAATGCACTTACTTCTACTTTTTTTTGCATTAATCTGTCATGAATGTGTAATAGGGGATTAGGACTGCAAGAATTGAATAGAAAACTCTAATCAGGATTGCAATTAAAATGTGTCTTATAATTATTGGAGGGTTATATGGTATATTATAAGTTATAATATTTCGTTTTTTAAAATGAAACTTAATGTTTAAGGGACATTTTTTTTCAAGAAATAAAACAGTTTCCGTAGGAAAAGTTTTAATTTGTGATTTATGTAGAGTGATTTAGTATTACAGAGTCTTCCTTACTCAGCATTCTATATACCATTCAGTGGCAGATTTAAGGGGGTGGAGGGGCACACCTGGCATCCCCCTACAACTTTTCAAAATTTCTCATTTTACCAGAGGCCTGTTCAACGGAGCGATCGAGTGCTTGCGAACATTTCTTTTAGAGGTATAAGGAATTTTGGCAAGTGCTAGCGAACCATCACTCTATTGAACAGGCCTCAGGTTTCTTCTTTGAACAGAAAAAAGATTGAGGAAGAGGTTGTAAATAAGAGGTTTTGATCTTTTATAATCTTGCAAGGCAGAGGTTCTAGGAGCTTGGTTCTGTAACTTTAATTCCACAGGACTTTAACTTTAGGTTTTTGGAACTTTTTGGGGAATACTTTTCATCATAAGAACAAGAAATACTAAATTCACTCATCAGATTTCAAAATTTCTCTTCAAAATCTTTAGAATCAAGGAGCTTCTGGGGCTATGCCCCATGGCCTCCAACAGAGTTTTAGTCTAGAGCCATTTAGGGGTCTCAGGGCAATCCCAACCCCCCTCAACATGTTGCACCCCCTTAATATCACTTCCTGGATTTTGTACTACATCAGAAAACTGTAAACTACCTAAAATCTCATTGAAAGCTCTCTACAGTCCAGACTTTGAATAAGATTGCATCATTTCTTTGTTGTGTAACTTGTTATGGTCTATACAATTTTGTCATTTAATTTGAATTGTTGTTTTTGAAATCAAAGAATAGGTGAAGTAGAACAGAGAAAATATAACAAGACTTAAGGATTATAGAAGAAGACAAGGAACTGAAGATAATTCACTTCCAGTAGTATTAAAGTTTATTGATCTAAGTACAGTGTCTAAGAAGAGTATGTCAAGTTTCAACTCGCGGATAAAGATCAATTAGATGATCTAAACTCGGAGCTGAAATATAATCCAGAAAAGTATCGGATAAGCCATTAAATAAACAGTGGATTTACTTAACATTATCATCCAATTCATGTTTAAGATTGCTCTTTTCTTCGTAGCATTGATCGGGAAGCCTATTTGCATTTGTTTTGATGAAGTTGATTCAAATTAACATGAAACAGTGATTACATGAATAGTTTTAAAATGTTTGGCATCATTTAAATGCAAGGCAATATTTGGAATGCCTGAAAATTGTTTTGAAAAAAAAAAATCCATTGGATTATCAAAATATTGTGGTACTCTTATCAACTGATTTATTTTCAGTAACAGGATTCATAGAAAATGTAAATAAAAGTGACTTGCATTTCAAATAATGACACCCTTTTTCTTCACTTACCAAATTTTATAAAGTGAATATATTTTTTCCAATCCATTTTTTATTAAAATTTATATGTATGGTGAATTGTTTTCCTGATACAAAAAAAAATGTTTTAATAGAAGTTTGCTTTAAGATTTAGATTCTTCTTTTTTTTTTTTTTTTAGCATAAAACTTTACAAAATGACAGTTTTGGGATAAGAGAAGGTCGTAAAATGCCCAAACTGTGTCTTTTCTGAATATATCAGAGGAAATTAAAAGTTGGAGAGATATTTGATTTTTGTTACCTTGTTGTTTGACAACAACTCGGAACTCATCCTGGTCACCCATCTTCCAAAAAAATCCAATTAAATCTTCCAATAAATCCAATTAAAAATTAGCTGAACCAAAATTAATTCCACATCAAATATTTTCCATGGCTATATGGGAGATAGGATTCCCATTTTTATGTTTTATAGTCAACTCCATCGTGTAAAAGCTTTGTAGACTTTTTAAAGTGTTTTTCATTTTTGAAATAAATGAATGTAATAAAAGTCAAATCAGTAAAATATATACAACTTGGAATGACAAGAAAACTGGACACAATGCAGAGGTCAAGTAGACTAGTGGACTTGTGGTTTGTGTTAATTCTGAATTAAGGGACATTTAAACAAAAATCTTGTGTTATTTTCTTTGTTCAGATTTCATTAGACCCTTTGATTATGGTATGTCTTTTAAATCCTAAATCCTTATAAATTTGGTGTTAATTGTATTTTTGGATTATGTAGGCATAGAAATACTCAAATGAACCATAATGTAAAAAGATCTTAACTAATTATTGTATTTAAAAGTAACACTTATATTCACAATATAAAGTAAATTGGAACAGGGAACTGGGGCATACTAATAAAGTTTCTGTGGTACATCTACCAATATCAAAGGGTATTAAATAAATTCTGAAAATACTTTTCATTTGTTAGTCCAAATCTGTTATTTTGTTTTTATTGTATATTTTTATTTTTTTTTTTTCATTTGCCTGAGTATAAAAAAAAATCAGTTAATTTCAAAATATAAATTAATTAGAAATTATGCAACCTACCTTCATGTAAAATAGGTTCCATGATTGAAAATAACTGAATGTGTGAAAACTAGATAATTAAATCAATATCAACTCATGTAGAAAGGCTGCAGATAATCCCAAGGATTTCTACTCATCACTTGTCATAAAAATATGACCCGAATTTCTACTAGTCTACCTACACACCATGTTGTATGATTTAGTTTTGAAAAACTGTAAATCTAAGAAAAATCCAAAAGCAAATAAAAAGTCTAGACTATCATTTAATCATAGACAGGGAGAAATGAGGGGAACAAACTTGTAAAATCACATCTCATCTGAATGTTTTTATTAGTGGTCATGGTAAACTGGTTTGAAGAATAAAGTTTAATTTTGTCGGATTTACAGAATAATGACCCTAAGGTTTTATCATATCTAACTAATCTTGTCTTAGCTATTTACCCCTTTTTTCTCTCATTGACAAGGTCTTTATCATGGGAAAGGATAGAATATGGAAACAAAGCAATGCGTGAATGTTTTGGATTAAGATGATGTCATTAAATGTAAATCAGATTGACCCTCAGGTTACACAAGAAAAAATGTCTCCTTGTCTTTAGAAGACAAAAAATTGAAATGTAGACTTGTGTATACTTTTGGTATCAAAATTATGTCTCGGAATGTACAGAAGATTGACCGTGGGTTATGCAGGAAAACGTCCCCTCTGTCTTACTTATCACCGAATATATTCACTGTGGGTGTCAATTTAAAAAACAATTTTTGAAAAGGAATTTTTCAAAAAATTTTCATAGTTTAAAATGTTTGAGAACTTTGTGTTATCTCAAATAACCAAATAATTTTTTTTAATTAGAGGGGGGTTATTTCCCATAAACAAATTGTAGTTCTAAACATTGAAGACTGATCATATTTATCCTTACTCACCTTGCTGTTCTATCGGAGAAATGATGGAATTCTCCGATAGCATCGCCTCTGACATCGTCATTTTGACTTTTTATTGTATTAAGGTTCCCTTCACAATTGTTTATTTCCTAGTTAGGACTAGAAATAATTTTATGTTTAAAACATCTGGAATCCAATGTATGACCAAACAGAAGCTAGTGCCATTGATAGACATAGTTTTAAATTCATGATTGCAGTATTTAATTGTTCAACACTTTTGAGCGACAATATGATAGACCTGTATATATCTTTTTTCCAAAGTAGGGACTACATCAAAACCTAAAACTTTGGCTGCTTGATTGAAAAAAAAGATTTTGGCATTTAAAAAGTTGTTATTGAGATCAAGAAACATCCCATTATGTACAGTAAATCATAGGAGGATGTGTTCAATATAAGCATTTAGTTTACCTGAAACTTCAGAGGTGCATGTTCTTAAAGCTCACCAGAATTACCTGTTTCCAGGCTCTATCTTAACAGATGTAGTTACTATTTAGCATCACATGCAAGTTCTGGTCTTATAATGGACCGTCCTATTCTACAGATTGTCTCAGAATTAACAAAGCTTCTCTTAGGAAACATCATTTGTGAGAACTTTTTGGAAATGGCTACAGTAATTTTTTTTTTTTATTAAAAGGAAGGACCTTTTTAATAGTTGCCGATTTGGAGATGATCCCTGTGCACAATTCATTAAATGTAACAATTTGTTAGGTTGCTATATTCTTCTGCGTGGGACTGATAAAATCTAGAACTGCACACTCCGAGGTGTCCCCAGAACTAAATTAGCAATGTGTGACTGGACAATTACCTTTAAATTTAGATTTCAACTTAAATCATAAAATATTTACTCATGTAAAAAGGTTTTTGATCTTATACGATGGATGTAATACAATTAGTAGAAGGAGTAAGATAAATATGCTCAACATTATTTAAGTTATCGATATCACATTCTCTTTGTAATAACAATTTCTCTATGAAATTTCCATGTTTCCACAAATAAAAGGAGGCTTTTTATTTTAGTACAATTGTACATTGATTAGTAAGTGAATATTGACATATATATCTTTTTTTCATAATTACTTTTCAACTTCTATCTAAAGTATTTACTTCAATTTGAAATTACTAACTTATTAAAATTGAAGAAAGTGTTACAGTTAATAAACTTTTCTTTGTATTTGTGTTTCTTTATATTTCATTGAAAATGTAAAACCATTTTATCCACTTTCCATTTTGCAAGAAAAATTTGTGTAAAAGAGAAATTACTTTTTATGGAAGAATTAAACTGAAACCATTTTTTATCTTTTTTTTTACAGAAAAATTTAAATGAAAGCATTTTATATCTTAAGTCTACATTAGCAATCAACATTTCCTCACAGGAATCATTGTTAGATAAATACCGTAGGTGGCTCCTTTTTATAACACCATTTATAGCCCTGTTAGGATACTAAATGAAAATATTTAAATTAGATAAATTCCCCCCTAACTTCTTTGCAGGGTAGCAAATTAATCATTAAATATGTAAATTAGTTTGTCATTTTAAGAGTGACTTCCTAAGCTAGTCTACCCGGGCTATCGTATGCAGCATCAGGGGCCAATTTAAAGTTAAAGGGATTATATCTAAGCCCATGATCAGCCCGATACACATTATCTTTACAAGGTCTGATAGCCATCTAATGTATAAGGTGGAATTTACAAGAATTTTATTTTAAAAATGTACCTATTAAAATTTAAAGGTCAAATAGGTGTATCATTTTAATTAAGTTTGAATTTTAAAAATGGAGAAATTTTAAACTAAAGTTTGCATTTTAAGGCATATACACTTTAAAATATAACATGCGAATTATATTTGATTGTTTTTGGCATTGTATATCATATACATTGTACCTGGGTATCTCGGTTAAAGATTACATATCACCTGACATATCTATATCTGGATACTGATAAACTGATATATGTTATAATACCGATATAATATTATTGACCGATAGCATGGGTAGATAATAGTGACTCATGTACAAGTGATAAATTCTAAATATGATAGATCACCACATGGGTACAAATTCTCCAGACCTGCAAGTGATTCACCAGATTAAGGCAATACAATTGGAACCCATCAGTTGTAATTAACAAATTCCCATACTTGTCATATATTTTCTGATGCAAATATAATGAAATTACATTATGAGTTAGAAATGAAAAAAAGAGAACTCTACTATTACTATTTACTATTGAGAGTAAGAGGTCAGATGTACAATTAATTCATAAAAATTTTTGTGTCCTAAACTAAGAGAGAGATTTTTAAAACTTCCAATTAGAACTATTCTTGGTGACTTACCCACTTGATAAAACTTTCGGATGTTGTGTCCGATTCCTGACAAGTCTGTCATTTTCCTTCAGTCAAAGACGGTAAATAAAAATGGCAGAAGTGACAACCAGTTCTAAAGACGGCAAATGTTTCTGCGATCCCGACCTTACATTTCAGTGACAGTCCAATACAAAAGGATTTTTTGACTCCTGAAGTGATATTTAAGTAATTCATAGAAAAGATATTTCAATATCCAAAAATCATTTTTATTTAAAAAGAATTTAAACATTTATTTTTTTAAAGGATTCATATTTCAGTTTGAATGCAAGTTATTCTTTTACCGACTGGTATATCAATATCTTGGATTTAATCTAACATTTAAACAGAGAAATGATCTTGAAATTCAAATAGGGCGGGTTAAATTGGTAATTGGTAAGAAAATGTTTTCATGGCCATTTTAAATGAAAGGAGTTGATAAAAGGAAATTTCTTGCCTACTTACCATTTTTAATGCATCAAGTTTTATTCCAAGTTTTGGGATAGCCATTTTTGGGTTTAATCTCTTCCAATCTACATGCACTACATGTATATCAGTTCGAACACCATATGTTTTTTTCCCCACCAGGCCACATTGGATTTTACAAAACTACTTTTTTTAAGTATCAGATTTCATATTAAAGGAAAACAAACTAATTATGTTCTCAGATTCAAAGCCTTCATTCTCAAATGTTTCTATCTGAAATGTTAAATGCACCCAATGAGAGTGACCTTGTGTATTGAAAAAAAGTTTTAGGACGATTTCATGAAATTGTTGGTTCTTTTAACTCTTTTATTTTAATCACTTGAGAGACGTGATCATGATATTACTGGAGTAGAGTCTGATCTCAGATAAGGAAGGGATTTATTCCTACTCGTCAGAAATGTTTCGGAAACTCAAATCTCAGCCAATTCTTTTCATATTTACTAATACCCCTTTATTATTAAGTCAATACAGATTTTAAAAATCATTAAAAAAAACCTAAATCCGGTGACTCTGTAATTAATAAGTACAAATCTAGATGCTTTGTACAGTTGCGAACAGTCACAATACACATTTCAAATTGTGATTTGTTTTACCCCCTGTGATGATGGCTGCAGTTGTCACTCATTCCTGTGCCTTGTTATTAAAGTTACCAACCAGGGGAAGAGTCAATAGCATTTTGTGTACAATGTACACCATTTGTAGACTTTCTGAAGAAAAAAAGACAAACTATTCCACGCCAGGTGTGCTTTAATCTCTGTCATTCTGTATCTACCCCGTAGCTCCCTAATTCCGTCACTGTTTCCTTAGTTAAATTGTAAAGTCAGGTCATTTAAATTGCAGTTAAAGCACAAAAATTGTTAAAAGGTAGATTTTTAGTGAAAATGTACTACTAAGTGTTAAATTTTTCAGTGATAACAAAAATTATTTATTAGCTCACCTGAGCTGAAAGCTCAAGTGAGCTTTTCTGATCACCCATTGTCCGTCGTCCGTCCATCTGTCTGTCTGTCTAGCTGTCTGTCTGTCCGTCTGTAAACTTTTCACAATTTCAACTTCTTCTCAAAAACCACTGAACCAATGTTAACCATACTTGGTACAAAGCATCCTTATGTGAAAGGGAATTTAAATTGTAAGAATCAAGGGCCAAGTCCCCTTCCAAGGGGAGAAAATCAAGAAAATACAAAAATAGGGTGGGGTCATTTAAAAATCTTCTTCTCAAGAACCAATGGGCCAGAAAAGCCGAAACTTATGTGGTAGCATTCTGGGGTAGTGTAGATTCTAAATTGTTCAAATCATGACCCCCGGGGGTAGGGTGGGGCCACTATAGGGAATCCAAGTTTTACATAGAAATATATAGGAAAAAACTTTGAAAATCTTCTTCTCAAGAACCACTGGGCCAGAAAAGCTGAAACTTATGTGGTAGCATCCAGGGGTAGTGTAGATTCTAAATTGTTCAAATCATGACCCCCGGGGGTAGGGCGGGGCCACAATAGGGAATCCAAGTTTTACATAGAAATATATAGGAAAAAACTTTAAAAATCTTCTTCTCAAGAACCACTGGGCCAGAAAATCTGAAACTTATGTGGAAGCATCCGGGGGTAGTGTAGATTCTAAATTGTTCAAGTCATGACCCCTGGCGGTAGGGCGGGGCCACAATAGGGAAATTAAGTTTTACATAGAAATATGTAGGAAAAAACTTTAAAAATCTTCTTCTCAAGAACCACTGGGCTAGAAAATCTGAAACTTATGTGGAAGCATGAAGCATCCTGGGGTAGTGTAGATTCTAAATTGTTCAAGTCATGACCCCCAGGGGTAGGGCGTGGTCACAATTGGTTTTACAAAGAGGGGACATCTGTTAAAGAACAGCATGGCCAAAGTTTTTCTGGTGAGCGATGTGGCCCATGGGCCTCTTGTTTTTTTAGTAGAATCATTATCATGATTATTTTAAATTCTTTGTTTACTAGGCTTAAATGTGTATTACCTGTATTGATTCATTGACAGATTACAATTCTGAACCTATATGGTGATTGAGAGTTTTTGAATTCTACATATGAAACTTTTAATATGAGAGAGATCATTCAGAAGAAGACAGTTCTTATCTACAAACATTTAGAAGTTTACAAGCATTGCTTTATAGAAAGCACTTTGATAAATTGTTTGTAAACATGATGTGTTATAAAGTCCTATTTCTGCAGTGCATAGCCTCAGTTTTATGAGGAATTTTTAAACTCATATAAAAACAAAAACATGTACTGAATGAGAAAATGATTTAAATTGATTAAAGTATTAATTATAAAAGAGACGGTTTTACTTCTGGAATTCCTAATCTTTTTAATTAAGTCTGTTATGGTGCCAGTCTTTGTTGATCTTTCTTAATTCCAAGACGCATTTAGTGTTCCAATTAATTATCTGTAAGCCTAATAACTTAAACAGTTAATAGTGAGTTAACCATCTTTCCAAGTATTGTAGATATTTTACTGAAATTGCCATTGACATTAATGTACTTGTTTTATACCCATACACCTGACTTTGAGTTGGAGGTAAATAATGTGACATCACAATACATAGGTAGTTTCTCAATATCAAAAAGCAATTTAACATGAAGTCACAATGCATTGTAGTATGTATTGTAACACTTCAAATACCACCAAATGGTATTCAGTTTGCTTTAGGTCTGTGAGTGTAATTTTAGAATAGGAAATAAATTTGTTAAAGCTCAACATTGCTTTTAGAAAAACATGCTGTCGCACTGACACAGAACATGCCGTCACGCTAACACAAAACTCAACACACACACATCGCAACATTGAACAACATGCTGTCATGCTAACATGAGTTTGCACAACATGCTGTCGTGCGAACACACAACACGCTATCATGCTAATATGAGTTTGCACAACATGTCATCCTGCTAACACACAACTCGTGAAGGCGTGTTGTGTGTTAGCGCAATGGTGTGTCACTTTAGAGCGTGTTCGCACAACAGCATGTTGCGTGGTAGCACGACAGCGTATTGAACGAAATCGTTAGCGTGACAGTGTATTGTGTGTTAGTGCGAGAGCGTATTGTGTGAACTTGTGCTAGCGTAACAATATGTTGTTCAATGTTGTGAAAGCAATACAGTGTGTTTTTCTGAAGGCAATGTTGAGCTTTAGCAAATGGTCCTATCCGGACATCATAGTTATCCAGGTCTAATCAAGGGTGTACGGGGATTTACCCCGGGATATATTCCATACACCTCGATCTCAGGGTATATGGAATAAAACCCGGAGTAAATCACTTACACCCTTCATTGAACCTGGATAACTAATAAACTAGTTGTGTTCTATGATAACCTTGTTGATTTTGTCTGTCTGTTTGTAGGTGATACTCTTGGATTACTGCTCAATGTAGAGAAGCAAGAGCTGGTGTTCTATCTGAATGGGGAGGGACTGCCCCCCAACAATGAACTGTTCCAGCATGCAAGGTTTGAGAATTACAGTAATAACAGTGAAACAAATTACACCAAATGTCATGGAATTAATACGATCCCACTAAGTAGAGAACCCTAGAGAACTCTAGAGAACCCATGAGAGCTTGAGGTTTATATGGTGAATTTTGACACATTTTATGCATTATTGGATTGATTTTATTAAATAAATCATCTTCTGTACACAAAATCAATTAAAAAGTTATTTTATGGAAGTTTTCATAAGAAAAACGTAACAAAATAGATGGTGAAATATTTTATGACGCCCCGATTTCGATTGAATTTCAAAAACATAGTTTATCAAAATAACAATTCCTATCACGTCATTTTACAATTATTTTTCACAAAATTTTATTTCAAATTAATGATATGTGTAATTCTTAACCATTTACTCTCATCTAAAACATATTAATTAATTTCTTTTTAGAGATTATAGTAATTTGTTCAAATAAGCAAAAAAACTTGTCAAAAATAGGCTATATTTTTAGCCCACCTGAGCCGAAGGCTCAAGTGAGCTTTTCTGATCATATTTTGTCCGGCGTCCATCTGTCCGTCTGTCTGTCTGTCTGTCTGTCCGTCTGTCTGTCTGTCTGTAAACTTTTCACATTTTCGACTTCTTCTCAAGAACCGCTGGGCCAATTTCAATCAAACTTGCCACAAAGCATCCTTGGGTGAAGGGGATTCAAGTTTGTTCAAATGAAGGGCCACGCCCTCATTTAAGGGAAAATAATTGGGAATTAATGAAAATTTGGTGGTATGTTTTAAAAATCTTCTTCTCAAGAACCACTGTGCCAGGAAAAATGAAACTTATGGAGAAACATCCTCAGGTAGTGCAAATTCAAGTTTATTCAAATCATGACCCCCAGGGGTAGGATGGGGCCACAATGGCCAACCAAAGTTTTACATAGAAATATATAGGAAAATTCTTTAAAAATCTTCTTCTCAAGAATAACAAAGCCATGATTGATCATATTTATATGGAAGGATCCTCAGGTAGTGTAGATTCAAATTTGTTCAAATCATGACCCCCGGGGGTAGGGCGGGGCCACAATGGCCGACCAAAGTTTTACATAGAAATATATAGGAAAATTCTTTAAAAATCATCTTCTCAAGAATAGCAAAACCATAACTGGTCAAAGGTTTACTTCTGGATTTAAACTTTTCAATAATAAAACCAATTTCTACTTTTTCCTAGCCACAGTGGTCAGGTGAGCGATGTGGCCCATGGGCCTCTTGTTTTAAATTTAGTTTTGTTTTGGCATGATGCATTAGTTATTTAGAATATAAACATTTCATGTAAAGACAATAAATAACTAAAAATCATTAGGGTTCTCTGAGGTTCTCTAGAGTTCTCTAGGGTACCCTAATTAATATAATTCATGGTTAATGATTTTTAGTCTGATTGTAATGAAGCTGTTATTCTTTCAGAGAGGGCTTCTTTGCTGCTGCCAGCTTTATGTCTTACCAACAGTGCTATTTTAATTTTGGGGCCAAACCTTACAGATACCCCCCGAAGGACATTGCATTTAAAAGCTTTAATGACTATGGGCATTTGTCTGAGGAGGAAAAAGTCATACTGCCAAGGTAATGCAGAGCACTACAACAGAACGGCCAGGTTCTTCATTCACGCAAGTCATGCTGCTAAGTCTGCATAAAACATTGACTCTTAACTAACAATATGAAATCACGATTATATAGTCAATTTGTAACTTTAATAATCCAACATTTATGTTACAATTTATCTTTGGCTAAAAAGTCAAATGACTATAGATAATGATTATTTATAATGCAGTTTATAGTTAATAATTGTATTGAGAACATAATGCCACGCTACTTGACAATCATTGTCACCTGACTTTTAATTAATTTTACTTTAAATTATAATTTTGCAGACATATGAAATTAGAACTGCTGAAGAATTTAAATGTCAAGGAAGGAGCCTGTACTCTTTGTTTTGATGAGCTGGCAAATTACTATCTGTCTCCGTGTAATCACAGGTAATAACTATAAAAAAATCCATTCTTATTTTAATTTCAGAAAATTTTTTTTAGTAGAAGAATTTTTTTTTTGTTTACCGTATATACTCGCCTATAAGTTGGTCCGCCTATAAGTCGGTTGTACTTTTTGTCCGCCGCTTGAAAAGTGGGGGATATTAATTTGGGTTTGTCCGTCCGTCTGTCCGTCCGTCCGTCTTTCTGTCTGTCTGTAACGCTTTCGTTTCCACACGATATCTCGAGAACCCTTTGAGCTTTTGCAATGAAATTTAGCATAGCAACTCCCTGTGGACTAAAGAAGACCCCTATTGATTTTGAGGTCAAAAGGTCAAAGGTCAAGGTCATAAATAAGCAAATTCTGTCTGTTAAAACACTTTCGTTTTCACACGATATCTCTAGAACCACTTGAGCTATTGCAATGAAATTTTATATAACAACTCCCTGTGGCCTAATGAAGACCCCTATTGATTTTGAGGTCAAAAGGTCAAAGTTCAAGGTCGTAAATTTATACATTCTGTCTGTGTGAAATACTATTATTTCCGGGCGACATTTCAAGAAGATTTTGAGCTTATGCAATGTAATTTTATATCAAAACTCCCTAGGACGTCTCTCGCCCCTCTCAAAGTGCCCCGCCCCGTTTGTTTTATTAGTATTTATAGTATTACATGTCGCTATTTTTAGCGCTGGGGCATAAGGAGAGTTATTGCGTATAAAACAGGTTCTCGGCGGACTTTATGTTCTTATTACATCTATTAGAACTGTTTAATAAAGGCTAAATAAATCAAACACCATGGATTGTGTAAAATTTTGAGAATACCGAACATGAATATATACATGTATGTGACTTCACTTCTGCATATACGAGGGTTGTCCCGTAAAATCGTGGACAAGTTGTCTAGTGTAAAAAATAAACATCACTGCGTTCTGAAATTTTCACTATTATTTAGAACATATTTTAGTAATATACACAGCAAATTTCAGATAAATATATGCATAAATAAACAAATTATGTGATTTTATGCCATGTATTGTATCACCTTACGGCGCATGGAGTATAACGTCAAAGTGTCTAAAACAGTGTCATGTTTTATCTTTGCTGAAAATGAAGTTGGATGAGTCCGACTTAAATTTAGGAATTTCATTGATACACATTCTTTAGTCTCCATAAACAGTCGAAGAACCATTTGGCACCCTCATGCGATCTTCTGAAGATTTATCAGTAAGTTACGGACAATATTCTCACCATCATTTAACTAATAGAAAATCTCATATCGGCGGTCTACTGTGACAGCGTCTTTTGCTATTACATTAGGAGTTTGTCCGTATGTTTTGTACTCCCCAGGGACTCGATCAAATAAGACTTCGCTAAGAAAACTCCTATTTCATTTGTATACTTAAGATATGGTGATAATTTTATAATCTTTTTTCTTCTATGGTCATTTCAAGTCTCTAAAGGTGTCATTACAACATCGAATTAAAACGGAACTGCTCTCCGGTGCGCCGTAACGTCATAAAACGTCTCCATTTTTCGTGTGTTGTGTTTATCACTTTCCCATTTCGAATGCTCGAGAAACTGCCAAAAATTAACCAAATGCCTTAAAATTTTTACGAAGACTACAAAATTGATTGTGGAATTGAATTAGGATAATTTTAATCCAAATCTTATGTATTTAAAACTTTTATTTTGAATTCAAACTAGTGTATTCTTTAATAAAACCTTGGTTTTTTGTCCGTGCGCCGTAGGACAATATCCCGTGCACATTCAAGCATAATAAAATCTTTATTTTTGCCTATATTTTATCAAAAGAATTATCATGCACATAAATATGATAAATAAACATTTACTGAAATTTTCAGCTTAGTGCGCCCATTACTTTTCGAGAAAAACGTTTTGTCAACAATTTTATGGGACAACCCTCGTACTTCATATCATGTAAAGCGATTCCGTGGTCTAGTGGTTAAGTCTCTCGCTTCAAGTGTGAGAGGTCCCGGGATCGAATCTCTGTCGAACCTTTCTTATTTTTTTTTTTTTTTAAATACTTCTTTTTTTTTTTTTTTTACTAAATGATAGTATTCAGCATGTGAAATGAAAAATTTATGAGGTTATAAAATCATCATTACAGTGTGATAAAAATTCCATTTAAAAAAATCTTCTACACACATAATGAAGAATAAGCAATCAAATCTTTATATGCATATTGACATACATGTATTTTGTTTGCTTCAGTATACATGTATACATTTAATAATTCTACAAATTCAGTCAGGGGGAGCCGACTTTTTCCCTAAGCGGGGGACACGAATTCTCTGAATTAGCTTGTTGAGTTTATTTTGGAGGGATATGCAATTGACCCGCCTATAAGTCTGTAAAACTTTTTGACAGAATCATTTGACATTTTATATCAATGCACTGATGTTTTTAGCTGTTTTAATTAATATTTTTCGAAATAACGCCGATATTTAGTTTTTAATGATTAAACAATATTTAATGCACAAAATAAAACCATTATAATAAGTGAATATTTGTACTGTTTGTATAATCTTTGGATGCATAAACTATTCTACATAAATAGGCTTTGTTCTTCAGCAATTGTCTGAAATACATATAGAATGCTCCATTTCACTTTACAGAAAAATACCAATATCTTTATGACTCGCCTATAAGTCGGACATAGAGTTTTGGACTAAAATTTAACTCTCAAAATACCGACTTATAGGCGAGTATATATGGTACTTAGAGTATAGCAGTGAATCAGTACAGTGCTAAGTATTGTATGCCATTTAATTAAGAAATTGTACATTTATAGTTACTTAAATTTAACCATAGTCAAATAAGTTATTCATTTACAATAACTAATTTACTTCATTAAGATCTTTGTTTTACTTCATTTTCTAGGGGCTTCTGCTATCAGTGTACCCTCCAAATTGAACTGTGTCCTATATGCCGAACAAAAATTGATGAGCGAATCCAGGAAAAAATCACGGAAGAAAACAGTAAATCCACACAGACGTCTACCACGACTCACGAAACGGAAGTGTCGGTGAATAGTGACCTGACTGAAAAAACTAAACTGGCCATCAATGGTCAGACTGGGGGACAAACAGGGGGGGACACCAGGGATAGTAAAGAAGGATCTGATCATATCTCATAGCCAAGGCTTACCCCGGGGGCCCGAACCAGTATTGGACAATTTTATCACCTCAAACTTTTAAAGAGAATCAAAGTTCTTTTATTTTATGAATAAATACACCAAGTAGAAATCATTTTTAAGTACTAGTAAATAAAAACTTTTGTTTTTTTGGTTTGATTTTTATCTTATGATATGAGCCTATTTTTGGTTGTTGTTGGTGTGTGTGTGGTATGGGTATGAGGAGGGGGCTTTGGTCATATCTGTCCTCGAATTTCCAGGATTTTGCTGTCAAGTTTCTCAGTCATGTGTTATTTTTATTATCATCTGAAATGAATTTATTGAATGCATTAAATAATTTGTTTTATTTTTTGCTTCAACTATTTCCTAAAAGTTCTGATACAAGTATTTATATTAAATATGTTAGGATTTTCAAAAAGTTTTTTCCCCCTCAATAAATGCAGTTGATACAAATCAAAAAAGGCAAAATAAAAATAGAATCATGTATCTTAATTTAATACACAAAAATTAAGTCCTAATGCATAATAAATAATTGACCAGATTTCATTTTATTAATTGGAAAAGTATATTCCTTCATCTGCATCATGAACAGTAAACACCTAATTGAATACATGTAGTTGATTTTTTTTCCCCCAAATCTCTTAAGGTACATGTATTTGAAAATAATCGTGGATCTCTATCTTCAAAAGAACTATCTCAGATCTCAAAATCAAATGCTTGCTAGGTGTCTTTTAATGAAAAGTTTTATGCATGAACAAGAGCTGGTAACAAAAGTGCATGTTGTATAAAATTTTTTCTCCCTTTGCAAAATTTAATTTGTACATTTTTACTTCGCAAATCGTACAACTAATCAAATGCTGCAAAAATCACAACAAAATGTGTTCTAGGGTTTCATTGTTGGGGAGTGATACAGAGACAATGGAAAAAAACTAAGTTTTAAAGAAGATGTAATTTTAAGTTAAGATTTAAATTATTCAGGAATTCAATTTCAATGTCATATATTTGAAGTTTTAGACTTTCCTGTTACACAGTGAAGAGTACAAAAATAGTGTCACATTTGATTATAAATTCTTCAAGCACAATAGCAAAGAATCAATGTTAGTCATTTCCTGTTTGATTTACCTATACATCGGCTTGTTTATCTAAGATTCTTGACCATGTTTTGATTATTAATTTCACAGTTACATTACTTGTAAATATAATACATTGTCTGTAAATGTAAAGTATTGCCTGTAAATGTTATACATCACATGTAAATGTAATACTGTATAAGCAGAATTTTTAGTGAGGATTTAATTTTGGTATTATCAGCGAGGGTTCTGAGATAGCTAAAATTAAATACCACTAAAAATAAACTGTGTTTAATTTGTAATAGCTTCTTTAGTAAGCATATTAAAATCGCTAAAATTATTTCTCGCTAAAAATAAAATACCCTATTTTAAGGACAAATCGTTAAATTTGCTTCTCACTAAAATTTCCACTTATATGGTACGTTGCCTATAACACCTGTTTTACATTACATGTAGCACCTTACTCTTTAGTTTCTCTTCTGTGTTGGATTGATTTACAAACCCTGTATCATTTTAGCTACTAATGGAGAGTGGGTTTATAAGACTGAGTAATGTTTGATGCACTGATGCTTTTACATTTACTGAAAGATCCACTGTAGCATAGTTAACTAACAATCTAAGCTAGTTACCTTTTTCCAGCTTGTCATGCAGTAGTCTTGTATAACACTGAATAAGATTGTGATTCCTTTGATTATTAGATATTCAATTTATATGATTTTTTTCTGTCCATCATGCTGTAAGGGTATTTTCTTTGTCTCTTATGCCCTGTTCACACGGAGAGTTTAATTCGAATTAAACGTACGTTTACTACGAATTAGCTTATTAAGTTACATAATTATAATTTAATGCGAATTAGTTTACTTCGCATTAAATTTACTTTCACATTAAATTACTTCGCATTAGCTCCGTGTGAACGCTTTGCGAAGCTAATTCGAATTAAATTTTGGGGCATGCGTAATGGCAAAATTAAGTCAAATGCGTCATGTCGGTGATCAGCTTTAAGTACTTGTGCTATTTTTGAGTGAAAAACTAAGAAAAAATGTGTTAATCACTAAGATATGTCTCCAGACACTGTGACATTATGTCAAATGCATCTGCTTCTGCATAAGGTGACGTGATTTGCAAATGACGTCATAATAGCCTTACTGACGCCTGACTGTCGAAGTAAAATTTTAATTCGCATTAGTTTACTTCGCATTAGCTGTCGTGTGAACGCAATTTAATTCGCATTAGTTTGATTCACATTAGTTTACTTCGCATTAATTTACTGCGAATGTAAACTTGTCGTGTGAACATGGCATTAAATAAGTTCAGTCAGAGAGAGTAGTGTGATTTTTTTAATTTACATGTAAGCTGTGATATAAATTTATTAAGTTACATAATTATAGCTTTGTATCACTTGGGAGATATTTTAACTATTCATACAGAAATTCTATCACCCTTTCACACAATTTTACCTCCTTCGGATCTAGAGACGTTACTCAAATAGCTGCTTCTCTTATATTTTAAACAAAAAACAATTCACGTGGTTTCCATTGAAATTAGGAAATATCATCCCCAGAAACTTTCATAAATATCTGGAAATGTACTTCAATTTCTTGTGAGGAAACCTATTGAATAAGCAATTTTTAGAGAAGGTTCTCTATTTTTAACACACATCACCTGACCTTAGATAAACAAACATCCTACTCTTTTCTCTAGTTATAGTTGAATTCATTGGCTACAATATAATAAAATGTGGTGTCTTAAATTCTGTTTAAGCAAGAATGCCATTTCTATTTGTTTTATTTCATTTTGTCAAGCTTCAGTGATGAATTGTTTCAAGAGAGATAACTCTGGTTTCAAGTCCTCTTTATTATTAACTGTTGCAGTTCTTTTTCTTTAGAATGATAACTTTTTTATGAGGGTAATGTCTGAACTTGATACACTCTCTCACAAACACACACACTTGTTAAGATTTTGTTCTAGAGCAGGACCTATATCTTACTATTAGAGGACTTTTAAAAAGGCATGTCGATGTCTCTCTATTTTCATATTATTTTCCGTATTAATCTGTAAGCCCTCCTAAATTCAGAAAGAACAAATTGTAAACAGATCCTTCCAAATTAACTCTGCATAATCTTTTGGGGCTAAATTACTGAAGTATCAGTTGAGCAGAATATGTACTTTTTTGATTCTGCTGAAACAAGTATATAATTTATATACACACAGTATTTTGAGGGCTTTCATTATTATAAGACTTTAGTGCACAATTGAATAATTATTCAAACCATGCATAAAGTGTTAATTCTTGTTTTATATTAGACATAATCATTTTTTTTTTCAATAATCTTAATTAAAAATACTTGAAGTGGTTTGTTGTTATGTTGTTTTTAATGATATGTATATATCATAATCAAAATTCAAGAAACATAAACAATTTCAGTGAAATGCTTTTTCCTTTGCAATGTCTCTTCAAATGGAGTATGAATTATTGGTAACATATTAACAATAATTGAAACTTTCTGAAAGAGGATGTCAATAATTGACGATCCATTACAAGGCAGAAATGACTTCAGTTTAAATCTTATTCACGGTTTAATTGTGAATTTTGATATTTTTTTTCTTGGACATACCCGGTTTCAGTATAAATATAAATGAAAATACTTTCATCTGACTTTCTTTTAATAAGCCTTCTCTTTCTTCAGTAAACATTACACTGCCTTCTAACCATGATCATTTCAAAGAACTAGAATTTCACCTTAAAAATGTATACTAAAATATCTAACTTGACTCAGTCTATAGGCTGGTTTACTCAAAAGAGCCTTTAATTTGTCTTAATCTGGGTCAGAATTCCCTGATGGTAAACACACAGTCATAAGGAATATGATATAGATCTTTCACTCTTCACTTCCAGGGTAGGTATGGCAAGAAATGTAACGGGTGAGGAGAAAAATGTAAGAAATCTAACCAGGGCTCGAACCCAGGTCCCTGGATCATTAGTCTTGTGCTCACAGGCCACTGATGATCGAACCTGTTTGACTACCACATCAGTACCTGCAGACTGTGAACAGATTGTACTGACATATATGACAGACTGACATGTATTAAAGGTCATCATTAAGAACATAACAGGCCTCTAGCAACATTTTTTCAAGAGGGGTCAAGGTCACAGGGTCAAAAAGCAAAGTGTAATTTGAAAGGTCTTATCACATACATGTAATATACACTGTACGTGTGAAAGTCCTATCTCTTCTCCTTCAAAAGTAATGACCAGGGTTAATTTTTTTTTTTAAGTGGGTCAAATGTAAAGGTTATGAGGTCAAAAATAATATTGTATTAGAAAGGTCCTGTCACAGGTAATAAACATTTTTAATTTTAAAACCTTATCTCTTCTCTTTCAAAGGTTATGGCTAGTTTAAAGTTATGTTTAGTTTTTTGAAAAGTAGGTCAAACTTCCAGGTCAAGGTCACAGGGTCAAAAATCATTGTGTATTTAGAAAGGTCTTGTCACAGGTAATACACTTTGTAATATGAAGGGGACAACAGCAGTAATCAAGCTCAAAAGTCAAAATCAATTCAACTTTGTCAAACATCAATTCAACTTTGGTGATGATCAAAATTGTAAACTAAAATTGATGAATTTTTTCACAGATACCATATCTAAAAATATAAGTTAAATCTGGTGGTTACTTTGAGGTTAAATTGTTGACCCCCCAGCCACCTTAAAAACATCCGAGGTGGGATCAGGTGTCATCGGGGTGAAAGCAATCCACGTCGACCGGTCTCAACCGCCGTGTGCACTTTGTCATAATTGGGCAAACAGAAAAATCAGAAGACAGTTCAGTGTGTAAACTATAGGTACTGCATGTGAGCAGTTAGCTCACTAAATGATACCGCCGTCTCCCATATGATAATGATAACAAAGTCAATGTTCTGCTTTGGGACACCGAAACATGTGTTGGATCAAAACGTAAATTAGGAGGTCACAACTACATTATGTGACTAGGGTACTGTGAGCACTGAGCTCACTAAATGATACACCACCCCCCCCCCCCCATTTTATTAGAATGATAAAGTTCATGTTTTGCTCTGGGATATACCCAGATCAAAAAGTAAAATAGGAGCACAAGTATCTGACGTTACTTGTTTTTCTTTTAATTAAAATTTATCCCCTACATAATACATGTACTGTATTATTAGGTAGGGGTGTATTTTTTATTAAAATAAAAATAAGTAACGTCAGGTGCCTGTGAATAGGAGGTTCACAATGACATTATGTAGCAAAGTTTCGGTAAAAGTTTCATTAATAAAAGAGAAGGTGCGGATAATTATAAGAGATGGGTACCCCAAAGCCTAACGGGCGGACGGACATCCCGATCGCTATATGGTATATACCCTCCCACTTTTCAAGCGGGGGTATTTAAGATGAATGTAGAGACTACAGGTACTGTAAGCAGTAATTAGCTTCCGAAGCAGGGATTAGCTCATTTGACTAACGCATGAGGATTAATCCGTTCACAGAGATTTCTAGGGAATTATTCACATTTTACTGCCGAACTTTTATATAGGAAAAAATCAGTAGAGACATAATTAAAAAAAAACATAACCTATACAGTTCTGCAGCTAAACTAGTACGTGTCCGATACGGTTAAGCAGTGGTTGTATGTTATAGGCCGGCCTACCTTTATAATTTTGGGGATAATCGATGACACCCCCACAACCCCCCGATTCATATAGCCTTGTATATATCCACTTCTAGATTAAACTACGATTCATACAAGTTTGTGTTACTTTCAAAATTTTTTTTATAACCTTATCCAAAACTGGACCAGAATTTTACTGTCAATGCGGATTCAAGTTCTGTTCATAAATTCGTAAATGAATATTATGTTGATTTAGCTAGATTATATATTTTTTTGTATACACTTTTGTCATTATTTTGCATGACAATTATTGCACTACTGTACATGTGCTTTAAGGAGAAGAACTAGAAAGTTGTTAAAACTTGTTTCTTATCCTTTTGATTGTCAATTAACATGATTAAATATATTCAAAACAATTTTAAAAAGGGTTTACTTTTTACGCTCTTTGATATTATATATGGTTTGAAAAGTCTTTATGTGTGTCTATTAAGTAGTCTAAACAATGAACAAAACTTAAGTACGTGTCACATACATGTATTTGATTCAATTTGGTAACCCTCACCCCCACCTTCCCTTCATATTGTTGACTTCTCCGATTAAATTGATAAAACCATGCATTTTATGCAAGCATTCTTCGGGATTTGTAACTTCTTCTCGCAAAATGATTTTTTTTTATTTAAAATCATTCTTTTTTCACATTTTGCCCCCACCCAGTGTGAGCACTGGATCCGCCCCACAAAAAAGGAGAAAAACACAGGGTGCAATATTTCCGCCCAACTGAAACTTAGAGCCGCCCACATAAGCTAAACTGGATATAATATATAACAAACTAAAATATCACAACAACGTTTTCACATAGACGACAAGCCGTAAATGCCTAGCAAATATCCTTATTTTTTCTAACAATATTTCATATCAGGTTGCATAACAAAAGCACGTGGTCCTATTTTTTGTAGCGGACGCTCCTAATAGTTGCACCCATTGCCCCATCACACCCAAGCTTCCACAAAGAACTTTGTCTATTGTTCTTTTTATTGAAACAGAATACATATCAAAGTGTCCAAGTAAAGTGCAACGTTGTTTATTTACAACACAATGACACAAAAGCTGGCAATTTTGTGTTTTTCACTATCCACAGTTACAGGTTGTATGTTTTGATTTTCAATGTCTTAGATCCGACACGACATTTTGGGCTATCGCACCGTTCCGTCATGTAACTCGTGAAAGATCGTAGCCATTCGCATAACAAAAGAAAACGAGCCAATAAAACACGGGCACTAGGTTGGGATCAACCAATCACTTCTTCCGTAACAATCAGTGCGTGGATTTTACCAATATGGCGGGTGAGTCCACCTCACATTATAATTATTTGCTTCCGAAGAAATGCCATGTGTGTACACTTAGCTACTATTTCTTTTCATTTCAGATATCGAATTTTACTCGGACCCAGGTAATGATGGTCCCGATGACGGTAAGTGTTACCGATTTACCTCTTAATTATTGCATTTGTGATTATTTAGTGCTGCGGAGAAGAAAACGTCCCGAAGTCTGTGATTTGTATTCTTTCGCGCCGTTATTTGTAAATTATGAATAAAATATACAATGTTTGTTTTGTTTCCATTGCGTATTTGGGTGTCTTAAGTATTCTAAATTCAGTTTAGGGTGTATTTGTTTACGTTTTTAAAGTAACACGTGTATGTGGATTGAAATTCAAACATGACGCCGAATTTTCCCGAGAATTTGATGCCATGATGGTTAGGTCACATGACCTGGACTCTGCTGACCTATTGAACTGTAATTATTCCCGCGCATTGGGGGTTTGAATGGATGTCGTGGAACCGCCATTGCAGCTTCAGCACATTAGTGAAGGACTAATTTGTTTTAGTGTGACCAATTCTAAAATTATCGATTTTCTACTTGTTATGGTTAGTCATGAATGAGTAACGAATTTGTATCATTAGCATAAATGGTAAGTAGGTCAAGCTCTCCTCTTTGTTTTGGGGCTTCCTTGACACATTGCTATCTGTGGCAAGCGCGCCAAATTATTTTTTGTAAATTTGTGCGTTATAAACTCGTTTGTTTTGAAATATTGATAATTATCCCCAATGAATAAGTCTGTACTATTATTTGTTTACCTCTGTGAGTCAACGTGACGAACAAAGGCTTTGTGTGTGAATTAATCGTAAAAATCGATGCGCGCACATGGGATTTGTTTGTCATCAACGTTTCATCATTTTTCTTTATTCATTTATAACGCCACAACTCTGTTGTTAATCATCTGAGAAATAAATTTGTAAATATTTTAAACTTAATTAATTGAATAATTCTTTCCAAAATTTTTTTTTGTTCAGCTCTTGTGGAAGTCCTACAATATCTCATTTTAAACAAAGATGTTTGTTTTTAAATGGAATGGTAAGGTCTTTTTATTACTGTTATTAATTTGATGATGGTATATTTATATAGGATATGGTCTTGATGATTCTTTGGAAGGTGATGATGTGTACAATGCAGATTATAAACTTACTCCACTCCAAAAGCTTGAAAAGTACATGCAGAGTGAGAATGTGTACACAAGGTAATAATTTTGTCAATGGACTTGCAGCTTTGAAGTATTAACCTGCGAATAAAATGCTAAATTTGGCTATATAATAAGATTATATTTTATAATGTAGACAAATGGTTGCACGTGGGCTTCTGGACACACTGCGGGCAGTGGAAGAGACAGAAGATGACGTGTTGCCAGTGTTTAATGCCATGGTTAAATTGTCACAAGACTCTGGTAAGGCTGACATTTAAATTAAGGCCCCTGATTTGCTGTTACCAAATTGTTGAAATTAAGAGAAAGGTCTTGAAAGAGAAATGTTAATGAATTGCTCTGTGTTATACATTGCAGATCCTATTGTACGGTCCGAGTTAATGGAGCAGGTGCCCCATTTAGCTGTTTATTGTCAAGACAATGCAGATATCTATGATCGGTCCATTTCATCTTATCTTTTACCTATGGTTGTGAGATACCTTAATGACCAAAATAATCAGGTAATTATTTAAATTTCAGTCTTTTAAAACATACAATTGAGGTTTCAAGTTTTCATACTTCCTATTTTATTTATATTTGTGTAATTATTTATATTTGTGTAATTCTTTTCAAGGTTCGAAAAACAAGCCAGGCAGCTTTACTTGTCTTGATGGAACAAGAACTAATATGTAAAGGTAGGGACTTTAATTTAGTTTCCTCCCCTTATCAAAAGGGTTTAATAAAATGACTAGAGGTTAAACTTATATTGATACATTACAGTTTTACATCTGTATATTTCTGTATATGTATACTCCAACATCATTGAAGCTTGTGTTTAATTTGGTAAACTTATTTTCCAGAGGACATAGAGCAACAAGTAGTGGGAGTAATTTTGGACCTGGCCAGTCCCGACAGCCTAGACGACTACAGAACAGAGGCTGTAGCTGTATGTATCTAGTCTTACATTAGAAAAGTCACTCAGAGTCGTCAAATTAACCTCATTTTAGTGTACAGTCAGACTTTGATAGTAAAAATAGAATGCTTGGCTTACGGTAGTGGAAGTTTCGTACCAGATGAAATGCTTGGCTGATTGTGAAAGACATGGGTAGTGAGATGTGAAGTCCATCGTCTTACTACTCTGTCTTTTGCAGGAGGTCACAGACAGGTCTACAGGTGTTGTAGTAGTTATAGCATGGCATGGTTGTAGGATTATTGTGTCTAGGAGAAGCAGATGATGAGGCAGTCAATGTAGGATGTTGTAGTGTTATTGTATTATCACAGCCAGCATTGATGAGCCCGGTCAGATGCAAGCCGCCTGGTGGAGGAGTACTGCCGCCAGAGGGGGGTGAGGTTCTGATGTAATGGCGAGGTGGTTGTGGAGGAGTATAGCTAACCAGGGTGTGGTGGAGTTTTGATGTACTGTACTGACTAGGTGGTTGTGATGTATATATTGGAGTATATCACAGCCTGCTTGGATCAGTATAGTAATCAACAAAATCAACGGAAAGGAACGCCATGATGAGTGTTGTACAATGGTAGCGGTCTTTGTGCATTTTGAAGCACTGCACCTATAAACGATGGAGATTAGAGTGAAGTATGAGGGCATTAAAGTGACTGTGAAATGTTGAAAAAATTCATATCACAGCCAGCTTTGATGAGCTTCATTTTCACTCAATGCAGTCATTTGATTTATTAAAATTAGCAGTGCAATAAATTTGTTCTTATCTCTTTCAGTATATCTTCATTCTAAAATTAGGGCAAATGTTTCTCATGACTCTAGAAGAAGTAATGGTATTAATAGGACAAATGTATATCATGAAATAACAAAAATTGATTTCCACACACTACATAAAGAATTCAGGTCCCATGAATGTACATGTAAATCCTCCTCCTCTCAAGGTATCACAGAAATACATTTAAATTTTGGCAGAGATTTTTATGCCAGGACAAATTGAAGTGAATATATATTATATATTTAAAAAAAAAAAATCCTGTCCCATAGTAAGTGAATGCAGAAGAAATAGTCACCAATTTTCATAGATGCATTTTCTTTCATAAATATTGTCTCCAAAGATGAAGGTGTGATTTAGAATACCGTATAATCCCTATTAACCGCCCCTACCCCTATTAGCGCCCCCCTGGGTCTTTTTCAATTGTCAGGAAATAAGGGCCCCCTTTTAGGGGTGGGACGATATACCGATACACCGATACATATCGATATTTTCCTCTAAGATAAGGTTTACGATACAAGCTTCAAATATCGGTACGAAATGATACACGAACGACCTATCCAAAAATTGAAAATGAAAGTACATGTCCTTGGAGGAAATGGCGGCTTGTACAAAGCGAAGAGATGATGATGATATTGAAAACATTGTGTAGAACTAATAAGTCTTTGATTAGGGGTAAAACGTTTTCACTTTTAAGCGGCCTCAGAAGATTGGACAAGAAAAGTTCAGTATGTAAAGCGTGCTATTTACAGAAAGTACCGTTTCCAGAATATTTGATATTTAATGTATTATTAACTGATAGTCCATCTCGTGCTTTTTTGTAATCTCAACTAGGCTACAGACTTTCAGCAATTGATTATAATGTAAATGTGCTGTTTTTAATATGAAATTTTAGTCAGTGTTCTTTGATGAACTACACAACTGTTTGTAAACAACTTGTTAATAGAAATTTGGTAACAATAATGTATACATGTATTATTGTTTTTGTAACGTTTTAGTCAATGAAAATGATGAACTTCAAGTATTAATTTCGAAGCACACATGATTTTATATAGTCAAAGAATAATTTGTTGATTTAATGTCAAGACAAAAAAAAAATGAAATAAAATACTAATTCTTTTGCATAGTTTTATAATTTATTATGTAACAGTTGATTTAATGTCAAGATAGAAAATGAAATAAAATACTTTTTAAAAATAGTTTTATAAATAATTTATCATAATATCGAGATACGTATCGTATCGTGCTAATATATCGAGATACGTATCGTATCGCAAGATCTGTGTATCGTCCCACCCCTACCCCCTTTACAGTGATCGAAATCATCCAGAATCCGTCTGAATCGTATCAAAAGTCCGCCATAAGGAAGAAAGTGAAAATGAAAGTTTGTTATTAGGTAACTCATACATAAAATATTCTTGAAAGTTAAAGTTTTATGAACGACCTAATCATGTATTTCTGAAAGTGAAAGTTATACACACAAGTACAAAATCTGTTCTCCGTGTCTATTCCCTAATTTCAAAGTGGGAAAATGAGTCATACAGACTTGTCGAAATTTTTTAATCGCTTTCAGACATTTGGTCTGACACAGTCGAATGTTTTGTCGGACCAGTCAAACTTTTGTCAGACCAGATACTTGTACGTTTTTTTGATGCTGGTAAAATCATATGAATAACAGCACCAAAATGTACTTTATTATTTTCAATAGCCTTTAATCTAACAAGTTTCCTTTCTTGGGACAGAGAGTCTTTAACATAGACATAAATGACAAGTTTTATGACTTTGCTATAACAAATTTACTTAGCTATCGTCAACATGCTGCATACGTGGTCATTTTTTCTGTGTTTGTGACCTTGAACTACGCATCCCGATCCAGACCTTTATTAAATTTGCATTACGCTCATTTTTTTTCAAACGGACGTCTGGTCCGACGTTTTCTTAAATGTTATCGGTCCAGACAAATTTTTACCGGCCTTGCCGATAGGACCGACGGATTTCGACAAATCTGGTCATATAGCATAATTTTGGTGGATTATTGTAATTTAAAGGCAGGTTAGACAATTTTTAGTGGTTTTCTGTTATTTGTTTTTTTCCAAAAGATTTCTTGAAGTTTAAATATGACATTGAATATTTTAGCAAGAATATCAAAATAACCGCCCCCTTTCCGCAATTTTCTAAGCGCCCGGGGCGGTTAATAGGGATTATACGGTACCCATTGATGTTGTTAAATTAAGTTTTATCTTGTGAAGAGCTATTTTGAAAAATATTTTGAAATTTGATAAACAAGGATTTCATACAACTAGTCAGATTAATTTCATTGAGAAAGTTTTCAAAAAATAAATGAAAAAATATCACATTTTCTACATTAATTAAGATATGGATATGTAAAGCAAGGAGGTCAAAGGGGGTCTTGAAATTGTGTTTCTGAATGTGAAAATTGACTTGGATAAGATTTACAAATGGGAGTTTAAAGTCTCCAAAAAAGGTCTAATATATTTAGTTCATTTCCCTATAACAAGTGCCATTCTGTTAGAAATAAAAAATGCTGATAATTCTAGTCTTGTAAATGAAAGGAAGAGTAAATACCTTGTTTAATATCTAGTTTAAATCAAGGAAGGAATTTACTTGAGGAAGTTAATGGCTTCCTGCATATTTTGTACATTTACCTTTGAAACTTTTGATTTCGAGCATTTTTCTTGATACCAGATGGGAATGATAACTGAAACACAAGACAAGGAGCTCACAAAGTGGCTGTGAATTGTTCATCCTCAAATCACAGCCAGCTTTGATGAGCTCTAAGTTTTGTCAACCTGCAAATCTTAACACAATCAACTGTTTTATTGGAGGAACCCATTTGTTTGTGAGAAGCAGTTGTGCAACTTGTCAAAGTTGCTGTGATGTGTTGATGATGTTCATATCACAGCTAGCTTTGATGAGCTTGTGCTGCTGAAACAGCCAAATTCTACAAGGACCAGAAATGCATATAACTTGAATGAGCATGTGTTGCTGAAAGAACTCGATTCTACAGGGACGAAAAATGCTTAGAGCTTTAATGAGTATGTGTTGCTGAAGGAGCCAGATTCGAAAGGGACATAAAATTCATAGAACCAAAGAGGATATGTGGAGGAACTGACAAATTGAAGTTGTCAAAGTGGCAGTGATGTGTTGTCTATTCATATCACAGCCAGCTTTGATGAGCTTGACTTTTGTCATCAGCACCAGGGATTTCAGGCAAGAAGGTTGAACTAACATGTTTATTTTGCATGAACAGTATTTGATGATCATGTTTTGAGTTATCGATTACATGTTGCATGATTTTATTGTTCAATTCTGCTGTTCTTTGCATGTTTAATATGGAAGATATTGAAATAAAAATACTTGCATGATACAAATGAGTAAATGACTACTGATTGCATGGCTAGCATTGAAGTGGCTGGGATGTGCTGATGCTTGTCATATCACAGCCAGCTTTGATGACAGGCAAGTAATCGTCACAGCTAGCTAGAATGTGGAATATTTTTATCTTCCATTCAAAATGTTTGTTTTTATTTGGGGGAGGGGGTGTCAACATTTTGTCTAAATGAAAAATAAAGAATGTGAAAAAAATATTTGAAATATTTAAATCACCTTTGTCTTTTGATTTTGTTTTAGCTTATGAGCAAAATGGCTCCACTCCTTGGAAAAGACATGACTGAGCGTTTGTTCTTGTTACGATTTTGTGAAATGTGTACAGACCCCCTCTTTCATGTGAGAAAGGTAACCAATATTTAAATCTACTCCTGGAAATATCTCTTGTTTTATTTCCTAAAGAAGAGAATAGATCATCCCAAAACATTTTATTTGCAGGTGTGTGCGGCAAACTTTGGTGATATGTGTAAAGTTGTTGGTCAGGACAACACAGAGCAGCATTTGGTAATTCTTTCATCTTACAATAGTCTTTATATTTCAAAGATCTGTTATTTTGGAGCTGTTTGGGGAATTTCTGGATTTTTGGTTTGAAATACAGATTACAGACTGGCTCCGAAAACTTTAATTTTCTTTTTGTGTTCTATATTAAAATTGTTTTAATGTCAAAGTAATACATGGCAATGATTGGATTCATACTGAAACCTTTATTACATAAATGTTCATGTATAGAGATTCAGAATGACATTAATGTATGCTCAAATGCTGATGAAACACAATTGCAAAATCATAAGAGTAAAAAATCATATTATCGCTATTACTGAAAAACTCCAAAAAAGAATTAAAAGCTCATTGCTTGACTTAATTTTTACAGTTGCCTAAATTTTACTACCTGTGTGAGGATGGCGTCTGGGGAGTCAGGAAGGCGTGTGCTGAGTGTTTTATGGTCGTGTCTTGTTCATGTTCCCAGGATGTCCGAAAAGGAGAACTCGCCAATCTGTTTGTCAATCTGCTCTGTGATCTTTCTAGATGGGTAAGCAGTATTTCAGAGAAATTTTTGTTTTTCATGGGTGTTTAGGTAGAAGAAACAGATTTTCTCCCTTGATTTAATACTGAAAGTTGGCATAGCATATGATAAACAACATAGAAATTCTTAAAAGGCTTAAGAAGAGTAAACATTTGAAATTTTATATACTGGAGCATTGTCTTATTAGAATGTTATATATTCCAGGTTCGTATGGCAGCTTTTCAACAATTGGGACCATTCATATCAACCTTTGCTGATCCAGGCTTGACTGGGTTGTATGTCAATGAAGATGGCATTCTAAGTGTTCAAGTAGAACAACTGCATAACATGTAAGTTCTGGGTTAGTAAAATACGGTCCAATAAAATCTGTTGAATATTTTACATAAAACTTTCAAGTGATTTGAAAGTATTGTAAACAATGTGTATTTGTACACTTAGTGAAAGACTGAGAGAACTTGGAGAAAAATTGGAGCATGAGAGTAAACAAATCCAAGCCAGTGGGTTAACGGAAGAGACAGATGAGTCGGCGGAGGACCAGACCCTTGATAAGAACCCCCAGAGTGAAACTCGATCTAGTAGTGTCTGTGATATGAACATGGACCTCAGTGAAACTGATGACTCCACAGAAATTATCATTTCTTCTTGTGCTACAAATAATTCCTCATCAGAGGGCGAGTTGTCCTTGGAAGAAATAAGGGCTCAAGAATACCAGGCAAAAAAATCAGATGAGAGACTTGCCGAGTCTGGTTCTAAATCCGAGGAAGCTGGATCAGAGAAAGACAACTGTGATAAATGTGATATTGAGGAGACAGGTGCCCCGAGGCAGGGAGAGGAGAATGCGGAGAGTATATGTAGTGACGAGTCAAGTAGAGAGGATGATACCAAAGCCAGCTGTGATTCCGTAGACCAGAACAAACCTGAGATATCAAGTCAAGAAGACCTAGTGCATATACATTCTGATTCCTCACTAAATACCTACGATTCCTTTAATTTCTGGCGGGACCCACTACCAGAAGTTAGTTTAGATTTAGATGTTTTAAATGACAATCAAGATAAAGACGGAGTAAACCTATCTTCGCGTACAGCCACGGAGAATGAATGTGATACAATCAACAGTGATATGGGTAGTTTGTCATTGACTGATTCCGGGAACTATCCACTCAGTGCTTCTAATCAGTCCAAAAGTCAGATCCACACGGCCAGCATTAGTTCTGTTTCTGAGGAATCCGTCAGCCACATTGGAAGTACACATGTACTCGGCCAGAACCTGAATGAAGTCATGGAAGGTGTGGTACATGGTGCGTTATCAATAAAAGCAGAAAAATTTGTCAATATAAAATTTGAATTAAAAAAAGTTGATTTGAGTCTACATATTGCAGATTGATGCTATTCTTTATTAAAAGTAATAATACAGTTATAATCTGATGTAGCTGGATGGCTGTTTATTCCAGATTACGGCTTTATTGACAGTTTTTCTGAGCTGTCTCTATTGCCTCTTACAGATATCAGTGGCTCCAGCCTGGGATACATTGACAGTGACAGTTCTCAGGACATTGTAGAGACCATGGATGAAGCTTCTCTGGCACAGATGCAGGTAAACAACTAGTGCACAATTGTGTATAGGATGGAAATGAAAACTGCATACTGTAAACCAACTTTTATTTTGTGTGTGTGAAATTTTCACGAGAGACATGATTGCCAATATTTCTCACGGCAGTCTGGTCCTTAGGGTCTTGGTCCATTAATAACAGATCAAAGAAAGGCTTGATTGTGAAAATTAATCATCGCGAACAAGTTTACCCCCGAATTGTGAAATAAAATAGTTGCCTTTCAAAGTTGGTTTACAGCATCTCTATATGAAATTTGGGAATATAAATACTATGAAAACCAGATACAATATTTACAACATTAAACGTGGGGTCTTTATAAGTCTGAGAAAGATGTAAGAATCTAAAATGAATTTGTCTCAAAAAGAGGGAGGAATGGGTTTAAGACAGTATTATATTGAATACTGTGAAATGATTTCAGGGCCAACCAATATTTGATATGTTCATAGAAATGAAGATTGCACAGGAGTTGCAATTGATATTAATTTGCCTCCATCCTTGAGGTAAATTTTCAAAAGATGTTCCAATTCTTCAACATTTATTTAAATATTGGTTTGAATTTTAAATGATGAAATTTGAATTTTTGTCAAAAGGAAGAAAGGTAAGTACATCTGAGTAAAACTTCAGAGATTGGCTAGAGAAATCAATGAAAAACTAAAAAGGGGGGAGGAAAAAAATGTCTCTGAATTTACAGTCTTTTAAACATAACAAATATCGGCAATTTACTGGTTTCACATCACAACACCATGTAAAAATGCACCAAGGGTGCTGTAAGTAACAAACATGATGTACAATTTGATCATGTTTTGTCCTAAATACTGTAAATCACTTTTTATTCACGAGAACTTTATTTTCGCATAATTACGCGAGACTGTGTGCTCGCGAAAATTAAATTCTCACGTATAATAGTATTCCTTAAGATTATATAGAGCAATAACCCCAATTCGTTAAAATTTTGTCTCGCTTATCAAGAGTCAATGACTATCTCGCGAAAGTATGGTGTCCCGAAAATTTAGTGATCTACAGTAATACGAAGCAAAGTGGAATTTGAATCGGTCGAATAAGAGGACTGAAAAGATCTGATTTTAGTTGTGAAGCAGGATTGATAACATTTTTTTTTAAAGGAAAGTCACCATCATACATAAATAATCACACTAGATGAGACGATTTCACATTCAGTTTCTTGTTTGTATTTTAAATTTTCTTTGATCTGATAATGCAGCTTATATTAATTCCTTCAGACCTTGTACTGAAAGTTAAATTGAATGGTTGTTTTTCAGGACATTGTGCCTCAGAGTCTGTTGGAGAGTTACCTGGGGATGGTTGATCCTTCCCGAGCCCAGACCGTGGACACAGAGATTACCAAACACTGTGCTTACAATCTGCCAGCTGTAGCTTACACCTTAGGCAGGAAAAACTGGAACTGTATCAAAATATTGTACGATAAACTTGCCTCAGATATGCAGGTAACACTCTTATGGAACACTTTTAAGCTGATGTTTCAGTACATTGAAAAATGCCATTTATTACATCAAAATTTGTGAAGATAAATTCATTTCTATACTTCTGTAACTTGATGGGAAAGAAGATGAAAATTTTGATTCTTAATTAAATCAAAATTTGTTAAGATACCGTCATTGCGGGAAAGCAACTATTGTTGCTATATTTTTGTAAATTGATGAGTAAGCAGATGAAAATTTCAATTCTTAGAGATCAGTGCTCAGAAGGTAATATTTATTAACTTGTATTTGTTTTCAGTGGAAAGTGAGGAGAACATTGGCTTTCTCTATACATGAGATGGCTATCATTCTGGGAGATGACATCACCCATAGAGATCTTGTTCCTGTGTTTGACGGATTCCTGAAGGATTTAGATGAAGTCAAGATTGGGGTGTTAAAACACTTGGCCGATTTCTTGAGGGTATATATACTTTGTGAAATTTTATTGATAAGCAATTAGAAAAATGATGTTTTAGAAATTTTATTTGATTTGTTTTTGTAGACTAAATGGTAATCTGTATCTTCATCTTAATTCAATAATTTTATAAACAAAAGTGCTAACACCTTACTTAATATGCTTCCAGCTCTTAAAACCAGATGTGAGAAGGCAGTATTTGACAAAATTATCAGGATTTCTGAACACAGACAATACCAGAAATTGGAGATTTAGACTAGAACTGGCAGAGTATGTTCAGGAAAAATGTTTTATATGTTGATATTCTTTATGAAAGTTAGCTATTGGCTTGATACAGTGAACTATTTGTGTAAAGAGCTTGTTACAGTGTTGCCGATTATTAATAGATCTGTTGTGTTGTAGGCAGCTGATCATGACGTCGGAGTTGTTCTCTTCTGTGGAGATCAGCCAGCACCTGCTGCCCATCTGTCTGTCTTTAATGGAGGACAAGGTGTCAGAGGTCAGATTAGTGGCCTACAAACTGGTGAGTACAGTCAAGCAAAAATACTCTACATACACTGATCAGTCATCTAGTAAGAGGCTAGATATTGAAAATGTGTCTTGTTTTAATAGATGAGTGCTATGGTAAAGAGGCTAGCTTATGAAGATGAAAAATTAACAGAAGGATTACTGAATGAACTAGTGTCCAAGTTTGCAAAGAGCAACAAATGGGTTTGCAGGCAGATGTAAGTACCGCATCCAACAAATTTTACTGTCTCAACTTAAAAAAAATCTATCTCTTATCTTATCATACACATTCTCTGTAGTTTATCATGTATACTTGTGTCAAAGATTTACATTTTACTACAAGGCTTGAGATTTTGTGTAAACGTTTGTGGTTGCAGTCAATGTAATGACAATTTTTAATAAGTCGGTAAAACGGCAAATGCTTTCACTATAGTAGGAGGCTTGTTCACACTAACAGTTGAAAGAAATTAATGTATGTTTGTCTTTCAGCTATGTGCAGATGTGTTATGCTGTGTTGGAGGATGAGTCGCTTCCCTTGGATCTCTTTTCCAAACACCTGCTTCCAGTGTTGCTCAACATAAGTCATGACCCTGTACCTAATGTTAGGCTCTCTCTTTCCAAGGTCATGAACGATCAAATTATTCCAAGAGGTAAAAAAATAATCGAATTATTCCAAGAGGTAAACATCTGTATAAAAAAAAATCAGGCATGAAAATGTAATTAGGCATATAATTTAGATGTTTCAACGTTTTAATTACAGAATATTTTACCACTGAAGGTCACCCTCAGCACGAGGAAATCCTGAAGACGTTGGAGCGATTACAGACAGACAGTGATCGGGATGTCCGATATTTTGCCAATCCTGTGCCAGAGAACACCAGTCTGCTGGATTACGAGGATGATGCTATCGAGGATATTGATGTAGAAACGGTAGGTCCCTAGTACTTTATAGGAACACAAGACTATTACGCATGTACACACAAGTTAAGTCTTACACTAGGAAAAAAAAACAACTGTAGATTGGTAAAAAATCAGGATGGCTTTAATTTCACCATGTTTGTGATTTATTATCACAGTGAAATTAAACCCATCGTGAATGCTATCATTTTTATTTTTTTAAAGTTTTACATGGAATTTTAACACAACTTGCAGAAAACCAAAAAAAACTTTTTAGTGATGTCTTTCTCTTCAAAATTTGAGTAATACTTTTATTTGGTTTTTCAGTTGCCAGTATAATTACAATGGACCGTTCTACTCAGGGACCAACCAGTGATATGCAATGTTTCTCACCACCATCCTTAACTCAACAAACTGTTCGAAGCATCTCAATGGTGTCCATGTTTAGGATATTTAAGATGGAATATGAGACAAGACTGTCCCTTTAAAACTGTTGATTAAGTGATCGTTACCAAAATTAGCCATGATTTAACTTTTTACATACAAAAAGATTAACAATGTTGAAATGTTTGCAAAATTCGGTACTCGGTTACTCGGAAAAATATTTTTTAATATTTCTAAGCTTAATTATTTATTAATGCATTAAACAATCTGTTTAAAACGTAAAATTCATTGCATTGTACATAATAATTATTTCCTACTCCTCTAAAAGACCGTTATCGCCCTTGGCAGTGTTTATACAGTAATTATCGGCCAATATGTTACCTGTTTTCTGGTCGTCTTTACCCATATTTTTTTTTATTTTCTTTATATTTGTTTTTACTGAACATCGTTTAAGATCTTTATGATTAAATAAATTTAATTTTGTCAATTTGGAAACAAAAAATTCTTAAAATAGAAAATGATATTACACGCGCGACTGTTGATATGGTTGTGTTTGATTACATGCCAAATGTACAAATATTGAAGGCAAAGGCTTTAAAAAACTGATGTCTAGTTGCACCAAACAACAAAACACCGTCCCGTGATACTATAAAATCAAGGATAAAAAGTATACGAAAATCGTAAATCGGCTCTCACTGTTAGAACTTGGTCAAGTTCAAGTCAAACTGTACGACTGATATATACCTTGACGTCAAATGCAACAAAGAGTAACATTACAATTACGGAGTAGATTTTTTTTTTTAAAAACAAAAACACCATGAACCACTTACGATTTTATTTCTTGTATTTATCTGATAAATAAGTTGAACTTTAAAAAAATGTAATATTAAATTTCGTCGGGCACGAAGTTAAACAAGTCATCATTGTTATATATAAATGCATTTACGCGTAATTAACCTCCCATCAGAGCATGTGGTTTATTTCCAAAGTGTTTACAATGTTTTACATTCATCAATTTACTTGTTCATATTTATTTACACTTTTACCGAGTACCCGGGTACTCGATCGGAAAACGTCCATAAAATGGAAATTAAAAATTAACCGATTTGACATCCCTACTTTTTACATACAAAAAGATTAACAATGTTGAAATGTTTGCAAAATTCATTGTTATTTTATGGAGAAACTCTGTGAATTTTATATCCTAATATTTTATCAGAACATGGCAATATGTTGTGCAAAATTTATTTATTATAATAATTTATTTACTTTTATTTCAAAATGGTATCGTACAAATTACAACACATCAGAGGCCAATATAGTGTTTTGTGGAGAAATATTCATGTTTTGTTTGTATATCCATATTATTTTCTTGTTAAAACTTTTAAAAATATTTTTAATTCCTCATTTGGAAACAAAATAAGTGTTAATAGAAAATGATTATTAAATTGCATTTGTTTGTTGTGCCAAATGCTGCAATAATCTGGGTATGTGAAAGAAGTTGGTCTAGTGGATAAACTTGCTTTAAATTGAAATGTGGATTGATTGAAGTGTGTTTACTCTTAGTATTTTGAAAATGCAAGTGATGTGAAAATATATCATTCATGTACTAAATTTCTTTATTCAACTTCAAATGAAGTCGTGGAAGGTACAATTTATATATGAAATATCTAGATAATTCTCAATTGTTGGAGTTTTGAGGTGTAGCTATTGAGGCTGATGAATTAAAAAAAAAGTCAACATTTTATATATAAATATCCATTAATTCTATTGTTGAACAAAATGTTTTCAGTTAAAGGAATATGAAGGCTACACCAGTGATTTGATATTTATATACCTCTGTTCAGTTTGATAAGTGCCATAAAATGGAAACAAAAATATTTAGAAAACCCGAATAATGAGTTGTAAACAGGACATAAGGGTATGACTGGTCCATTCTAAAGCGGGATCATAAATTATGTGTCTAATGTCTTGTTACAGAGGAGGAAGGAATAAGAATATTAAAACTGATATTTTATAGAAAATTTTTAATGCTATTGATCTGTGATTTTGTTGATGAGATTATGCCAGTAAAACTGTTTGGAAAAATACCCTTGAGTTTGAGTTTTATTTTATGTATGTTGCACATGTAGAACCATCTGGAGATGATAGGTACTATTAAGGATGACCTCATATATAAGGGTGTTGTACGTCGGTGAAAAAATTGCAAAGTTAGTGCTTCAAAATTCATTGGAAAAATCTGTCTTGGTTTTGTGCCTGTGAGGACATGGCATGTAACTGGTCACTATGACACTATAAAGGAGGTGGGCGTATTTTGCATATGATCGACCAGAGTATTATATGAAGTGGTTTATGTCCATGATTTGGTCAGACTACCACAGCTGGACATGTTTTACAAAATGTTATTTTTGCTCTTGTGTTGCATGGTACATGTATGTGATCTCATTTTGACGTAGAAATAACATGAAGGCCATAAAGCAACTCTGGTGAGCGTTGTGGTCTATGGGGCTTGTTACAAAATTGTTCGTATGTAAAAATTATAAGCCAAAGTATATTTCAACTCCAATGTTTTACTGAGCGGTCATACAAAAAAGGATGTTCGACCGCGGAGTGAGACACTGTGCTCGACAGTGACGGAATTGAATGAGTTTAACCAGCTGGAATATATTTTTATCACAGATACATGCACGTCCGAAAAATTAAAAAAAACGATGTGTTTGTGAAACACTGATGCCCCCGTAAGGCAACATTGCAAAGATTAAACTTTTCTTAAACGCAAATTTAATATATTGGTACCAAAAGGAGGATATTCTCACTGGAAAAACAGTTGTGAAATATAAAAGTAGGCCAAGGTCAAGTTTTTTCATAATTACAGAAATCGTCAAGGTCATTAGTATCCAATGAAAGGTATTGCCACAAAAATACATATGTAAAGTATGGAAGCCCTAGCCCAAACCGTCCAAAAATTATGGCCAAGGTTATAAATTTTAAAATGTAGGTCAAACTCCTAGGTCAAAGGTCTTGCTATCAAATGAAAGGTCTTGTCACAAGGATTAAATATGTAGAGTATGAAAGCACTTGCCCTAACCCTTTAAAAGTAATGGTCAAGATTTGGTTTTTAAAAGTAGGCCAAACTCCAAGGTCAAGGTCAAATGGTCAAAGTTCTTGGTATCCAATGAAGGGTCTTTTCACAAGGATTACATATGCGAAGTATATGTTATTAATTTCAGTTAAGTATAAAGTTTTGCGTTACGTCACGATCTTTATCGTCAGATGCATCCAGCGTAAACAATTCACGTGATTGGTCAACTCAATATTATCAACGTTGGCACGGAAATGGTCTGTTTCACGAGCAACTAATCAGGGATGAGAAGAAAGTTCCAGTCGTCAAGTTTGCGGTGAGGAGGCATGTACAATTTACCTTGAGCGCAGCTGTCAACTAGATCGTGACGTAACGTAAAACTTCACTCTTAACTGCAAACTATAATAAGCCCTATCCCTTACCGTTCAAAAGTTATGGCCAAGGTTAAAGTTTCTTCACAAGTAAGGAATTCTCCATATCAAGGTCAAAAGGTCAAGGTTGCTAGTATCCAATGAAAGGTCTTGCCACATCGAATACATATGTAAAGTACGGAAGCCCTAGCCCTACTCGTTCAGAAGTTATGGCCAAGGTTAAATATTTTTAAAAGAAGGTCAAACTCCAAGGTCAAGGTAAAAGGATCAACGGTCTTGCTATCAAGTGAAAGGTCTTGTCACAAAGATTGCATATTTAAAATGTCATTACCATTCAAAAGTAATGGCCTAGGTTAAAGTTTTTAAAAGTAGGTCAAACTCCAAGGTAAAAGGGTCAAAGTTCTTGGTATCCAATGAAGGGTCTTTTCACAAGGATTACATATGTGAAGTATATAAGCCCTATCCCTTACCGTTCAAAATTAAGTTATTGCCAAGGTTAAAGTTTTTTCACAAGTTCGGAAATCTCCAAGATCAAGGTCAAAAGGTCAAGGTTGTTGGTATCCTATGAAAGATCTTTCAACAAAGAATACATATGTGAAGTATATATGTCCTGGTATCTACTGTTCAAAGGATATGGCCAAAGTAAAAGTTCGCAATTTTTGTGTAAAAGGGGGCCAGACTCCAAGGTCAATGTCAAAAGGTCAAATTTGGTGGTATCCTAAGAAAGGTCTTGTCACAAGGAATAACCATGTGAAATATGAAAAACATAACTCCGCTAAATCAAAAGTTATGGGCAAGGTTAATGCGGACAAACAGACAGACAGACGGACGGACACGACAAAAAATATATACCCCCGAAACTTCGTTTACAGGGGCATAAAAATTATAACCAAATATTTATTGACTGTGTCCTCGGGCAAAATGCGTTCTGTCGAATCTACCAAACTGTAACTGCGTCAGGCAAACAATTTGGTTCTTGGGTCCGACAAAATGGATCTTGCCCTCGAATCAAGTAAATGACCAAGTAAATGCAAGTACATGTATCAAATTTATTGATAGATGAATTTGAGGTTTTGTTTTAGGGTACATGCATATACATGCATGTATCTTCCAATACTAGTGTACTCTCTTGTCCTTGCATGCACACACAGTCGCATGAAAATTTTCGAACTACTAGTATATAAATGCGGTCAGTAGATCCTTGTGTATATTCTGAATGTGTCATGTTTGGATGTCTATTCCAGTGACTGGTAAGAAGGAAGCAGTTTATAAATGAAGACTTTTTAAATTGAGCGGTACAGGGCCTGTCAGGGACACGGCGTGCTGCTCGGTCATTCGTGACAAACACGTTGACCACATCCGTCCTCCTAGAGGCTGATTTTAATTTAATTTCCGGACACAAAATCATTTTTACTGAAAATTTATAAATTATGAAACAGACGAAATATCATTTCTGCTACGACATTTAGTTCGCCCTGGGTCTGTCCATCCGTTTGCATATGTCGACGTCTACCTTTCACAAGGTACTTTTTATGAAATGTGGGCCGCTAAACAACAATGCTTTCAAGGATCTATCTGAGAAGACACGGTTTTGTATAACAGTTGCGTAATCTGCCAAAGGTTTGTGGGGAGTGAAGCGGACAGAAAACCTTTGGTTTGCGAAGATATCGATGCTTCTAAAATTGTGGGCCAGGGGTTCTGGTGTTGGATAGAGATTCTTTGGTTATAAAAAGAAAATGCATTAATTCTTTGAAGATTTTTTTTTGCTCCTTGACATTGAGCAAACAAATAAGTGCAAGGTTTTGATGAGCAAGGGTAATTCTACTAAAATTGTGGAATTCATGGTATAACCTGGGTCAGAGATGGGGCTCTTTTCATCATATACCCATAGCTAGGCCTCAGTTGATTTGATTATGTGAAAACGCACTTATTAATTCTTTAAGATTCTTCTTTTCTCCTCTGAAGGCATCTAGGAAGATAACAGAGTATGTGCATTCTAGTGAAATTCTGATCGTTGGAGATGGACAGAACTCTATTGTTATTGTAAACTTGTACGCGTACTCTAAACTGAGAGAAATAATGCCGCTTTGCAATATGATCATTAATGTAAGAAGTGTTTCTGCTAATACAAATTGAATAAAAAAAACTTTAATCTTGGACTCATCTATTGAATCTTATAATTATAGCCTTTTGGGCTTGACCTCGGAGTTTGACCTACCTCTGGAAAACGTAGGTCAAACTCCAAGGTCAAGGTTAAAAGGGTCAAAGTTCTTGGTATCCTACGAAAGGGCTTCTCATAAGGATATGAAGTATGAAAGCTCTAGCTAACCGTTCAAAAGTTGTGGCCAAGGTTAAAGTTTTTAAAAAGTAGGTCAAACTCCAAGATCAAAGTCAAAAGGGTCAAAGTTCTTGGTGTCCAGTGAAAGATCCTTCCACAAGGATTGCATATGTGAAGTATGAAAGCCCTAGTCCTTACTGTTCAACAGCTATGGCTAAGGTTATAGAGTTTTTAAAAAGTACTCAAATCTCCAAGGCTAAAGTCGTTGATATTCCAATGAAAGGTCTTGTCACAAAGAATACAGATGTGAAGTATGAAAGTCCTATTATCTACCATTCAAAAGTTATGGCCAAACTAAAAGTTTGGAATTTTTGTGTAAAAGTGTGTCAAACTCCAAGGTCAAAAGGTCAAATTTGGTGGTACATAAAGAAAGGGCTTGTCACAAGAAATACACATGTGAAATATGAAAGTCATAGCTTTACTTAATCAAAAGTTATAGTCATGGTTAAAGTTTTTGCGGTCAGATAAACAGCTAGACAGACAAAAATACGGACAGACGGATGGACACGACAAAAACTATATACCCGCGAATCTTCGATTGCGGGGCATAGAAAAGTATGACAAACAAGATGTGTTTGTGAAACACTGATGTCCCGGTATGGCAACATAGCGAAGGTTAAATTTTCGCAAATGCAAATCAAATATGTTGTTACCCAAAGTAAGGCCTTCTCACAAGAAATACTATTGTGATATATGAAAGCCCTAGTACCACCTGTTCAAAGTTATGGCCAAGGTTAAAGTTTTTAAAAACTCCAGGGTCAAGGTCAAAGGGTCAAAATTGTTGGTTTCTAATAAAAGGTCTTGTTAGAAGGATTACATAATTGTAGTATGAGAGTCCTAGCTCTAGCCGTTCAGAAGTTATGGCCAAGGTAAAAGTTTTTAAAAAGTGGGTTAAACTCTGAGGTCAGGGTCAAAAGTATTTATATCCACTGAAAGGTCTTGTCATAATGAATACAGCTGTGAAGAATGAAAGACCTAGAACCAAATGTTCAAAAGTTACGACCAAGGTTAAAGTATGATAATTTTTGGTAAAAGTGGGTCAAACTCCAAGGTCAAGAGGTCAAATGTCGCGACCTTGGAGTTTGACACACGCTTTTACACAAAAATTCAAAACTTTTACTTTGGCCATAACTATTGAACGGTTGGTGCTAGGACTTTCAAACTTCAAATATGTACAATGACATCATGTATTAAATAATCTGTGAAAGTCGAACGTCTTTGACTACCTGGTTCAAATGAGATAAAAATGGGTACATAATGAAACAAATCAATAGTTATATAAGGTTTGTATTCCTGTGACTTGAATATTGGTCAGGAAAGTCTATAACTGTAAGCAATAATTTACCTTCTACTGTTCACAAATTATTGCTCACGATGACAAAGTTTTCTGTAACCTTATGCCACTTAACTATATTTACATAAACAACAACCTTCACTCAAATCTGCCTTAAGCCCCCTTTTACAGGAAAATTTTCATTTTTTCAAAGATCACGTGACTGTAACAATATACTCACGTTCTCCTAGAGGCGTGACAATAACTTTGTGAGCAATTAAGCTCGTTACAACCAATAAACCCTGTATGATGAGTATTTATCACCAATAATTAAGTTTATATTTTTAATTATAGCAGTAGATAAACTTGCATCTGATCTGAAGATTTCCTATTGATTATCTAGCTTCCGTTGTAGAGAAACAGTACTACATCATAGAAAGTGGAAGTCTGCAAATCGCTAAGGGTTAGTTCAGGAAATACCACGTGTGGTTCTTTGAAATTAATTGGGCTCGACTGAGCAGAAATCAGCATGTAATGAATTATGATTTTCGGGTTAAGGACGTGGTACAAGATTTTTGGGATGGTTATTCCTCTATATGTGTTTAGTCTGAAAAAGACGAGAAGAACTTTGTAAGTAAGTTTGATTTTTAAAAAAAATTAATTTATTATTATATTAACTTAAATAATTGTACTAGAAATGATTGAAATTAAAAAAAAAACTTTATGTAAAAAATTGCCACGTTTTCCTACATCAATTTGCTTTATTTGCTGCATAAATAAATCCAAGTGTACTTGGACAAAAAAATATTTAAAAAGTCCAAAAAGGCAGACATTTTAGCCCTTATTTGTAAAGAAAATTATATTCAGACATAACTGAATGCCACTGTTATTACATAAAAAAAAATCCCCTAACTTTCCATTCGTTTCCAAAATTTTGAAAATAAATAGAATTTTAAAAAAAATTCAAGGCGTTTTAAATTTGAAAATGCTCACAAAAATGCCTCTGAATTTTCAGAGTAATTTGTTTTTTACCCATGCTAATTCTTCCAACTTCATCATTTAATCATAAGTTAATCATATTACATGTATATAGCCATGAAGGGGAAATTAGTAAATCTCAACTTTTCAGGAAATGAGAATAAAACATCTAATTACGAATTTTCTAAGTGAAAACTGATTAACAACGACAACAACAACAACAAATTGGGATAAAAACTATACGAGGGCTGTCCGTAAAGTTCTTGGACAAGCTGAAAATTAAATAAAAGTTGTGTAATTGATAATTATTATTAGCATATTTCTAAACCTTTACTAAATGTGAATTGAAAAATGTAGAATTTAATTCAATTTCAAATGTTTAATTATAATTATGGCTTCCTAATTAGACTTGGAATGGCGACCCGGAGCACCGCAAAAAAAATAATGAAAAAATTATTCATCCCTTTTTAAATTTCATTTGTATTTTATAAAATTCTGCGGAAATCGGGAAAAGTTTTATATCATGAGGTTGACCCAAGTTATCAGATCAAACCTGCAAAATTTGAACGTTCAAAGTTTCAAAATGGCTGAGCAATCAAAGTTAGAACATATTAAGACAGAGTTGGAATTGTTCATAAAAGGGACGTTTCCAGAATAGGTGGAGCAGTGAGCAGTGATAAAATTCTGCGTAGACATCGGAAAAATACCTACAGAGACCAATACATTCTGTAAATACTCGGGAAAACATAGTAAAAGAAGCGGTTTATTAGTATTGAAGAGGCATATAATATTTTGGGACGGAAGGAACAGTTTACAGTATGACATGCGTGAAGAAAATAACCAATCCCTATCGTGACTTTGCCATATTTCCGTAAATAAAATCGTCTTTACAAGGGTGATTGTAGGATATGAGACAGGCATTGTTAAATATTATTTTACGTATGAAACCTGAAAAAGTGACATAAGAAACTTATTGAGTTAAACGGTGACTATGCTGAGAAAAGTTGCATGTACTTGTATTAAGCTTTTGACGTCGGGTAACGTCGAGAATTTTCGTTTTAGTGCTCCGGGTACGAGTGTGTGTCTTTTTTGTATCTGATAAAACTATAAGTATTTGTGATTTGGTTTTGTTGAAAACTTGCATATTTATAAAATGAAACATGAATTTAATGAAAATAATAGTTTCATATATCTTATCAATGTTTGTCAGTAATTATCAATGTTGTCCACGAACTTTACGGACAACCCTCGTGTGTACCCAGGCATTTGAAGAAGAAAATTGATGATTTTTATACTAATATACATTACCTAAGTTTCTTCTAAATTTACTTCAATTATTTTATAATGCATGGTGTATCTATAAGAGCGTTTCTTATCATTACAAAATTTACACAATAAGTCACTTATAATTTATATCATGCCAACAAACTTTTGTAGGCTAGATTAAAGAAAACTGGATTTTTTTACTATAAAATTTGTGCAAAAAATATGGAATACAAATATCAACTTTTTATAAGACCCTTAATTAAGATGCATACAAAGGAAATTGTTGCCTGTACAAAATGCAAGCTTCATTTTGAGACTTTTTGAGTTAAAACATTTGAAGTGTTATCCTTCCGGGCTAAGGGGCAAATATCTTTAAGATAATATTTGGACCCTTGTAGGCTGATTAAGATGAAAGAAAAGACTATTATACTATTAAAGTTTAATAAAAGAGACATACATATATATTGTATAACGTGATGTCATGCTTTTAATTCTAAAAAAATCACTCATAAACAGCAAATTTTAAAAGAATTCCTCACTAATACGTTCAACTTTGCTTTGTTTTGGTGAATACTCAAGTTCAAAATTCTACACACTGTTTTAAGTTAACAGTTTCTAGGTATAAATATACATGTACAGTGATTTTTCCCCACGGAAATTACATTTCTATTAAATTGCTATTTGTCTTCTTTTTATAAAAATTAATAATTGCATGCATAAATTTGATTGTTTACCGGTATCCTTGAAGTGATATTGATTGATCGATTGACTGCATGTTGCTTTACGTCCCACTCGAGAATTTTTCACTCATAAAGAGACGCCACTATATATCAGTGAAGAACTTCAAATATAGACCCAGGACTATTGAGCAGTGAGGGATCTTCATTGTGAGTGAGGGGTCCTTATTGTGCTACTGCCAGTGACACGGGGCCTCGGTTTTTTAGCTCTCATCCAACTTTCACTTCATTAAGTTCAAAGTGCAGAGCGCTTGGCGAAGGTTCCGAACAGTTTGTAGTTATTTTTTTACGACTTAGGTCAGTCGCGGTCGAGATTCAAACACAAGACCTTCCTCCTTGAAGGTATAAGGGCAAAATTTCATTAAACTGCGCCATGTAATCTATCGTCCAAATCTTTCTGATGGTTTACAACTCGAATCTAAAGTTCCAGATAAACAACCGAATTCAAAGACCCTCATCTCATTGTCTTATGGGTTGGGATGTATTTATCTGTTGTACTTATTGTTACTGTATTGATAATGAGTCCTTTTTTCTGCCTTTAACATTTTTTTGAATTAATAAAATTAAAGGCCTTCAATAAATTTCTTAAAACTACAAGAAACTTCATCGCGAAATGATGACTTTGAACAAAACTGTCGATATTCTTGTTTCGTCAATTTGTTTGTCAATAGCTTGCCTCCTTTTGAGAAATTGTTCTCAAGATAATCAATATATTATAACATTTGATTTAGTCATTTACAAAGGTATTAGTTACCGGTATCATTTTTAATCGAAGTTTGCTCCCGCGATTCAATACAGTAACAATAAGTAACGTGTTACGGGGACGATATATAAGTTTTCATATTTCAAAATATAACACCCTGAATCTCAGGCTCCCTTGTAAAAAAGGTCCTTAGTTTGTACTTCTTGGCACGTTATGTAAAGCCTACTAAACGGTACAGAGGACCCAGGGCTGCTTAATTAAATCTGTGTCCAGTAATTGTTAATGGTATGATCATAAAACAAATAACGGGAAGGAAAACTGTTATGTTCTCAAATGTTTATAGCAGGTTTTAATCCTATAAACGCTGCTTATAAGACTATAATCGCCGAGAAAAGATCCAAACCAACTCTTGACACTTGGAGGACGTAAAAACGATGCAATAACGATGGTCTGGGGATGATTCGTCTTTACCGATTCTCAGTAAAGGAAAAATCCCCATGCATTTATGCCGTATTAACGTAGATTTAACCTTTCTGGTCCCCATTAACTTTCACCCACTAAATGGCGCAATGTCAAGACTTTTTTCGGTAATCATTTAGTATGCATTAAAAAATAATTTATCCATAGGAAAAAGTACCAGCTTCTGGTAATTAGTCTTGATATCACTGGATTCAATGCGCATTTTGTCGTCACACATGTATATTGATATGTTAATTATCGTTTTGGGGTTACATGTGGTAAAAAGGGAGAACTTGTGAAATAAAGTGGTAATTGTTGTCTATAATGACGGTATCTGAGAACCAGATATTTTACTGACTGTACCATATCAAAAACTCCTTTGTTTACCGATACATCTGTTGTTGGGGGTAAATAAGATTCAGAAGAAACAGTTATTTCCAAAAGGACCAAGTATGTACGAAAGATCATTGGCAAGATAGAATGTTGCGATATCGAAGACAGACTGGACATGTAAATATTCAGATAAAAGGTATGTCAACTGCTTTAAATCCCTGGTTAGTAACTTTGGTTACTATTGTTTGGGATGAATTTATATTTAAATTAATATTGCATCTTAAGGACACTCTTAAAGGAACCATAACTCTGTGAAAATTTTATTTATTTGAAAAAAGGCTCAAAATGAAGCTTAATTGGACTTGAAATTTTTTCGTGCAATAATTTTCATGTTATTTGTAATGTCGTTCTCTGTATTATGGATCAAAGTTGTGTTCAGTAGTTAAGAAGCCAAACATTTCTGTAGTGTATGGGTCAACATAAACAACTTCATGAAAGTTTTAATTTCGTAAGCATTTCTAGTAACTACCTACAAAATAGCCTGCTGAATTGTTGGGTGTACCGAATTTTTTCAACGCAGTAATTTTTTAATATAAAATTTAACAGTTTAAGCTGAGAAAACAACGGCTTTATGCTTTCCAAATAAAAGTTTAATTAATTCCAAGTTAATGTTAAACAAAGTCTTAAGGACTTTCTGAACTAATTTAAATTTATTACAAGCAAATTCAAAGAATTCTGGTCAACTGCTTTCGGTGTCTTTGTGGGTGAGATGACATTATTTATGACATACGAGGGTTGATCCAAAAAGTTTGTGGAATTCCTTCATATTTTATTTATTTATAAGTGATATTGATTGAAAATTACAAATAAGAATATAGACACTTGTTGAATATTTAAAATAAAAAACATTTTAAATACTTATAATAGTAAACGGTTGTTTGAAAATGCGGGGAGACATTCACGCGTTTATTATAATTTTAATTCTAAAACCGCCCTATGTGTCATTATGTCATTATTACGATTGCTTGACCTTTTAAAATAAACCTTTGTGTGAGAGTTTTACTGATTTTACTGGATATTTAGTGAATTAGTTGATGATTTATTGTCCATCTTTAAGTTGTTAGACAGCGTCAAATTTTGGTCAGGTCATACGTTTTG